TCCATTTAGACAAACTTAAGTTAGTTTATTGAAATATTTTAGATTTACATTAGTGTGGTTGCTTTATTTTTAATTTGGTAAGTTTAAATTATGAGTTAGTTTTATCCATAGGTTAGATTGTTTTGATATGAGTCTCTCGAATATTTTATTAATGCAATTTTCTAAGTTTCAGTATATTAATTTTATCAACTAAAAGAGATACAAGAAAATTTTTTAAAACAACATAAGAAAAATAATCGATAAATTTATATTACAGAAAGACTATATAATTTGATTATGTCTATTAATTGGAAATATCACATATCTTTCATTTTAGCATACGGATAAAATCCTCTCTCATCTGCGCCGTTGAACACAAATACAACAATTGTCTTTGTTTTGTTCTCGATTGACACAGAGAGTAGCATTAGAGACCATTTATCTCATTTTTACGGATTCATACACCAAACAAATTGGATGAAGGGGGATAGCCAACATATTGTCTAGTATATGAAAAAAATGTCTCATTCCAAATCAGACCAAAAAAAATTAATTTTGATTTGATTTTCTGACTCAACAAGATGGCTGTAAAACCAGCCTAGAGTTGCCCTTGTTGACCGTGAGCACATTTGAGAGATTTGTTTTAGAGAAAAAAAAAATCATTCGAGCCCTTGTTCATGTCCACTAGTTGGGAAGACTCCTGTTAGCGGATAAATATATTAATAATGTGTCTCCCTATAAGTTTGAGTTTTTAGGTAAGTTAGTCATTTTGCGCATTCGATGTGGTATCAGAGCTTTAGGTTTCAAATTTGAATCGATCATCCCTTGCACTTGAAGGAGCGTGACCACCAATTTTTCACGTTTCATAGAATTGGTCCTTTCTTGATGTTCAAAAGAGTTTTTGATCGACCTTATTTTCCAACAATGTCAACAACTCTCTTCTACTTTTATCTTTTATATGAAGTATATTTAATTAAATTCAATGTTGTACAAAAATACCTGCAAAAATTAAAAAAAAAAAAAAAAAATATTGACCCTCTCACTTCTATGGATAATATAATTCACAATCTTGAAAGTGATGTTTGTATGGCATTTTGGTGGTAGCATTTTGTCTTCTTCCGTCAGCCGGCCGACCGTATTTATTTTTTTAATAAATAACTTATTTTTTAGATTTGTTTTTTAAAAAAATATGTAAATTTATTTTTAAGGAATGTAAAGTCAATTATGATAAAAAAAAATGTCAATAAATCATAGCGTGGTAGCTTTCATTATATATATATATAGATATTTTTTAATTCAAAATGAGATTGTTTGAATTAATTTAAAAAATAAGTAGAGTAAAAACCATAAGTATCTTGATTTTTGATTTTATATTTTAAATAAATTTATATAACAACAATTTTTTAGAGAAAAATAATTTGATATAATAAAACTAAAAACATTTTTAAACGGTCAAAATTATCGAAATTAGACGTGGTTAATGTAAGTGTATTTTTATTAAAATTTTACAAGTTATTTTTAATTTTATTAATTAGATTTTAAAATTTTGAATAATCGAATATAACTAAAAATATATTTATTAAATTTGGTAACTTATATTTTTTAATTTTTTAATTTTATTATAATATAAATTTAAAATAAAATTATAAACTAATTAATTGTACTTTAAAATTTATTTTAAAATTTTATAAATTGTATTTAATAATTTAGAATTGTCTAGTGTAAATAGAAATACACATTTTTTTAAAAAATTTAATATATCAGTATTAATTTTTAAAATTAAAATTAAATATTTTCTCCATCATATCTCAAAGTATCTTTTTACCATTTTCCTTCCACTTCAAAATATTCATTTTATATTTTAGTAAAAGTAATTATACACCAATACCAAACACTATAAAAAAAAATTGTATATTTGTAACAGAATTATGTTCCTAAAGTTCACGTAGCTAACGTAATTTCATCCTTAATTTTGTCTCTAATATCATTAGTAACGGAAAAAGTGGATTCAAGAACGAAAAAATCCCGTTACAAAATTGATATTTTTTCTGTAGTGAAAATATCCTTTAATTTTTACTTAAATTACCAAACATACTATTACAAATACAATTATTTTTTTACATAAAGTGAAAGTAAAAAATATCAAAAAATTTTATACATTTTTCTTGATTAAAATACTATTATTTTTTAATTTACTACAAAATACAAAATGGCCCTTTTGGACTGGAATGAAAGGGTATAAGATATAAACTAAAATAAAAATATAATTATATTTTAAATTTTAATTCAAGTATAATATGTAAATTAATTATTTTGACATAATAATGATTATTATTTCTATTATTATTGTTATTGATAATAAATAATAGTAGTTTTACTTTAAAAGTGTTTGTTTTTTTTTTTTCAAAACCTATCCAAAATATCATTGAAAGTACAATTGAGGAAAGTAGAGAAAAATTACAGAAAATATCTTCTACGTATATTTAATTATCATTTTTGTTAATTATGTATTTATTGCTAACAAAAATCGTCATTTCTATCATCGATCGCACGTGGCCGTGCATGGAACAATCGTTATATGAACGTGATCATCGAAATAAATAAAAAATAAAGATGATAATTGAGTATATACAGGGAATATTTTTACAATTTTTTCATGGAAGTAGTATAATTATAAATTTAGGTGAAAACTACAAATACTTTAATAATATATGGAGACTATGTCTATTAAATTAGAAAATTTGATACATTGATTATAAATCATTTAAAATAATAAAATGAGTATATTGATAGCAAACAAGTGAGTATAAAATTGTTGAATAAAAATTATAGTAATATATTACTTTTTTTCTCTAAAAGTAATGTATTATTTTTATTATTTTTTTGTTTTATTCAAAAATATTTATTTTCTATTATAATAAAAGTAATCAATATGTAAATGTCAAAATACCTCTAATTTTTATAAAATATTTTTTTATACTTACAAAAATAAAAATATCAAAATCATCTTATACATTTTTACTAATAAATAAAATATTATTAATTTGTAATGTACTACAATATATATATATATATATACACACAAATTTTTCTTTGAATTTAATATATGCAAGAGATCGTTTTATTGTGTTGAATTCTAACCTTTGAATGGACTGTAGATGAAGATATTAATTATGCATATATTTTAAAAGTTTGTTCTATGGTCTAAGTTTAGAGTTGAACACTAATATTATTCAATATTTATGTGATTAATAAAATTTTGATTATATATATATATATAAGGATGTTCAATATATTTACTTTGTAATTTAATAATTTATTATATGATTATATAATATTATATAATAATTCCATAATATTTCATTATTCAATATATTTATTACTCCCTCCGTACCAGATACCATATCTACGTTGTCGTTTTTGTCCGTCCCACATACTATATCACTTTTCTTTTTTGAAAATGATTACACACTTTAATCTCATTTTAAATTTTTAAATTTTTTCTTTATTTTAATTAAACTAATTAGTTATCTTAATCTTAATTTATAATTATTTATATTATAAGATAATTATTTTCACTAATACATTCTTAATTATCTACTAATTAGACCCCTCCTAAAATACCGTGTCTACAGTGTAACATACACGGTATCTGGGACGGAGAGAGTATATAATTAGTATAGTAAATTTTTAGAAATGTATTGATGCCTTTACATATTTCGGTACAATTGTAAAATAAATTTGAAATAAATTATTTAAAATTGTGAATTTGCTTGATTTTTATTTGATTTTAAATTTAAATAGTATTGATATATATTTGAAATACACTTTTGAATTACTTTGGAATATATATATATATATATATTATGTATTAGGTGAGACAGGTTGACATTAACACACCTGACTTTTGTTAATTATAATTGTAGGGAACTTAGGATACGTGGTCACTATACATTAATAATAGTATAATTTATTTATATTATAATTTTTATTGATCTTTGTTTACAGATAATAATATTTTAATCAATATTTTAAAATGGGACTAAATTTGTGGAACATAAAGTGATTTCATAAAATATTTAACTTTTTTATTTATTTAAAACATTATATTAAATATTAATTTTATATAAAAAATTTATATTTAATTTAATTTTGTTACTATCATAGAAATCCAAATACCAAACATATTAAAAAACAACAAATTAACTCATGTCCATAATGGTGTGTTTGTTTGGGGATTGGATTTTAAATACACTATTCATCCCATTTTTTCTCTAAAAAAATATCAAATCAAACACCTATTTTTTATTTTTTATATTATATTAAAAATTAATTTTACATTCAAAACATCGTATCAACGTCTATTTATATATCACATTATACAATTATTCAAATCTCAATTCAAAATTCAAACCCCCAAACAAACACATGAATCTCCCAACTATACCAAGGAAAGGGCCTCGCCCAAGGCCCAAAATAAAAAAGGATCATTTAATAGATATATGTATTATATATGTGTATATATTGGTCCTTTTAAAAATAATAATAATAAATATTGACAGTAAATAAGAATTGAATTAAAGGTAATAATAAAATATTAATTTGTCGACTTTTTGTTAGTAATTGAGTAAATTTAACGGACTAAAAAGAAAAATGATAATAAATTTAAAGGACGGATAGAGTATTATTTAAATCAAACAGCAAACCAAACAAATTAAACCCAATAAATTTGGAAATCTCATATTCTATCTTACAAAAACATGACATCCAATTATTATTCAAATAAAAAGTACAAACACAAAACCAAAGCAAACAAAGCCCCAATGTTCTAAAAAGGGAAGAAAAGAATGATTCCATTGCTACCATAAACCTTGAACTCAAATTCCTTTCCTATCAATTTTTCTAACCAAAAGGAATGTTCTTTGTCCCCTTTCTTACATCTTTTTGCTTCTACATTAATTCATCTCATCCCTATAAAAAGTTCTTCCAAATTAAGGCCATATATCAGTAATTCCCATTACAACACATTTTCCAGACAAGTAGGAAAGCTATTCGATGGCTAGTAATGTGCCGGCGGCAGCGCTGAAGAGGTCGGAGACAATAGCTGACACCATGCCGGAGGCCTTGCGCCAAAGCCGTTACTACATGAAGAAATGCTTCGCCAAATACACCGAGAAAGGAAAACGATTGATGAAAGTCGCCCATTTGATGGGAGAGATGGAGCAAGTGATCGAAGATCGCGCTGAAAGGACACATTTACTCGAAGGCTTGCTCGGATACATCTTGTGCACAACTCAAGTAATCTTATTGCATTTTGTCTGTTGTATATATGCCGTGAAATTGGATAGGGAAAATTGCAACTTTTGCACCGTATATGAAATTTTTTATCACTTAGTTTTAAGACATTGTCGTTTAATTGGTACTGTGACAAAAGTCATAGCCTCGTCTATACAGAGGGTTTTTGGAAAATTTTAGAAATGGGAGAAAATCAAAGTATTTTAATATGATTTTATGAGAGAAAATATATATTTAATATGATATTTTTTAAAAAGAAATTATTACTAATAAATAGTACAAAAATTCAAAAAAAAAAAATTGCATATAAACAAAGCCATAATTTTTGTTTAGAATAGCAAAGAGTGTCGTGTTTATATCGCTTTTTAGCGAGCTAGGTGTATTTGTATTTTGGAATGGTTTTTTGTGTTTTAGGGAGTTTTATAAATTGAAAATTTTAGTTAAAAATTAAATTTGATGTAGCGTTTCAAATAAAAATAAATATGATATTTTTTGATTGAATATAAAATTGAACACAATGATTTATAGAGGAAAAAATATTTTACTGTAGAATAAATAGTTTGAAAACAAATGTGAAAATATAAACAATTTTCGTTAATATATATGTTCTTTTGTGTTTTCATATTCATTTTAGCGATATATCTTTTACAGCAAAATATGTTTTCTTCTTAAAAAGTATCATCTTTGCTGCTAAAAGTTCGAAAAAATATACATGCAGGAAGCAGCTGTGGTGCCACCATATGTGGCATTCGCCATCCGACCATCGCCTGGATTCTGGGAGTACGTTAGAGTTAGCGCCAACGATCTTTCTGTCGAGGGAATAACCGCGATCGATTACCTTAAATACAAGGAAATGACTGTAGATGAGCAATGGTAAGAAAAATCATAATTCAAGATCATCAAAATTCATACACATTAATGGATATGTAAGATTATTACAATCGGTAAAACTTTGAATTTAAACCGTATTTAATATGATGTAAATACATTGATATTTTTTAATTAAAAATCATTAAATATAATTTTTTCATTCAATGGTTTTAGAGGGAATGCTTTTTGTATAAATAGTGTGAGTTTCTCGAACTTGTGTTTTTTTGAGGTTTTGATTTTAAGTTTAAATTTTTTAATAGTAGTAAAATTTTATGAGCGGTTATTTAATTATATAAATAGATATCATTCATGTTTTTAATATAAAATTAATTTTTAGTATAATATAAAAATATAAATATTTAATTTGATATTTTTAATAGAAAAAAATATTAATTAAATAATAAAAAATCTTTAAAAATACACAAAAGAACACAAAGGTCACCTAAAATGATCACGAACTTTGGCAGGGCCAACGACGAAAATGCACTCGAGATCGATTTTGGAGCAATGGACTTCTCCACGCCTCATCTCACCCTTTCTTCCTCCATTGGCAATGGGGTGAGCTACATCTCGAAATTCCTCACGACGAAGGTCAATAAAAACAGCCCCGAAAGCGCGCAATCACTCGTTGATTATTTGATGTCGTTGAATCACCAAGGCGAGGTAAGATCGAGGCACATTCTAAAGCAAGAAACTCATTAATTCTTAGTGCTATTCGAGTTTTTGTATGTCTTGTCCTGATTTTTTTTTTTCTTTTTTGCAGAAATTAATGATCAACGAGACTTTGAACACCGCGGCAAAGCTTCAAAGCGCGCTTATTGTGGCCGAAGCTGCCCTGTCTTTGCTACCTCATGACACGCCTTACCAAAGCTTCGAGATGAGGTGAACATGTGTGTTTTAGGACAAGAAAATTATAACTATATCATTTTATTGGGAAAATTGCAAAAAATATCTTGTATATATACTTTATTTTCATTTTAATCTTATATTTATTTCGCTCATAAAATATATTTGACATGTTTGCAAAAGTTATTATTTTTTTCCTTGGCGGTGCGTAACGTTCACACCATGCGCGGTCAAATAATATAAATAGCGATTTTTGCCAGCATGTATGATATATTTTGACACCAAGATAAATATAGAATAAAAGTAATAATGAGGTATACATGTGGGACATTTTTTTCAATTTTCTGTCCTTTTACTTGCAAATTAAATAGTTGTGTGTATGCGTTTGTTCGGGGGCTTGAATTTTGAATTTTAAATAACAAAATTTTGAATTTGTATAGTTATTTGATATATATATATAAATTAATGTGATATTTTGAATATTAAATTAATTTTAATATAATAATTAAAATGTATATTTAATTTTATACGAAAAAAAAATTATCGAATAGTAAAAAACCCTCAAAAAACCCCGAACAAGCATAATTTAATTTCTTCTTCATGCTTGAAATGAGCTAATAATCAAATTCTACATACCCAAAAATCAGGTTTAAAGAATGGGGCTTCGAGAAGGGGTGGGGGGATAGCGCTGGTAGTGTTCGTGAGACAATGCATTTGTTGTCGGAGATATACCAAGCTCCCGATCCACAGAACATGGAGAAGTTCTTTGGAAGGCTTCCTATAATCTTTAACGTCGTGCTATTTTCTGTGCACGGATATTTCGGGCAATCGGATGTTCTTGGTTTGCCAGACACCGGCGGGCAGGTATGAACTCGGAACATCTTCTCAATCTAACTCAAAAACGATCTTTTCTAAAGGTCTTTGTTTATATAGACACTTCTAAAAATTTTTGGTACTACTAATAATTTTTTAAAAGATATCATATCAAATATTTTTATTTTTTCTCACAAAATATTAATTTTTTACTATTCTCGGATTTTTTCAAAGCTTTAAAATTCTCTATCTAAATGGAGGCTTATTATATACTTTTTGCGTTGTGTATTTGCAGGTAGTTTATGTATTGGATCAAGTGGTTGCATTAGAAGAGGAATTACTTGCAAGGATTAAGAAACAAGGCCTTAATGTGAAGCCTCAAATTCTTGTGGTAAGAAGAAAAAAATTGGAAATTTTTAAGGCCCTGTTTTATTGAATTTAATTTATACTTTTGTACTATACAATCATTTACAATTTTAAGTAAAAATCCATTATTTTTTCTTGCAAAGCATCACAACCGAACAAAAGACTAGAATTAAATAACAAAATCAAATTCTGAACAGCCATTTATATTTTTCGTACTACTTTTTCCTACCTAAATAGTCTCACTTTTCAATTTAAGATTGCCCACCTAAACAACAATTTTTACGTTATTCTTACCTTTATTTATCAAAATGACATCATATTACATGTAAACTCACATAATATTATTATTTTCTTTTTATCTTATACAAACTCATCAATATTATTCTTTAATCCACTGGGAATTCTTTTTCTAAAACCATTTAAGTGGGATAGAGATAGTATTTCTATAATTAATGGTTTGATCTTGTATTCGATCTATTGTCTTGGTCAAGACATGAGAACATCGATTTTTTGCAATGCCGGAGCCAAAATCACTGCAAGAAAAAATCATTTTTGTAACAAAACTTTTTTTGTCTCTAAATCTACTTTTTCCGTTACTAATGACATTATAGACGGAATTAGGAATGAAATTACGTTAGCTACGTGAACTTTTGGGACGGAATTCCGTTACAAATATATTATTTTTTTTAGTGAATACATATTGCACACAGAATAAAAGTAATAATTGACCATAAACATACGACTACATTGAAGGGTTGAGGTTTTCCTAATCGAAATCTTTTCACAAATAGTTATATCTCAACGCCGATAGTTTGAACGAGAGAAAGAAGTGAGGAATCCTCGTTTCTAAATCCTAAGCCGTACTATGTAGGTGACGAGACTCATCCCCGATGCGAAAGACACCAAATGCAATGTAGAATTCGAAGCGATCAACAACACGAAGCACTCCCACATCCTTAGAGTTCCCTTTGCTACCGAAGATGGAGCCATTCTTCGACAATGGATTTCGCGGTTCGACATATATCCTTACTTGGAGAAGTATGCTCAGGTTTGTAATAAAAGACAGGATCGATCAAGACATTTTCATCTGCGATAAAATCTTGACATAGTTTCGAACTTTTAACAGGATGCTTCCGAGAAAATTGTCCAAGTCATGGAAGGAAAACCCGACCTAATAATCGGGAACTACACCGATGGAAATCTTGTGGCATCGCTCGTTGCTAGAAAACTCGACACAACTTTGGTATGCAAACAATGTTAAGACACGATTCAATTTTTATCCATTGCGAAGATTCTGATGTTACTACATTGTAATAGGGAACGATCGCACATGCTTTGGAGAAGACTAAGTACGAAGATTCGGACATCAAGTGGAAGGAGTTCGACACGAAATATCACTTCTCAAGTCAGTTTACGGCAGATTTGATATCGATGAACTCTGCTGATTTTGTCATCACTAGCACGTACCAAGAAATCGCGGGCAGGTACGACAATGTGATGAACCTTGTAGTAAATTTTTCGAGTAACTGCAAAGTTGGATGACAAAGTTTTATTTTACAACATCGTAACTATTTATTTTCATCGATTTGCAGCAAAGATCGACCAGGACAATATGAAAGCCACGGAGCATTTACACTTCCCGGGCTATATAGAGTTGTATCGGGAATCAATGTATTCGATCCAAAGTTTAACATAGCTTCTCCGGGAGCGGACCAGTCGGTCTACTTCCCTCATACGGAGAAAGAGAAACGGTTCACCACTTTCCGAGCCTCCATCGAAGAACTACTCTTCAGCAAAGTCGAAAATGTCGAACACATGTAAGTTTACGCGATCTTTTTTATGGAAATTTGTTATTTTGATAGTGTAAATTTCTTTTATACTTTTCGTAATTTATAAAAAGAAATATATACTATTGATAAATAGTTCTAAAATTTTCAAAAATATTTATGTAAATAGAGTGTATCGTTCTTCCCTAGTACTTTTATCTTTATTTTCTTCTTAGTAAGAATAATTACAATATATCAATAGTACATGACTTTGAACAAAATTGCAAGTTTTGCAAAAAACTATAAACAAAATTTCTTATAATTCATATGGGATTGAAAAATCTATACCACTATTCAATATATTTTAAAAACTATCCGAGCCAGCTATCTCATATTTTTTAAAATATTACACAAAATTTAATTTTTTAGAAGATTTTATGCGATGTTTATTGAAATACCATAAAGTCTTATATAATTTATAAATTATGAAAAGGTATAGTGTAAATTTTCTAAATCACGGATAAAAATATAAATAATTTTGCCAAAATTATAAATTTTACTTAAATAGTAGTTTAATGTATACATCATAAAATAAAATAACGAGGATTGTATAATTATAAAAAAAAATTAAAAAATTAAAGTAAACATATTTGTGGTATTTAGTTTCCTGAGTGTTAAATGTTAGAACAAAATGGATAACAAGACCAAGTATTTATTACATGTAACACCAAATTGTAAATTATTCCTCATCAGCTCATATCTGTAACCATGTTTCCCGCCATCCTTCCCAAAACAGAGGATTCCTAAAAGACCGTACAAAGCCTATAATTTTCTCGATGGCAAGACTCGATGTAATCAAGAACATCACGGGGCTAACCGAGTGCTACGGTAAAAACAAGAGGCTTCGAGAGCTCGCCAATCTAGTCATAGTAGGCGGCTTCTTCGATCCTTCAAAATCCAAAGACAGGGAAGAAGCATCAGAAATCACGAAAATGCATTCTTTGATCGAAAAATATCAGCTCAAGGGGAACATGCGATGGATCGCAGCGCAAACCGACAGGAAGCGCAATGGCGAGCTGTACCGCGCAATTTCAGACACTAAAGGAGCTTTCGTGCAGCCGGCACTCTACGAAGCATTCGGTCTGACAGTAATCGAGGCCATGAACTGTGGTCTTCCCACTTTTGCAACCAACCAAGGAGGCCCGGCCGAGATCATTGTCGATGGGGTTTCAGGCTTCCACATTGATCCTCTTAATGGCGACGAGTCGAGCAACAAAATCGCTGATTTCTTCCAGAAGTGCAAAGAGAATCAAGATTATTGGAACACGATTTCGATCCAAAGCCTGCAACGAATAAACGAATGGTAAGTTTTCGCGCATTTTTATAGTTTCATAAGTAATGAGACTCTTCCAACTATTTATAAAAATAATCTTATATCTCATTCATCGTTCGTATTTTGATCTTCTTGGAAATGTGACATACGAATATATGATTATTTTTTCAGAACATTCGAATAAAGGATAAAAGTTATAAGAATATTTATTATGAATATATAGAGTAAATTGTTTTTATTATCACTTTAGGACTCTAAATGGATTATGTATGAAAATTACTTGCCAACCAATTTATTTATTTATTTATTTATTTTTGCAAAAATGATCATCCATCACAAAAAATGACATGTTGATGATGTCACTCACCGGTGCTGATTTGGCCGTGACATGTCTGATTTGTCAGTGCCACATGGGGAAAAATTAAAAATATTCATATATCGCTCATGTGGCGCTGACAAATTAGACACATCAACGTGAAATCAGTACCAATAAGCCATATCATTGACATGTGTCATTTTCGGTGACATGGAACTATTTCTCCAAAAAAAAATTGATTGCGGAGACAAACACACTTTATCCATATATATATATATATATATGTGTGTGTGTGTGATTTTTCTGGCTATTTGGTGTTAGGGAAAACTTTGTTCATAGAATCAACTAACATTGTTGAATTGTTTTGTAGCTATACGTGGAAAATATATGCGAACAAAGTTCTAAACATGGGATGCATATACACATTCTGGAGGCAAATTTACGGCGCAGAGAAGCAAGCCAAGAAAAGATACATTCAGACATTTTACAATCTTCAATTCAAGAACTTGGTAAATTAATCACTTATACACTCTTTACTTTTGTGATTTCATTTATTTTTGTTTCTTTACTATACTATTTTAAATTTTTTTATAAAAATATATTATTTTTTTTACAAAATATTATATGCGGACCACTCTTTAAACCAAAAAAAAATAAAAATCACCAAATAAATTTTCCCTTTGATTCGAACTACAAATGACATTAACAAAAAAAAAAAAGAAAAAAGCCCTCGATTTGATCAGATCGAATACAGGTGAAGAATATAACCTTTAAGAAGGATGAAACACCTGCGCAAGAGCCTCCAAAGGAGAAGCCAAAACCGAAGCCACAGCTCTCACAAAGGCATGATTTTTATAAATTTTTCGAAACGTTTTAGATCAAAATTATATACCAAAGTAAAAAATAAAAAAATAAAAATTTTTTATTAATACAAGTATTAGCAGATTCAGCTCATTATTACACTGTTTCTTTGTGTCCAGGCGATCTCGATCTACATTGCAAAGGTATGTGTAATTTATTGATAAATTTTCAATGAAGTATAGAGTAATTTGTGGTTATGAAAAATCTAAAGTGGTGTTTGGCATTTTTAAGGTTGTTTGGATCCTCGTGAAGGCTCCCAAGAAATGGTGGAAAGGATGTGAAGATGGAACAAATGGTGCAGAAGAAGTAATCGAAATAATTATGTGAATATGTAAAGATTTGTAGATCACAAAATATGGATAAAAATAAAAGAAGGGATTTATGAAATGTGTGATTTAACATTGATAATATGATACAAATTTGTTTACTGTAATTATTTTTAATAATTAATTAACCTAAGTATATCATATTATATCACATTTTAGTTTTAAATTTTTATTCTTTAAAACTCAAAATTCAACTCTTAAATATCTGACCATATACACCTAAAATTCCATCATATAAAAAGTGATTTAAAAATTAAAGAGAATAAAATTATATTTTCTACCATATCATTGAAAATATATTTATTTCACATTTTCAAAAAAACTAACATTATATAAATTTTTAATAGTATCAATCTACTCTCAAATCACACGAACTCTATTAATAGACATAAAAGGGATATTGCAGAAGACAAAGAGACAGTAGCCAATCTTAGGAAGAAATCACTTTATTCCTTGCTTTCTCTTGTTGTTTAAAATATATATATATATATATATATCGATGGAACAAATTTAAAAAATCACTCGCTAGTCTCTTCAATAAGAATAAAGAAGGTTTTTTTTCTTTTTTTTCTTTTTTTCATAACTTAGAAATTCCCTACTAATAGTGTACTCTGAGTAAATATGTAGGTCGAACACACTAAAAATAAAAAAATAAAAAAAGGCCACTTTATCGAATATGAAATTAATCTAATATATTTATATCAAAATTGTTGATTTTAAAAATATCTAGTTCTTATTTATTATTTTGAAAATAGTGAAAATTATAATATGACATATATTGTTTATGTAATATTTTAAATAAAAATAATAATGATTGAATATAATATTTTATAAATATATATACTTATATATGTATAGATGCATGGAAACCAACCAAAACACAACAAACTCAATAATAATATGAACCCTAATTATATATATATCTTACAATTATAAATTCTTGAACATCAAATTCAATGAAGTTAATTAGAACATTAACCCTAACTTCTCTCTCCCTCCAACTAATTAAATCAATCAATCAACAAATATTGTCAATAATAAAAGTGTGTGTATAATTGATCCCCACCCCCTACATGAATTATCATAAAATCAACCTAAAAAAAAAAAAAAAACCATGTAATAGAACTTAAAGTGCTACAATTTGCACCCAAAACAAACACAAAGCCAAAGCAAAGGTTAAGTAAGATCTCAAACTTTTAACCTCTCCAAATGAAAGGTTAAGAAACACCTTATTTTGGGATCTCATGTACTTTAACCTCATTCTTGTCATAATCTTTCTCGAGAACGAAGCGAAGCTTTTGAGCGCACACCCGTGCCCCGGCATCTTCATGGATCCCGGCGACGGTTTCACCATTGCAATATTTCGATGAATCATCATTGTAGGGTTTATGTAGACTTGGAGTGTCTCCGAGGGGACAACCTTGTGGTAATATGTCTTGGGAGCCTGTCGGGTTGAGATGAGCAATCCATGGTTGATTTCAATCTTCTCGTATACGTTGAAACATGGGGTGTTGGAGAAATTGTCGCCGTTGTCTCCATCATCCAAGAAGTTGTCGATGTCATTTCCATTGCCATTTATTGGTGCAATTGAGTTGTTCTCGTTCGCCTCATTGTTTGTGATGAGCCCATTGATGGTTTGATTATTAGTTTCGCCTACAATTGAAAAACATTACATGAAATAACTAAGTTAGGACATAACGATGTAATTACTTCTTATCGTAGAATTTGCATCTAAAAAGCTTGTAAGAAAATAGATATGTAAACAAATTTAAATTACAATGTTCTAAAGCATAGATGGAGTTGTCCATATGAGCATTTGAATCGACCAACGCTTAGAAAGTGCAAATATTGTGCTAGCTTATATGAAAACTATGGCTCTATTCACTTGGCCATTAGCTTTATTTTTATTTAACACTCACAATTTTTTATAGATATTATATCATTTTCTTTAACAAATATGACATTAAGATTACTATTCAAACAAAAATCAAAATTTCTAAAAACAAAACCAAAAAAAAAAAAGAATAATCAACTAAACACACTTCATTTTAGTCATGTCTGTATATTTGATTAGCAATTTTATTCATAATCTTATTTGATCATATTTTGATTCAATAAATTATTGTTTTTTCGCTTTTTTCCACTTCGAAAACTTATTTAAGTGTCGGGATGGAAAAAAAGCAAAAATACAATAAATCTCACCTGATCTAAGTCCGTGCAAAATAATATGACAAATGTAATAATCAAGCATATGTACAAGATGAAATTTTTTAAAAAAAAATCGGTTTAGATATAGGCCTTGTAAAAACATAATTGAGTAAATTTGTAATTAAGAAATAAATTAATTAAACTCACCTTGAAAATCATGATATTGATATTGATCTTGTTGATCATTTGAACTGTTTATTACAGGAATCGTCTTGAATTCATCTGAGAAAGCCTGCTATGACAAGCAATAAGCACGCATATATTATAAGTTGTTATTAAATCGAAAAATCAAAATCATCGAAGAAAAATTGATTACCTTCTCGAGTTCCTTGTTAGACATTCCAATCCATCGCAAGTTCTCAACCATTCGCCCTGTTCGGAATGCATCAGTATCATCTTCGATATCAATGGGCCGGGGAATGTGGTGATTTTGATCTTGTCCTAAGTTGTCATATTTGGAGAAATTCGGAATGTCTTGTCCATTATTGTCGTGGAAGAAGAAGGAAAAATCATCAACCCCAGAAGGAGTAATTCCATCCCATGTCCCGGAATTATAATCAAGATTCCGAGAAGCTTGAGCAACCGAAAGTATTTCTTGTATGATATCAGGTTGAGGTTCACTTGTATGTTGATGGAGACCATTATTCGATTGTTGTTGCAGCATCTCAGGATCAATACGAGGAAAATCTTGAACCTCAGAGGGAGGTAATGAAAACCTATTTTGTAACCTTGCACATTCTAATGCTATGTCTACCTGAAAAATAAATAAATAAATAAACTAAGAATATGTATATATTATTTATAACAAGAAATATGATTAGAAAGTAAGATGTAATAAGAAATTATTTACACATAAAACAGCTAAAAAAAACATAAAAATCGGTAACCTATTCACAGCAAACTATTTTTTTATTTTAAAAACATCATGTATTTCATTTGATATATTATCTACCAAATTCATTTCAATTTAAAATATATTAAATACTTATTTATATTACATCAAAATTTAGAATTTTTTATAATTGTTAAAAAACAAAACACAAACTACAGATATTGACATATTTTCAATTATGCATTTTTCTATAATTTTTTTCCTAAAAAACATCATATAGTATCTTTTATTCAAAATATTATCATATTATATAATTTTTAATTTGATGTATTATCTACCAATTTTTTTTTTCAATTTAAAATTATCATATATCTATTATATCATATCATATCATAATTCAAAATTAATATATATTATAACACCGAAACACAAACTAAACAAATTAACATGTTTTCAATCACTTGTTTTTCTATAATTTTTCTTAAAAAATATCACATCGTAAATATCTTTATTTATAATATTACAATCGAAATCTATTTTATATTTAAAACATTTGTATCAAATTTAAACTATTCCTAAAAACACCAAATTATGACATCGGAAATGTAATATATATGTGTGTGTGCGCTCTCGACAAAATTTGCAAATTTTTAGTAACAAAAAGGAATTTTCTTTTACCTTTGAAGGAGGATATGGCAAAGGGGTGCAATTAGGGTATTGAGTTGTGGTGAAGGGAAATGCCTCTTCAGTTATGTACTGTGTCCATCTTACATCATGGGACGACGAACCCGAGGCAGCCATGTGTCCCGATGTCATCGGAAACATAGGATAGCCGCCATTAGGAGCAGCGTCGAACTCATCGTAAATTGAATTTTCCCCACAGTTTGGATCGACGCTGGAGGAACGTTCACTGGCAGCTGATGCAACATAAGTGTCTCCCTGTTTGGGGATGTTCAAACTCTTCTTGAACACACGACACAGGGCATAAGCATCCTACAATTAATGTCCAAAAATAATGGTGCAAGAATAATCAGAATTTATAGCATAAATATATATGGAAAGATCTAACATGATACTATGATTGAATCGTTGAATTATAGTGTAAATATCGAATCATCTTCTAACACTATTGAAAAAGTAATTGTGTGCTTAGATATACTATGGTTCGAAAATATTTCAAGTTTTGGATTATTTTGAAAATAGTAAAAAAATAAAAAGAAAATAAATAGTTAGTGTGATATAAATGGATATTAGATATAATATTTTGAATTAAAAAAAAATAAATAGATTTTTGATACTCCTTCGTTCGGAATCAATATAAGTGTACTAAATGGGTGAATTGACAAATCTATCTCGGATAGAATGTGTTTGTTTAGTAATATAATATAGTAAAACTAAGTTTATGGTATTACTATAATATATAATAATTAAAATGTAAAGGTACTTTTTTATTTTCTTCAAATATCATCGTTATTAAAAAGAAGAAATAGATAAATTGATTTCGGACAAATTAAAATGCTAAAACAGATAAATTAATTTCGAATGGAGTGAAGACAATATTTTAAATGAAAATCCTTGACTAAAAGTGTAAAAACTAACATAGCCAAATAGAGTTTAATTAAATTTAGTCGAATTGCAAACAAAATATTTTGAAATGTAGAATTCGGAAATACTAAATATTGTAGTTTGATGCAAGATTAATATAAGATCGATATATGTATGTACCTGCAAGCCCGAAGAGGGGGTGTCGCACTCCCTTTCGTCTAAGCGATATTCGTGCATAACCCAATGTGTCCGAATCCCATGAGGAGCTCTCCCTCTGTAATAAACTAGGGTCTTCTTCATTCCCACAGCCCTAGTTTGTGAGCTCACTTTCCTGTCCTTCCCTGTCGCCTTCCAATATCCACCTTTCGTTGCTCGATTTGTTCTCGACCCGTTCGGGTACTTGCGATCTCGAGGACTGAAGAAGTACCACTCTAAATCTTTGCTCGGCAATAAAGACTTGCCTACAAGTTCAAGATATGAATGGATGTAATATTTTGAATGTAGTTTTGATTAATAGCATCAAACAATTCGATATCAAAAAATAGAATTTGGAAAACTTAGGGTTTGTTTTTTAAGTTTTGGATTTGGATATGGAGTTTGGGGATAATAAAATTTTAAAATATTTGATATAATATTTTAAATGAAATTTTGATTTTTTATATATAATATATTAAATAAAAATTATGTTCTTTTATGATTTTAAGAAAAAAAAAATTAATGAATATTAGGAGACAAAACTAAACCTTAAAGAAACATACCTTTAAATTTAGGGAAAACTACATACTCATGGTTTATAAAAATCTTGTCCAAAAGGAAATTTTTCTTGTGTAAATTATACTATTATAGGTGTGAAAATTTAGCATATAATATAAAGATGTTCATATTGAAATAAATTTATTATATATATATATATATATGTATACACATCTTTAATTTGTTCCATGTGTGAGTGTCAATATTTAGTCCACTAATATATACATAGTTGTAACGAAATTTCGTTCCTATGAATTACGTGTAGCTAACATAATTTTATCTCTAATTTCGCCTCTAATGCATCTCACAAACAGTAAAATTTGCGTATCTATGGTAATAACATCTCTCTCTCATACACGCAAATGTGTGTATAAAATAAAAAGGTAAATAAGACTAGAAGTGTATAGAGTAAGAAGCAAGCCCTAAAGAAGAAAAAAGTAGGATTATTGTGATCTTTCCTTTGCTTTATTAATTTGTTTATAGGACACTGTAATTACAAGACAATAAGATTTGTAAAGATCTTGGGTCATATCAACAAAGATGACACTGAAATTTATAAAGCTAAAAATTTACACATGTTATTGTTACAACAATTATATATATATATATATATATATATATTAAACTTATTTGACATGGTTTCCTTCATCTTGAAATTCAAGCTATATATATTACTACTTTTTATTTTTCTGTAATGAATCTTTAATTTTACACAATACTGCTAAAAACATTTCTTATACAAAATTGATAAGACTTGAATGAGAGAAAAAGAATCTATATATGTTTTTATGTATAATCTTATATACCTAATGCAAAGTATTGTTTGTGACCTTCAAGAATTGAACAATGTAAAAAATAAAAAAATAAAAATAAATTAATTAAAATTGGGTGTATATATGTTGATAATGTGTACCTGGAAGATCCCATGGCTCACACTTGTAAAGATCAACCTCTGGAATGATTTCAAGATCGATTTTTCGGCCATTGATCTTTCTCTTGAGGTAATACGCCACGAGTTCTTCATCGGTCGGGTGGAATCGAAAACCAGGAGGAAGAGAAACCGGTGCCATATATGATCACAAACCTTAAAAAAAAAAAATATCAATGGGACAAGACAAACTTGTCCCGAATATTCGTGTCTCAAATGTGTGTGCAAATCTTCGCGAGATCGATCACCGAGCCCTCAAACCCGAACCAAAAAGCAAAAATCAAGAACTTCACACCTGCAAGAAAAGAAAAAGAAAAATTTAACAAACCCTAATTATTAAACTATAAATAATATATAAGAGAAAGTGATGAAGAAACCTTAATTCGATCGAGGGCTCCAAAGAAATAAGAAGATTAAAAATGTGATCGATGAAGATTTACACACACACACAAAACACTTAGGAAAATTGCAAAAGGAGAATGAAGAAGGGAGGATTGATCATGTCTTGGCATGTGATGTTATAAGAGAACAAAAAGAGAACATACGATTAAAAAATTACACTATATTACAGAAAAGGCATAAATCAAAGGTGGGGTGGGGTGGAGGGTGGGGGAATCCACCTCCTAAAACCCTCACTTTTTGTATCTTTAACCAAAACAATTCATAAAATAGAAAATTGCAGTTTTTCTGCACATCAAAATTGGCATTCTTTAATTTTACCTGTCTTTCTTCTCTCTCTGTATTTCTTTCTCTGTCATTGTCCAAGAATATGCAGTCATAAAATAGAATTGCGTGTGTCGAAACAATGTACATAAATATATATATGTCTATATGTATGTATGTATGTATGTATTTGGTACGTAGATTGGGACAGAGATTATGCGATGCTTGGGTAGATGTCCTATGTAGGAATCTGAGGTTGAGTGGTCCACGTGGTGGCGTGTCATTCGATCCATAACCCACCTGATCTATTTACATATAAGTTTTGAAATTAAAAAAAAAAGGGTTAAGTAGTCTCACCCTGCAATATATTTTTTTTTTTATTTGTTCCAAAGTCATTGCAATATTTTTAAATTTAGAAATAATTGATAATATATATATTAATATACATTTTATTTTATCTCATCAAAATCACTCAAATAATAAAAAAAAAAAAAATCATTTCTCTCTCCAATCACATTATTTAAATTCAAATTATTTCAAATATTTAATACTTTCCATCTAAATTCTCGTGTCAAACACAAAATAACGTTGCACTGTGTTTGAGATTGATGAAGTATTTATTTGTAATATTTTATGATAAGAAAAATGTATGTAATAAGATGATTATTTAAAAAATAATAATAATAATAATAATAATAATAATAATAATAATAATAATAATATCATCTATAAATAGAATCAAATTGGTTTTGGATCTTTTTCAGGAAAAGTAAACGTAATCGCCAGAGATGTGCAAAACCATCAAGAAAGAATTCATTTGGCGGCTTCTCTTCACAATCACGACTCAAAAAGAAACAATCTTTCTTCCCTGCCTCTCTATATAGTAGTAAAAAATTACCAAAAAAATGATATACAATTGATATTGTATTAAAAAAATGTTGAATATATCATAATTTACGGTACAAAATCATTTTGTATTGTCTCCAATCAAAAAAAAAAAAAACAAAAAAAACAAAAAAAAAAAATTATTTTATTGTAAATTTTTGTATGGTAATAGTATAGAATTATAAGTATAGCAAAAATTCGGTAGAAGTATTGTTATATTTGTAATTTCTCTGTTTCTCGATCTTTTTGTGTGTGTTTTATGTCCTATTCAAAAATCGCTACATTATAAATATAAAATAGGCATGCCATAATTTCCTTTATATACTGAAAATTTATATGATATTTTTTCATATCAATATTAATTTTTAGTACGATACCGTGCTACATAAAATTTCATATCATTATGTCCCACCCTATCCCTAACTTTACATATCTTTGTAATAGAGATTAATAATTAACCATGGTGTGTTCTTTCTAGTCTCTGTACGGTTTTTTACTACTTCAATTCTTTACTTTTCACAATATATGAAATCAAAACATTATTTAAATAAAAAGTTCAAATTTCGAAACCCAAGACACACTTGCAATCCAAGAAATTTTCTTGTATTAGAACATTTATCGTGAAATTCTTTGATGCATAGAAAAAAAAAAAAAAAAAGAAACGAATCTGTATTTATGTTTTAAATGCAACGAATTAAAATATAAAATTTTGTTAATTAGATAAAAACTTAACCAACAAAATACAAATAAAAAGTTGATATAATATTTTAAATAAAAATTTAAACTTTTTATAATACATTAAGTGAGAAGTAATTGTCTAATTAAAAAAAAAATGATATACAACGGAATACTAAAACCAAATTTCAAAAGAAACCGAGCAAAAGTGATGCAACATTAGCTTCGATTTATTAAGGCCAAATTTAAGTCGAAGGAAATGATCAAACATATATCAAACTTTCGACTCAACAAGTCCCCTTCTAGAAAATACACAAAAGCAACATAACAATTGCCATTTATTCTTACACTCGAACTAAAACCTCGGAGGCGAAAATCACAAACAAAACCTATGTAGAATGTTGCAATAATATATGATGCATGCCCTCATTCAATTCCATTCATCTTCCTCATCTCGCCCACAAACTCGTAGATTCGTTGAGGATCAGGAAGAGATTTCGCCACACTTTCCCTTGTCAAGCATCTCTTTATCCAAGCTCCAATTTTAGGGTTTTCATTGTCAATCTTGAACCCTCCAAATTTTTCATAGGCTAAAAACCAAGACGATAATCCAATTAGTACAACATCGACATACCCAAACTTATCGCCACCAAAGTAGTCCTTGTCGCCCATCGCCCCTTCAAGCTTCTTGAGAATGTCGATGAACTGTGTCTTTGCTAGTTCTAGTTCCTCGCCTTTGCTTCTCCATATTGCACTACCACCTTCGAACATCTTTTGATAGGACGGATGTAATGTTTTAAATGAAAATTATAGTTTAAAGATAATATTTTAACTTAAAACGTATATATATATGTGCATGTATACATTCATAGATGTAATATTTTAATTTTAATTTGAAAATATACTAATATATTAAGTGATATATGTATATATATATATATGTGATTGTATACTTTGACAGATATTAAATGTAATCGTTAAATTGATAATATATTTTTAATACTCCATGCCTAATTGAAAAAATAGAGGCTAAATGTAATATTTTAGTTTATATTTTCTCTGTCTTTGTCTAAACTATTTTTTTTAATAAGTTAATAATAACATTTTATTAGTTAATGAAAGTAAAGCAAAAAAAAATTGATATTTTTTACATTTACTTTATGTATAAATTGATAATATATATAATAATATGCTTATAATTTATATAATTTATGTAAAAGTTAATGATAATTTAATATTAATGTGTAAGTAATTTTACTATAATAAAAAATGGAAAGACAAAAATAATAAAAATGGTATATTAGATAAAGACCGATAGGGTATAAAGTATTAAAATTATATTCTTTTGTAGGTTTTACCATATATTTTTACTATTTATATTCTTTTTTTTTTTTGAAAAAAAAAATTAAATCAAACAATTATTTTTTTTATATTATACTACAAATCTATTTTACATTTAAAACACCAAATCAGCATCTATTTATATCACGTTAAACAACTATTCAAATTCAACTTTTAATATTCAAAAATCCAAACCCACGAGCAAACACACCCTAAAATTTTAGGTAATTTTTAGAAAAAAAAAATATATATTTTATTATAGATTACAAAAATAAAATAAAATAAATCAAGTTCCTGACCTTCTTGTCGATAAAGTCCGTCCAAAACCTAGCACGGGCGCGGCCGTAAGCACAATCCGGTAGCAACGGAGATGGCGACGGCCACTTCTCGTCCACGTAGTAGACGATGTTGGAGGATTCCACGACGGGTTTGCCATTGTGGAGAAGTACGGGGACCTTTTCGTAAATAGGGTTTGATTTCAACAACAACGAGCTTTTTTCTCCGAATATGTCTTCCTCCCGAGCCTCGTAAGTCAACCCTTTCTCGGCCAACGCGATCTTCACTCTTGAGGAAAACGGCGATGGCCAGAAATCCAGTAGGACAAGTTCTTCTGTCGTCGACATTGTCCTAATTATCGCGTAGATTGTAATATAATGTGTGTGTGTTGGATTCTTTTTATGTACAAAATATTACATCAATCGCCTATTTATATAGAGATAAATGATGTATGAATTAATTATCCAAATTGAATCTTTGATTTCATCGTTGCATAGTTACCTTTGCTAAGGACAAGGTGACTTTGTGCATGCCATTGTTGTTGTCATTGTCGATGTTTATAAGGTTGTGTTTGGATGTTTGATTGGGAATTGTATTTTGTGTTGCGAATCGTAAATATTTAAATTAAATAATTATTTTATGTGATATATGTAAATAAATATAAAAATAAACACTTGACATACTAATTTTTTTAATGTACAAAGTGAATATTGCTATGCTATTATATTATTGATAACCATAGGAAGTGTCGACCGGACCATAACGAGGAAACCTAAGCCCGGTAATAAATAAAATATTTTGTTTATTAAAAATATTATATTGAAAACAAAAATTAATTGCTTCTTTGTTTTAGCTTCAAATCAATTTTTATAGGATTTAATTCATATTGTTTTAAATAAAAATATATACTCCCTCCGTCTCATAACAAAATATCCAATTTTCTATTTTAGTCCGTTCCATAACAAAGTATCTATTTCTTTCTTTTTAGTAACGGTACTGTCTATCTAACCTTACAAATACCCTATCTAACCTTACAAATACCCTTACAACTTACAATATATTACACAAATGTCATTACTTTTATATCAGATATACTAATAAGGTCATTTTAGTCATTTCTATTTTATTTTTACTACATTTCAATATAATACTAATATTTCTAAAATTACGTCCAAAAAGCAAATGAATATCTAGTGATGGATAGAAAAAGTATTGTTTTTTATAATTTAAAAATAATCACTTTAATTTATCTCAGTTAGCACATGATAATACACATAAATAATAGCACATAATAATAAAATATTCAGAATATATTGTGACAAAAAAATATATATATATATAATATACAACACAAGATATTATCAACACAATATATAAACCATAAAATATATACTTTTATATAACACAATATTATATTATGATATATAATACAAATGTTTGTATTGAATATATATATATACTGACTAGGTGTGTTGATTAATTTAACATTTAAAATTAATACTTTTATTTTGTAATAGTAATATTTTTATTTTGTATATCACACTAAAATTAATTTAACATTTACATATATATATATATCAAATTAAATAATTATTTTAATTCAAAATTGTTATAAAATTTTATAATTCCAAACTTTGTTTCTTTAATTTTTTTCCCTTAAAATCACCAAATTAAATACTTTTTATTTATTATTATATTTATAATTAATAATGTGTTTTCAAAATTAAAACATACATCAAACACCGAATTATATCTATTTGAAACACTTTTTTGATTTAAATTTATTCTATTTTCAGACATACATCAATGGGAAATTATTGGGTTTACAGCCCAAATATTGGGAGCCTAACATTCTGTTTTTGGACATGAAATGAAATCAACAAATCTATGTAACCAACAATAAGAATCCCTTTTTCAATGAATTTAATACAAAACCATGAAAGCAACCAAATTTTCATGTGGGTAGGGCAAATTTGGTAACCAAGTAGTATCATTTTAATATTTTTTTTATTTTCATTTATTTTATAAATTGAATTTATAATAAATATTTTAAAAAAAATAATAATGTGGGTGTGTTTGTGTTACTTTTTAGTTTGAAATGTTTTATGTTAGGTATAAGACAATGTGTTTGATGATATAAAAGTATATATATTTTATGTTGAATTTATAATTTTTTTAAAGGATCTTAGAGTATATATATTATATATTTTATTTGAATATATATGTATATATTAGAATTTTTTATAATATTAATATGAAAGAAAAAAGAAATGGGAAAATAACATATACAAATTCTATCATGGCAATTCTTGACCATAAATATGTGCCCTACTTCTACTTCAATATATTCTTCTTTCTACCTAAATATTCATTATATTTAATACAAATTTAAATTTTAGATTGTATCATAATAAACAATAAAACTATCATCAGTCATAAATCCAATTCCTACACCACCAGATCATCCCTTACGGGATATGTTATTTTTCTTTATAGGATATGTTGTTTGTCTCTTTACGATATATACTGTAATAATTTTTTTAAAAAAAAATCAGCACATAATGAATTCTGATTAAAATTATGTTTAATGTTTTTTATTTTCAAAAGTAGTCCATAAGGGTTTGTTTATTTAATTTTTTTTGTATTTTTCTACATATTTTTAAAATATGATAAGTATAATATTTTGAATAAAAAAGAATATTATAAATAATTTTTCTAAAAATATATAATCATCTAATAGTAAACATTTGGGCGAAAATATTTTTGAAGTTTTGTTCAGTTTTTACTATCTATGTAAATTTCTAAAAATATATATTATTTTATTTTATAATATATTTTATCTAAATTATTATTTAAATTAAAAACTCAAATTATATAATAAAAAAAAATACATTCACTAAACAAACTCTAAATTGTCCGTACTATCATCACTAATGTCTAAGATCATTGATAATAGTAATATAATAATAACCGCAGGATCTAACCATCTACATAATCGGACGGCTGCAATGAATCCGGCGGCTGGTAATACTATAGATAATTTTCAATAATACAGTACTACTTTTTTCCAAAAATAAACGCCGCAGGATCTCACCATTTTTGGATGTGTTTTATTTTTATTTTTAATAAATTTTTTAATATTAGTATTATATTAAATTATAGTAAAAATAATAATATTTTTATTAATCTTGTATAATATAAAAATAATAATATTTGTATAATATATTATAAATTAAAAAAATATATTTATTATGTTAGATAAATAGTATAATTATTAAATTAGAAAATAATATTCTTATTTTATACCAAATAAAAAATAAGACTCTTTTTATAAGACAGAAAGAAAATTTTTAAAATTTAAATTAAATAAAAACAATTATGCAGCATAAATTAACATTGATTTTTTTTTTGTAATATAACAGTAAATTTTTAATATAGTGTAAAAAATTCCGAGCGAAAGATATATATAATATAAAAAATAAAATATAAATATTTTAATTTGATATATTTTTATAAAAAATATTATAAATATTAAAAGAAAAAAAAAAAGACCACAACCAAACACACACTCTACTATTTTTTTTACTCAATTTTCAACTAGACATTTTTATATTAAATATTTATATTTTATATTCAAAACATCGTAATAAATAAATATATTTATTCAACTAAAAATAAATTTAAAATTAAGTTAACATTTTCTTTTTTATTTTATTTTATTTTATTTGTGATAAATGAATGCACGTGTCGCTGTACAAACAAACTTCACACACGAGATACCAAAAAATAAAAAACCGAAAATAAAAAAACAAACATGTGGCTGTTAATTTTTTAAAAATATCTATTTTTATTTTCAATATATATAAATATTTAAAAAATTCGGACACAGCTGGTCCAGAAGCATCCATTCCTTTCTTACCGGCTGTAGCCAGTAGTACTTATCCAGATCAAACCTATCCACCGTAAATTCCCGGGACTTCAACGCCACATAGATCTGAACCGTTGATTCAGTAGGGTCCATATAATCAACAGTTCAGCTTAGTCAGGAGTCGGAGTCCGAAATCTCCACAAAAATCTCATAAACAATAGGCAAGGCGGCACATATTATTCGTGGGGCGGTCGAGTGGCGATGACGTGGCAAAAAAGTGCCAAAAAGTTCATCGCCACCCTTCTGTGGGGCCCATTTATTTATTAAATTCATACCCTGCAATAAATTTAAAATTACACGTCACCATCTTCTTTCATTCTTGTCCACATTTTCGCCAAATTATTATATTTTAATTTTTAAGAAACTGAAGATATTTTTTTCTTCAGTATTAATTTCTAAAATTAATAATAAAAATAAAATGGAGTCTTTGATATTATTGTATAGATTAGAATTTTTATTTGATGATTTTATATATTGCAATTTTGATTGGTGGGTATAAATTTTCAATTTTATTATGATTGGAAAATAAGTGGATAAAAGAAAATAATTGTTTTTTAATATCACTACTTATTATTTTCTTAGGAGATATTTAATACAGGGACACCTGTGGCGCGTGGAAAATGTTGACATGCACGCGCCCTGTCTGAACGACACGTGGACCACCATTTTATTAAATTTTTGTGGTTATGGTATCTTTTCATGTGGCCCTCAATCTTTCCTTTTTTCCATTTTATGGCTCCCACATAATAATCCATACTTCTATCTCTATTCTATCTCTATACATAAGAGTAGTGTGTTCCTTTGGTCAAAAATATACTTTTTACAAAATACTTTTCCGTCTTAATACAATAGTCTTATTTACTATTTTTATCTGTTTTAAAAGAATAGTCTCATTTTCATAAATAACTATATCATCATAAAATTATCCCTATTTTTTTTATTATTATTACACAATTATCATTACTTTTTACACTAATATACTCACATGAGCAAAAAAGTCATTTATCCTTAGTTTTTACCAACTACCAATATAATATCAATATTTCTCAAATTACGTGCTCAACACAATAAAACTATACTTTTGGGATTGAGGGAATATATTTTTTTAAAAACATTAATATATTATACGTAATTATTATTTTTATATTATTTATACAATTTTATATAATTTATCTATAAAAAAAAACGTAGTTTTTTAAACTATTTCAGTGACCAAACAAATTCGAGCTCTCTATTAAAAAAAAAAAATTATACAAAAGCAAAAACAAAAACAAAAAATTGTATGACTTTGATTTGAATTGAGAAGTTTAATTTGAATAATATTTTTATACGATTTTTGTATTTTTTTTTTAATTGTCAATGAACTAGGAAATATAAGTAGTACTTCCTCTGTTATCAAATTGTGTGCTCATTTGACTTGGCAGGATTCTAAGAAAATAGGTAAAAATATAAACTTTTATTTTTTTGGGTAAAAAAATAGAAAAAATAATATTTTTACTAAAAAATAAATTTGAATAAATTTGAATGACAATAAAAAAAAATTAGAATAAATTTGAATGACGGATATAACATAAGTATTTTGATAAAATGTTGTCCAAAAATAAAAAAAAAAAATGTTTTTATTAAGAATTATATGAACGAAATAATATTAATTTTGATTTGAACTCAAAATTAAACACATTATTTAAACGGAGACAATAGTTTCATTTTGAAAATTTAAAATTATTTAAATGTAAAAATAAATATTTCGTATGATATTTAGATTCTTATAATAAGTATATAGTATTTAATATTTTAAACAAAAGATGTTAGTTTAATTTCAAATATGTAGTTGATATTTTCCTGTTCAATTTATTTGTTATAATTTTATTTTAAAATATCCTAAAATAATAATTTCTCTCTACTTTATTCTTTTTACTCTTATCAATCACAAACAAACAAAAAAAATAAAGATAAAATATTCTCAATAAACATATATTATTTCATCTAATAAAACAAATTTTTTTTTCGCCTTTTCTTTTAATTGTACCAAATTTGATATTTTTTCTCTGCATATCGTAAATAAACAATACGTATAGAAATTAGATAGAATTCAATCAAAATCAACCAAATATAGCATATAATATAAATATTAATTTTTGTAATAAAATAAAATACTCTCTCTGACGCATAACAAAATATCAATTTTTCCATTTAAGTCCGTCCCATAACAAAGTATTCTTTTTTTTTTTTTTAGTAATTGTACTATCTACCTAACATTACAGATACCTTTACAACTTTCAATATATTACACAAATGTCATTACCTTTATATCACGCATACTAATAAGGTTATTTTAGTCATTTATATTTTATTCCTACTATATCTCAATATAATACTAGTATTTCTAAACTACGTGCAAAAAATTAAATGAATATTTATTTTTGGGACAGAGGGAGTATATATATAGGGACATGTCTGAAGAAAAAATAAAATAAAATTGGACAAACAAATCCTATAAATTTCTCTTAGTAATGTGTCCTAACCACATGTAGTGTCGTAAGAAAGTGATAATTTGAATTTGTATAACTAATTGCAATATCGACTTTGTTGGTGACTATCAACTTAATTATAACAATTCTAAAAGACTTATTTGCACACATCCAATCATTAATCATTTTATTCAGATATTATCTATTATTGACTGTCTTATATTATTAAGATATTTTATATAAAAAATAATATTTGAATTATTAATTTTTGTGAAATAATATGCTCTCTCTATAAAATGAGGGTACAATTCTTTTATTTAATATAATAAATATTCTTACAATTTACAGCATATTTTAATATAATAAATAATAAATATTATTTTTATATTATATAATACTACCAGAAATATTTTACTTTTTATTTTACTATAAATCAATATAACTAATATTTAAATAATTAAGTTAAAAAAATAAATGTTACTAGTTATTTTACTGTAAATGATGTCCTCAAATACTATATTTAAATTGAAATATAACCCATGTTAACATATTTTCCTTTATTTAGATATTTTTAGCTAAATAATGAACTTTTAGATATTTTTCCAACTTTTGTCAATTAAGTACTCTATAGAAAAAATATTTTTTATTATTATTATTTAATTTTTTTTATCCTATATAATTTTTTATTTTTTTAATAAAAATAATTGTACTTTTTAATATACTATATCCAATACCTATTATCAATTAATTTTTCTAATAAATTCAAAATAATTTAGAATTTGTTTAGTTATGATTTAAAATTGATTTAAAATTGAATATTAATTTAATTTTTTATTTAAATAGTATTTTGATATAATATTTTATAATAAAATATTAAAAAATTATATCAAATAAATAACGTTAATTTTGATTTAAATAAATAAATAAATAAAAACCTTTACAAACATCTACGACCAAAACCTAAATAAATAAAATAAAAACACAAACAACCATATATCACATGTCTAACCAAAATATATATATACACTACAGAAAACAATTTAATACGAAACACTTTTATTTAAAAAGCGCAATAAAATAATAACCAAAAAAATGAAAATCACCTTCACCAATAGTCAACCACCACTCATTTTCAATTCCCCCAACTTTTTTTTTTGCCCCAAATATATTTATTTATAAAAAAAAAAATAAAAAAGAAATTATCTCTCCACTAGAATCAAGACACGTGTCGCAATACGTATGGAAAGTAGGCTTCTCCATTTCTCTACAGGCGCGCGTGGGATTCCCCAAAAAAGCGACGCTGTCGTCGGCTGACGTCATCTCTCCACGTGTCCTTGTCCCTCCTCGAATTTCAGCCACAAGAATTCCCATGGCGTTCTGGATCGTTCCCTTCGCCAAAAGCCCTTAATACGCTTTGACTCTGGTGATGTGGCAGCCATAACCACCCACCTCCGTCCTTCCAAACCCCCCTCAAAAAAGTGCTCCTCCGCCATAACCTTCCTCCTCTTCTGTATCGATTTTGGTTCTGAATCGAGCCAATTGCTTGTTTGTCTTCTTCTTCGCTCTGCTCCTTTCTGTATCGGATTGTGAGGTTTTTTTTAGGTTTTCTGGAATTGATTGAGCGAGCTCATGAAATTAGGGATTTAATTGGGAATTTCTATAGATCTCTCGGAAGGAATTTGTTTCTGAAGGTTTATTGGATTGCACGATCGATTCGCTGGATTCAATCGAAGTTTTCAGCGATTTGGAGATTTTAGAGCAGTTGAGGAGATCTTGCTGTTGATAAACGATGGATTCTGCCGCCATGGATGTAAGCTTTAGTTTTCTCTTTAAATTTTTAACTCTACTATGGATTTGATTCGACTTTCCGCTTGTGTAGTTAAATTACTGTTTTGCCCTTCTTCTTCTTCATCATCTCCTCTGCCATGGCTTCTATAGCTCCATTTACGGTTTTCCTTTCGCATTAGCCATTTTGTAGCGTTTGTTACTAAGTTGGATCGATCTTACAATTTGCTGCATATTAGAATGCAATTTGCGATTGAGATATACGATTTTGAGCTGAATTGGTGCCCTAATTAAGAACTGTTTCCATTGCTGTAAATTGTATGATTGAGCAGTGTCTGTGTGTCCCCTGCAGCCGGAGCAATCCGCCATTTCTACGCCTGCAATTTTCGACGGAAGCTCGATCGAGAAGTCGAATACCGGCCAAGACTTTGCTCTGAAGGTATACATACATATATACACACATCCGCCATTGATGATTGCTTGAAGGTTCAATATGTATCTGTATTCAATTTCTGAAACTCTTTTGATTAGGTGAGGAAGCCTTACACTATTACCAAACAACGCGAACGATGGACCGACGAAGAACACAAGAAATTCATCGAGGCGTTGAAGCTTTACGGCCGAGCTTGGAGGAAGATCGAAGGTTGATATTCGATCTTTCTACATCGTACATTAGTCTTAATCTTAATCTTAATCTTGGCGCGCCTTGTAATAACCAATTCTTCGTGTTCTTGCAGAGCATGTCGGGACCAAAACAGCGGTGCAAATCCGGAGCCACGCTCAGAAGTTCTTCGGCAAGGTTTAACTCCTCTTACATCAAACTATGATATGATTATAACTATATCGAATTTTTCGATGATGTAAGAAGTCGAACGGACGAAACTCCCGTCATATTTGCGAATTCTCATGTCGAACGAGCTATTTTTTGATTTTATTGTATGTTTATGTGGCTTCTTAGGTTGCCCGCGAGTCGTCTAACGGCGAATCTGGCGCAGGCTCGGCGAAATCGATTGAAATCCCACCTCCGAGGCCGAAGAGGAAACCAACACACCCATATCCGCGGAAGCTCGTTTCTCCGGCAAAAAGAGAATCGAGTTCGCCGGAAAAGCAAATGATTCCGGTGTCGCCTAAGTTTTCCGAGCAGGACAACCTCTCTCCGACGTCTGTCTTGTCGACAATCGGCTCGGACTCGTCGGTGGGCCTCGACTCGTTTGCTCCGGTTGGAAGTCCTTCATCGGGTGGCACCGGTTCCTCCGCGACGACACCGAAGCTAGTCTCCGAAGGCACGATAACTTCGCGAAACGACGAAATTGTACTCCTGGTAACGTCGAAATGACTCGATTAATCTTTCCGACGATGTTTTTTTTTGACTCTCGACCTCGACTAACGATGTTTGCTGTGAAGGAATTGGAGCTCTCGTCGCAAACTGCGATCGTCATTAAAGAAGATCCGAGCGAATCATCCGCGACGGCGCAAAGCTTGAAGCTTTTTGGACAGACGGTGTTAGTCGATCGTCGAGATACTTGCAAGATGAATTTGACCGACACGAGTGTTTCTGAGCGCGTTTCGAACGATCGTTTCCCGTGGCTAACTCTATGCTGCGACGTGCGACAGTCGCAAACCGAAGTCCATAGCCCGACTCCGATCAAAGCGCGGCTGATGCGCAATAACGACAAAAATGAGGGATTATCGTCAATGGAGATGACGACGAGTTTCTCGTTGTGCAAACTAAGTCTTAACCGGAGAAAGGGATTTGTGCCGTACAAACGGTGCTTATCGGAGAAGGAGAAAGCGCCGGAAGATCGGGAGCAGCGGCAGCAGCGGATACGGCTCTGTTTGTGACATGTCGACGACGACTATCTAACTCGCGGATTGACCGGATCGAACGGTCCGGATTGTCTGCGGTGTAACATGGTTTGATCTTCTTGTTCTTGTTCTGGTTCTGGTTCTGGCTTTTTAGTTCTTGTTTCTTACATATGGTTAAGTGTTTGTTGGATTGTAAGTTTAAGTGAAGATGGATTTGCAATTGTCTGATGTTATCTTCTTCTGTGAATTTTGTCACTCTGTAAAACTTATATTGGCAGGTTTCAGTTGGATTAAGAGCTTCATGTTATTTCGATTTTCTGTTTAAATAGTAATTTGATATAATTAGGAAGATAAGTGAAGAAAGTCTCAATACCCAGGTGAATTTATGATGCTTTTGATGAAGGAATGGAATTGTTGACATAATAAAGAATTGAATCATAATGAAATGAAATCCTAAAAAAAATATAATTAAATTTGATTATTATATCGGAATAAAATAAAAATTTCAACTGAAAAATATAACAATTGAAATAAAAACTCCTCCCTTCTTCCCAACAATTAGATGAAGTATAATTATTAACTAATTAAAAAGTATATTAGTAAAAATAATTACTATTCAGTAAAAATAATTATAAATTAAGATTAAAATAACTAAATAGTTTAATTAAAATTAAAAAAATTTTAAAATTTAAAATTTAAAATATCATTAAAATGTATAATTAATTTTTAAAAATAAAAAATATTAACAAATTACATGGAACGAATGAATGAATTATTTGAATGAAATAGTAATTGAAAAGACAAGACCTAAACATGTCAAAATTGAGCAAAAGAGAAAAGTAAAAGTAAAAGTAAAGCAAAGAAAGAAGAAAAAAAAGAAAATAATAATTTAATACAGATAACATGAGGAACTGAGTATAATAAAATTTTAATAAAAATAAAAATTTTCATAAATAAAAATATATTATTCACATTCGTAAAATATTATATCAAAATGGTAGATATTTAAAAAACAAAAAAAAAAAAACTAACATAATTTTTATTGTCAAAATTCTATTATCATCGTCTCTTGAAGGGTTACAACTGTCTGTTGATCAAAAAGGACCAATCTCAACAACAATCGGTGAAAATGTCCCAGTTTTTCACGATCACTGAGGTTGTAAAGATAAAAAAATAAAAATGAAATTACAGTAAGAAAACCAGCAGTGGTTCTTGAAGAATTCTAAAAGATCGAAGTAGAGAAGAAAACAAAAACCAGACTTCGAACAAAAAAGGGAAAAAGAAAAAACAATGGTGGATTGAAATTGCACCGCATATTATGTTAGCCATATATATATTCGGCTGTATATTCTCTGTATTTTACTCATTCCTGTGGGCACCAAAAAAAATTTCTCAAAGGATTCATCCAGGAGCACCACGTGCCTCTGGATTCTTCCTTCCTACCCAACCCCCGACCCGACCCCATAACTTCTCCATCTTGCGTGAAATCTCCCTCTCCCATCTCTTATAAAGAGCCTAATCGCATTCCCATTTCGCTCATCTGTCTGCCCCTTTGAGTGTATTCATCTCCAAGTGATCCTTCTCTCGAAGAAATGGCTGCTGCGGACACCATCTCCAAGCTCAAATCTGACGTCGCCACTCTCAATCAGATCAGGTTTTGTTTTAATCCTCTTTTGATTGATTTTTTTTTTTTTTTTACCGAAGATCTGACGGGAGGAGAATGGCGCTGATTGATTTGGTTATGTGCAGTGAAAACGAGAAATCTGGATTCATCAACCTCGTCAGTCGATATCTCAGGTAAAGTGAAAACAATTGGGGATTTTTTAATTTTTTACTTTTTGGATTCGGTAAATTTCTTTTATCAACGAATTTGGTATTCTATTATTCGATTGAAGTGCATTTTGGAGAGATTTCTCGAAATTGAGCAGTCATTAGATTTACAAATTGTTCGATGGCAAGCATTGCAGGTTGATCTAACAGAATTAGGGTTTAGTCGAAATTAAGTTCATCAATATATGTAGTACCTTCAATCAGTATTTCTCTCCATGTGAATGTTTAATTTTTTGAGATATCCGATGGATCAAAATGTGTAGCTATTGAATTTTGGTTTCTGCTGAGCTGATTCGATGCTCTGCTTTTCGTTTTTGTCGAAAATTGAAGTGGCGAAGCTCAACAGATCGAATGGAGTAAGATCCAGACACCAACTGATGAGGTTGTGGTGCCTTACGACGCCCTCGCCCCTGTGCCGGAAGGTAAATTCCACAATTTGATCTATCGAATGGTTTTTTTTTTCTTCAAATTCAATGACTCATAGGAATTGATTAATTGATTATCACATTACTACAAACGTTGTTGCTGCAGATCCGGCAGAGACTAAGAAGCTTCTCGAAAAACTTGTGGTGTTAAAACTCAATGGAGGCTTGGGAACTACAATGGGTTGCACCGGTCCAAAGTATGAGCTCATCGTGTTATTTTAATTGCGCTTGCGACCGTTTAGATATGCGTTTTGGAGTTTTGGAAAATCTTAGAAATAGTAAAAATTGAGTATTTGATATTTGATATAATGGTTTTTTGAAAAAGTTACTTCGATTATTATTGCTAAAAGTTCCATAAGTATCTATATGTAAAGCTAATTTGAAGATGCATTTCGTTTATTGAATTATGGATCCTAGCAGCGTAGTATTAGTTCGTTCGTGTTTATATTTTGTTAATCGAATTTTGAGGTATCTCTTTCTTGAATGCAGGTCTGTTATTGAAGTCCGTAATGGATTGACATTTCTCGACTTGATTGTTATCCAAATTGAGGTATCTTGCGCGCATTCTACAGTGTTTTCCAAAAGTGTGTATTGCTAACATTTCTAGTTTTTTTGCAGACACTCAATTCGAAATACGGCTGCAATGTGCCCCTCCTTTTGATGAACTCATTTAACACTCACGACGACACATTGAAGGTGAAACACTGTCATACAGTCACTTGCTGCATTGGAATTAGAGTTTCTTCCTGACTTGTTTCGATTTGAAAATTGTAGATTGTTGAAAAGTATAGCAACTCGAGTGTTAAGATCCATACGTTCAACCAGGTTCATATTCCACTTTGTTTTATTTTTAACACGAGCACAAAAGTAGTTTATCATCCATATTTGAGGCTAATTTTGTTTGATTTGTCTTTATCGCAATTTCCAGAGCCAATATCCTCGCCTGGTTGCCGAAGATATGACTCCACTTCCTTGCAAAGGAAATACCGGCAAGGATGCATGGTACGCCGATTATACAACTCTTCTAAATGATAATGTCTTTACCTATTTTCGAGTGTTTGGATATGTTCGACATTATTTTGGGAATAGTAAAAAAGTTGAATAGAAAATAGATGTTTGATGTGGGCATTTCGACTATTATTTTACCTTAAAATCCCATAACCAAAACCAACAAAAACACAAAAAGAATACCCCATTAAAAGCATTATTCGTATTGCGAAATAGTTTTGGTTTCCGTTGATTTAAATAGCAACATATGGTGATTTTTTAAAAGAAATATATATTTGCTTCGCAACAAAGTATGAGTATGTTTAAATGATGCAGTTTATTTCAAGATCATTGTTAGTTTGAGGGGATGTTGTATAATGTTCGAATGCAGGACAATGACTGAAGCTTAATTAAATTGTTGAATTCATATATTATGAAAAGGAATATGTATAATTTTGTAAAATTTATGTTCGGTGCATTGTGTATTTAGATATTTTTGAATCGTTTACAAGTTCATTGTGTCCCATGAATGCATTTTTCTGCTACAGGTATCCTCCGGGTCACGGAGATGTCTTTCCTTCTTTGAAGAATAGCGGGAAGCTCGATGAATTGATATCTCAGGTTTAGCCTTCTGAGATGGCTCTCTGTTTTTGGAATTATACCATTCATAACTGATTTAAGCAGCCTATAGATTCATGATAGTTTCATCTTTTCCCGTCATTCGTCAGGGCAAAGAATACCTCTTTGCTGCCAATTCAGATAATTTGGGTGCCATTGTCGATTTGAGTATCCTTTGGTGGCTGGAAGTTTTCCATCTCAAGTTTTTGCAGAGTTATATTTTACTTCGTTTTATATTTTAGAATTCTACTGACCTGTTCTTCATCCTTAATTAAACTACTTCAGAAATTCTGAATCATCTGATAAACAACAAGAACGAATACTGCATGGAGGTATGTAAATGAATCATTCCTAGATTTCTTTCTTTTTTACGAAACAAATTTTTTACTCCTTAAAATGTATGTGTTTTTGCAGGTCACCCCCAAGACACTGGCTGACGTCAAAGGTGGTACCCTGATCTCTTACGAAGGGAAAGTGCAGCTCCTGGAAATAGCACAAGTTCCTGATCAACATGTAAGTTTCTATCTCGTATCATAAGCTGTTTTGTTTGTATCGTCAGAATCATAAACGGCGTTTATTTTTTGTTGTTCTCTCGAATTGTGAAAAGTGGGTATGTGATTTTATGTTTTTTAAATTGGTGCAATTTACCATCCCACAAGATTTCTGTTGTGATTTTATTTTTATTTTCGAGTTTATACAAACACAAGGGGTGTGTTCTTTCTATATATTATAAATTTTGGCTTTCATTGTTTTTTAAATGAAATAATGGTCGGATCAAATGTTTTGTATGAAAAGTGAGTATGTTTTTACCGGGAACAATGAAATTGTACTGAGCGAAGGTTATTTAATTTACTTTTTTTTCACAACACGGCATTGTTAGGTTCTTTATTTACATCTGTATTCTTTGTTGTTCTTCATATGCTTCATTCGATCAATCAAAGATCTGTGCCGTCGGGCGTACATTTTATCCTACTTTCCTCTCGCCATGGTTGACATTGATATAATTCCCAATTCATCGCAGGTGAACGAATTTAAATCGATTGAGAAATTCAAAATTTTCAACACCAACAACTTGTAAGTCGCTGAGCAACTTTTTGGTTCAATCGTTTCTTAGTAGCTATTACTCTTCGAACTAATCTCTTCTTAATATTCACGCAGGTGGTTAAACTTGAAGGCCGTTGATCGACTTGTTCAAGCCAATGCTCTGAAAATGGAGATCATTCCGAACCCAAAGGTACGTAGAAAACTACGTTTGCTTAAAGTAACAATCTTTCTAACGTCTGCTTGATTTCTAGGAAGTTGGGGGCGTCAAAGTTCTTCAGCTCGAGACTGCGGCTGGTGCGGCAATCAGGGTATGTAACAGCCTTAAATCTCTCGACTTTCATAATTTTTAGCATTAAGTCTGGTAGTAAATCGGATGATCATAAAATATACCACGATATATTCGCAATTTTGCTTTCGAAGTGTTTAATTTTCTTGGCGTATGTTAGTTCTTCGATCATGCCATCGGAGTCAATGTTCCCCGGTCCCGTTTCCTCCCAGTAAAGGCCTCTTCAGATCTGCTCCTAGTCCAAGTAAGTGTCGAACACCGAAACTTGGTCCATTTTAAAGAAACAATTGAAAACCTGCGGCTGTTGATTACCAACTAAAATAAAACCATTCGTCTTCCAGTCTGATCTCTACACTTTGTCCGATGGCTTTGTGACGCGTAACCCCGCGAGGAGCAATCCGGAGAATCCTTCGATCGAGTTGGGACCTGAATTCAAGAAGGTCGAGATTCATACCGGCTGGTTATTTGCACTGAATTGGCGAATCTCTCTTCCCCGTATATCGATCTAATCTATGCGAGCTTTCGATCTACAGGTCGCCGACTTCTTGAGCCGGTTCAAGTCCATCCCGAGCATCATTGAATTAGATAGCTTGAAGGTGTCAGGCGATGTTTGGTTCGGATCCGGTGTTACTCTGAAGGTAAGCTGTAACTTATCTCAATTTAATTTCGATAAAATTGCTTATAGGCTGCACTATATGATTTAGAAATTGGATGAGATTTTTTCGTATTTTAGAAAATATTGGTACTTATTCTCTTAAAAATTGATCGAGTTTTAAAAAATATTGCACATAATCTGTAAGACTATAAAAATGTGATTTGGTGAAATATTTTTTAAATCACGATATAGTCTCATATAATTTCTAAATATGAAAAAAATAGTGCAGACTTTCTAAATCACAAGTGAATTATAAGTATTTTTGTCTTTAATTTAATTTTTTCGAAAGCTACATCCAAACATTTCGAATTCTTCTCTATCCCTTCCAGGGTAAAGTGACGATTGCTGCCAAATCGGGTACTAAGTTAGAAATTCCCGACAAAGCTGTGATAGCCAACAAGGTATGTTAAAATGCTTAAAGACTGCTTTACGCCGCAAAATTAAAATGAAATTTATGATGCTTAATTGATCTCAAACTTGCGCCAGGATATCAATGGTCCCGAAGATATTTAAATGAGCAGCAAAGGGTACATTGCTTCGCGCCGAGGAAGGATATTTTCGCATAAACTTTTAGCTCTTTTTGGTTGGTTTTCGATCGAAAATAAGTCGGGTTTTGAACTATCTTGTCTTGTCTTGTCTGCAAGTTTGTTGTCTATTCGAAAAGCAGACATATTATTACATGTATACATACATACATCGTTGGCTGTAAGAAGTCCTATTTGAAATCTGTCGAGAGTTCGAAAATTTTAATTTCTTCAACATATATATCAATTATAGCTCTCGCCTGTTTTGTTCATATGGGTATCTTCTTGTTTGCGATTTTTATAGAGATTCGAGATTGAATTTTTACTATTATGATCCAGCTTGATATAAATTTTCCGTGAATAATATTAACATTTGGTAACTATTATTTTTCCATTGTACTAAGTATCATTTTCTAATAGTAGTAACTATAATCATAATAATATTTTATGTTTATAATTATTCACATCACATCTTACGGGTTGAATAATCTTTACCTATTAAAATCATCACTATTAATTATAATTAATATATAATATTTATTAAATTTCATGAAAAAATGTAATAATTAAATATAATGTTTATTAAATTTTATGTAAAAAAAATAAATATTGGTCTGTTTCGTTAGAGTAGGTTTGGAAAAATATACTGTTTGCGCACTGTTGAGGAGCCAAAGGGCGCGAGACCACGCCTACTCCACAAGGACTGACAAATCTCGGCTTAGAGCTGTCAATGGGTCGATTCTTGTCGGGTTGAATATTTTAAATGGGTTAAATTATTCAACTCTAATTCGACCTGTTTATTATCGTGTCGGGTTCGTGTTAACCCGTTTATTATCGTGTCGGGTTTGGGTTGACTCGTGTTGACCCGTATACATAATTAAGTCTAATTTCTTGATTCAAATTAAGTATTTTTTTTATTTTGTTGTCGTGTTATGTTAGTTTTTATTGGGTTGAGTCTAAATTAGGTTGAATTATTTAAAATTGAAATTAGTTTAAATTAATTTATGAAAAATTATTAAATTATGATTATTTTTTATATATAATAAATATATTAACCAATATTAATATATTATAATCGAGTTGTCGTGTCTGGTTCGAGTTGAGAGCCTCAATCATAATCCGACCCGTTTATTATTGTATCGGGTTCATGTCAACCTGTGTACATAATCGGGTTGAAATTTTTGACCCAAACCCAATTATTTCATGTCGGGTCAGTTTTTGCCAACTCTACCTCGACTATAGGCTGATGGTGCATAATTATATTATTATTATTATTATTAATTTGTATATATATATATTTTTTAATTTGATGTGGTAGGTGAGAATAATATTTATATATTTGATATTTATTTATGTTATAATATAATAAAATATATACTATGTCATCTTGCAGTGGTAAAGAATAAATTTTTTTATAATATAAATAAATATATTTTAAAAATATATATTTAGATATGATATAAATTTATAATTTAATCATATCATTATTAATTTTAAAAATTTGAAATTAATACATACTTATATTATTATATTTATGACTCATCAAATCAATCATATCAAAATTTTTCAAATTTTCTAACCAAACTTAAATACAAAAGAAACATCAAAATTCAAACTCAACTCAAAGTTCAAATTAAAATCAAATTTAAATTCAAATTTCCCCAAAATACTATTTTTTTTTTTTTTTTCATTTTTTCAAGTACTTTGTCAAATGAACTGGAAAAGTATTTTTTTTTCAAAAAATAATAGACTATTCTCATTTTTTTACTTTTTAAGAAAATATATGTTGAACTATGTATAATGTCTGGTGTTGACTTTGAAATTTAATATTGTAGTAAATAATAGCATATTGTTTATTATCCAATAGCACACAATATTATTGCGAAAAATAAATTATTTATATTAATATAATATAAGTATATAACGTACATATATAAAATACAAGTATTAAATATAGACAAATGATAAATGTTCTTATTTCACAAGCTACATGTCATCTCCACTTTTGATTTGTGTTATCTACACGTTACATGGTGTTATTTGAAAAAATCAAGTTTGTGTTGATATCCTCTTAACCAACACTTTAACGAAGCTATGCATATAATATATATTAACCATATTATTAGGTACTGCATGAATTGAGATAGTCAAGCTAAAAAAATTCATTATAAAAGATCAAATGTAATTTTATTAATAAAAAAATATTTGATTATGCGAATTTCGTCCAATTTTAATTAAAAACAAAAAACAAAAAAGACATGAAAAATTAGGCGAATTGTATTGATATCACAAAAAAGATAACAAAATTAAGGTAGTGTTTCTTTTGCACCAAACTCTCAAAAAAAATACTTTTTGTACCAAGCATTTTTTTTAAAAAATACTTCCTCCGGTACATTTCAAAAAGTGTTTTTGACATTTTGTAATAACTTAATAAATAATTATATTTTATTGGTTAATACAAGTATGTAAATTTTTTTAATATTTTTGCCTTTTGGTTTTATATATAAATTAAGTAATTGTATATGTAATGATTGGTTTGTAATTTAAGTAAAATTTAAAGGTATCTTATTATCAGTGTATAATTACTTTTTCTAAAATAAAAAAAGTGGGACGGACGAAAATGATAAAAATATACTTTTAAATTAGAATAAAATAGAGTATATTTTTTTCTCTCACAAAATATCACATCAAACATTACTTTAATACTAATTTCAAACCAACAACACTAACAATACAACCCAAAAACATGTGATACCAAATTCTTAGACACCATCAGCACAAAACCCTAACACTAAAAACCCTAATCAGAGCAGTCCAGTGCAGTTTTGATCTTTTGGATTGTGGAGCTTATCAGGGCATGAACAGTGGCCACAGACTCCATGTTCAGCTGCTTTGACAATTGGTTATGGCAAACCAATATTTGAAAAGTAGCAGTCAAGAGTGAGCCGGAGCCGGGAGTCGACCTGCTCGATAAAGCAGCTCCGTGGGCTGATCTGTCGGGGTGAAAAATCGCCGGAGATCACATATCCTGATGGAAGGATAGGTGTTTTCTCTGTGTCTTCGCCATTGACGACAATGGCTGCCAGATCCATCACGGTGTAGATTAATGTCGCGCCCAGGCTGGCAACGCCGGTATCTTCCAGCATCAACATGTTGCTCTCTTTCGGGATAAAGGGCTGGAGATGAGAATAAATCTTATGTAAGATTATACGGTCGCATTCATAGCCCTAATCGGCGCTAACTTTTAGGTTTTCGCAAGTTTTTACCACGGACAAAGGGTTTAGGGGATAAGGTTTTGGCACAGCCCGGATTGTATCAGCTAGATTTGATACCAGATGACGCGGTCCAAATTGTATCAACTAGATTTGGAACATAGATGAAAGAAGAGAATGAAAAAGCAAGAATGCAGAAAATGTGAATTAATCCGGCTGATGACCTTAAATAAAAACCAAAGCTAAAACATAAACGATAGGCTAAATCCCACTACAAAAAGTTGAAAGTTACAAATCGATTGAATCACTTCAAATACTCGATTTGAGGTAATATAAAGAATGTGAATTAACTCAGATTGATAATCAACCGTGAGAATAAATCTCAGATCTGAAATCTTAACCAAAAGACAATATCACAAATAATAGGTTAAATCACACTGCAAATTATTAGAAGACACGAGCCAATGAAATCAATTCAAAGATTCGACTTGAGATATCCAAGTGGAAAAAAATCATATCATAGCACTAGACAAATATTGAATGAGAATAATAAGAAAAAAAAAATTATTTTAAGATTTACTATGATTCCATTACAATGATATCAATGAGTTTTTATAGAGGCGCCGGAGAAAAGAAAGAAAAGGAAACATCAAATAAAAAGGAAACAAATTAAAAAGAAAAATCTAAACAAGGAATTATCTATACAAGTCAATAAATAATAAAGAAACTCTAAATATGAAAATGTATTATAAGGAAACATATAATAAATGACAATATATAATAAAGTAACTTTGAAATTTTTACATAATTATTTATTGTACTAGTATTGATATGACTCGGTTGGGTGATATTTGAGTTAGATATATAAAAATGGTAATGTTCAACAAATCCGTCTTCAACAATATTTTCTTTGAGTTTAGATGGCCGTGTCATATTTTACGGGTTATATTTAATCAAGACTCCATAGGATTTTGTTAATTTTGAAAAGTTGAATGTATTTAATTTAGAATTTAAAAGGTTTTTAAAATTTGAAGATATTCAATACAAACTTTTAGAAGTTTTTTAAAATTTTATGATATTGAACGATTCATAAACTTTAAAACTCTACTCCTAAGTAGAGATTTTGATATATTCTTTTATAAGAATACATATTATTATCAATATATAAATATTAGGATAATACTATCTCCGTCCAACTCCAAGAGTTTCATTTATTTTTTGCATGTTGATATTTAAATATTAATTATTATATCAAAATATAATATAAATTAAGAAAAAATTGCAGAAATACTTCAATTAGTGTCTTATAATACCAGTAAAATGACATTTGTACAAAAAAAATTATACTTCCTCCGTCCATTAAAATTAGTCCATTTTGGTTCGACACGGGAATTAAGAAAAATAAATATTTTATTGAAAAAGTGATAGGTAGTTGAGAATATTTTTGGAATTTTAGTTAAAAAATAAAGTAAATGAAGAGAGAGAATGTAATAAAGTTAGTGGTATTTGTTGTAAATAAGTGTTGAATGAAGGGTAATAATTAAATGTTGATTTGTTGACTTTGCCAAAATTAGTAATAAGATAAATTTAGTAGATGGGCTAAAAAGAAAAATGAGAATAAATTTGAGGGACGGAGGAGTACAAATATAAAGATATTTTTAATATTAAGTAAAATGACGCAAAAGGTAAATGTGACTCTAGAGACGGACGAATGAAATATTTTGTAATATTACAATAATTTTTTATAAAAATAATAATTTAAAACAAAATATAGTAGCAAATGGTTACCAATTATTCGAGAGTATGTGTTTTTATATCATTAAATATAGTAATTAAAAATGTTACGGTTTTATCCTAATATATTTGTATTATTACCGTCTTTCAGTTTCCAATTAACAAAAACATTGTATCGTCATTTTAGCGAAGTGAACTAACTATATACATATTTATATTTTCTTTAATAAAAAAATAAACAAGAACCGCTGATTTATATATATATATATAGATATCATTTGTTTCTTTTAATTTTTTTTTGGTAAACTGTTGTTTTAGTTCCGTAACTGGACCCGTTATCATTTTAGTCCCGTAAGTGGAACCTGTCGCAAACTAGTCTTATAAATGAAAAATTTTCGTTGTTTTAATCCTCCGGCGCCGGAGACGCCAGCGTGGCTCGCTGGAGATGACGTGTCTCCTTGACCTGGCGGACATGTTGATTTTTTTATTTTATTTTTTCATTTTTTTAATTTTTTTTAAAACTTATTTTTAATTTATTTTTAATTTTATTTGTATTTTTTTTATTTTTTTATTTGGTCCAATTAAAAAAAATTAAAAAAAATGAAAAAAAAATCAACGTGTTCGCCAAGTGTCGCTGACCTGGCGGGATACCTGGCGGACACGTCACCTCTGGCGAGCCACGCGGGCGTCTCCAGCGCTGGAGGACTAAAACAACGAAAATTTTTCACTTATGGGATTAGTTTGCGACATGCTCCACTTACAGGACTAAAATGATAAAGGGGTCCAGTTACGGGACTAAAAAAACAGTTTACCCTTAATTTTTTTTTATCGTAATATGATCTTTTGTTAGGGGGATTTTAGCCCAAATTCACTTTTTATCCAAATTTTTTTCTTTAAAAGTATCAAATCAAACATCTAATTTTTATTTTTTATATTAGAGTAAAAATTAATTTTACATTTAAAACATCACATCAACACCTATTTATATCACATCATACAACTATTCTAATTCAAAACTTTTACTATTAAAATCTCAAACTCAAAATCCAAACCCTCAAACAAACACACCCTAAGTATTATTTATATATTTAAATGATGCACTACCAAGAACAAATAGATTTAAGTGTCTTATGATAACATACTCCCTCCGTCCCAAATCAAATGGGTCTTATGAAATTTTGTAATAGATTAATAAATAATAGTATTTTATTAATAAGTAAAAATGTGTAAGAATTTTTGACATTTTTGTCCATTTGACTTTATATATAAAGTAATTGTATGTGTAATAGTATATTTGTAATTTAAGTAAAAGTTAAAGGTATTTTGATATTAGTGTATGATTATTTTTTTCTAAAATATAAAAGAAATATTTTGAAATGGGGCATACGAAAATGGTAAAAATGGTACTTTGAATTAGAATGAAGGGAATATTTTTTATAGTATTTATATATTTTTTTAAAATAGTGACAAACTAACTAATTTTAAATTAATACAGTAGTATATATTTTTAGGTAAATGTTACTCCATTCGTTCCAAAACAATAAAGACATTTGGAATGGACACGATAATTAATAAATAATAGTATTATAGTGGTAGTGGGTGTAAAAACGTTTCTAAAAGACCAAAATGCTTATACTTTATGTAATTATTGTGAAAAAAAAAAAGTATTGATTTTTTAAAAAGTGGGGAGGTAGTTACAAAAAATGGAAATAACACGGTTGTTTTAAAACGGACGAAAATGACAAAATGAGACTATTGTTTTGAGACGGATTGAGTACTTTTTTTGGATTGCGAACTTATTAACCGACATCAATTTTTAGTTCCTTTACGTTGTGTTCAATATCATTTAAAGGATTTTTGGTAAGGTCTTCATCCTACATGCGTCGTTAAGAAATATGATTGAGAGAATTTTTAGTATTCTTAATTGGATATTCACAATTTTAAATATCGCACCTCCATTTCCATTTCAAACTCAACCAAAGTTAGCGTTGTATTACACAATTTTCTTCGATAAGTACGTCGCTTTGATGAATATCTGGTCGAATATGAAGAAGATATCAAAATTTTCCATATCTCGACATGAAAGATGAAATTTTGAATTTTCTTTCTCAAAGTTAATACAAAAAAAAAAAACGAAGCTAATGTATGGAGAATGCATATTGCTAAAGCTATATGAGAATAATGTTGAGGTATAACGATAATGAAAATGAAGATGAGAATAATAAGAATGACTATTCGTGTTTTTTTTTTTCAGCTAACTTTTTTTTAATAATTTTGTTAAATAATTTTAATGGTTATATATATATACATAAGCATGCCTCATATGAGTTTATAGAAATTATATAAATTAATTAAAATAATTATTATACAATCCTATCAATTCTATAAAATTCACACAAACCAATAGATAATTCAATTAAATTTATGAAGATTCATTCAAATCAATAAATAAAATCAATCAAACTCTACATTGATATATGAGTTTTCTAATTCTACATATTTTTATTTTTTTTTAAAAAAAAAAACAAAATCCTAAACAACCCCCCTAAATAAATATTGGATGCAATATTTTGTACGAAAAATATACTTGTCCGTCCGCCTCGAAGTGTCACGTTTACTTTTTGCGTCGTTATATTTAACATTAAAAATATTTTTATATTTATATAATTTTTTGTACAAATGTCCTTCTATTAGTATTACGAGACACTAGTGAAAATATTTTTGTTTTTTTTAATTTGACTACGTTTTGATATAATAATTAATATTTAAAGATGAATATGACAAAATAAATAAAACCCAGCGGACAGAGGCAGTATTTATGATGTAATATTGTAAAAGAAAATTAGATATTTAATGTGATTTAGAAAAAAAAAAAGAAAAAAAAAAGTAGTCGAAGAACTAACCTGGATGATCGAGATACAGTTCCCGGGATCTGTCCTAGTCGAGATGCACACACAACTGTATTTATATGGTTTCCACTGACCAAGACACACACTGCACAATAAGTTTTCGACCATTTTTCTAAATAACATAAATTATAATAAGCAATGAATTAAGAATGCCAAAGTTCACAACAACTTCATATAAAATGAGAAAGGTATAATTAATTTGGGTGTGATGTTAATAGTTTCATTTCTATTAATTGAAATTTACTTAAATCACGATGTTCGATTTAAGATCAACCATTTCTGTTTAGATGATTGTAAATGTGAGAGCATCTATGTCAATGTTGCAGAATTTGCAATGGAGATTCCGCTGATGAACACTAATTAAACTATTATAGCAAATGAAAAATTGAAATCGACAGAAATCATATATATATATATATATATATCTTCAAAGTAAATCCAACCATCTCAAAGCCAAGATCTGTTCCAAACTCTCCTCCCCAGCAATATTAATTAACAATACAACCACAAAAACATGTGATAGTATCCTAACCCTAAAAGCCCTAACCCTAAAAACCCTAATCAGCACAGTCCAGAGCAGTTTTGATCTTCTGAATTGTTGAGCTTATCAGAGCATGAATAGTTGCCACAGACTCCATATTCAACTCCTTCGACAATTGGTTATGGCAAACCAATATCTGAAAAGTAGCAGTCAAGAGCGAGCTGGAACCAGGAGTCGACTTGCTCGATGAAGCAGCTCCGGGGGCTGATCTGTCGGGGCGACCATCGCCGGAGATCACATATCCTGATGGAAGGATAGGGGTTCTCTCCGTGTCTTCGCCGTTGATTACGGCGACAATGGCCGCCAGATCCATCGGGGCGTAGATTAATGCCCCACCGAGGCTGTCGACGCTGGTTTCTTCCAGCATCAACATGTTGCTCTCTTTTGGTATAAAGGGCTGCAGATGAGAATAAATTTTATGTAGGATTCTACGGTAGTAACTTCGCATTCATAGCCCTAATCGGCGCTAAGTTCGAGGTTTTTGCAAGTTTTTTCCATGGCCTTAGGGTTTAGGGGGGTTAGGGTTTTGTGTTCTTGATTAGTGAATGTTCATTTTTATGTCTATGTTTATGCCAATAATGATCACTTTTAGATATTGAAAGTGTTATAGACTTTTGGAGGGTTTTGAAAATAATAAAAAGTTAAATAAATAATAGATATATATATATATATTTTTAATGTAAATAGGTATTGATGTAATGTTTTATATAAAAAATATATATTTCTAATGTAATATTTTAAAGAAAAAATAAATATTTGATGTGATTTTTAGCAAAATGCAAGTGTCAATGAGTCGAGGAACTGACCTGGATGATCGAGATACAGTTCCCGGGATCTGTCCCGGTCGAGATGCGCGCAACTGCGTTTATAGGGTTTCCACTGGCCAAGACGTCCCACTGCAAAAATGTTTTGGATAATTTTTCTACCATTGATTCTAAATAACTTAAATGATCATAAGCAATGAATTAAGGATGCCAAAAAGTTCACAACCACTCTATGTATTGTTACCTCACTCCTTTTCTTCTCATCTTTGAAGAATTTGAAAAGATCCACACTCGAAACCGGGAGCCAAATCGAGGTAGACGCGCTCACAATGAAGCCCTCGGGTGTGCCTATTCCTACACTCCTTCTCAACGACACGCGAACCCCACTATTCTTGAACTCGGACAAGTGGGGGAACTCGAGCTTTTCCGACATACTCAATGCTTCGCTAAAATCCTTGATCATTCTATGAGAAAGCCTCATTAAATTTCTCCTCCCCTCAATCGAATCGATCACTAAAACAAAAATGATATAAGAGTTTAAAGTTAGCATTTCAAGTTGCAAATTTTTTTTTGATTCACAAATATTTGCAGTAAAAAAAAAATCACGATTTTAATATAGATTTATAATTTTTTTGCCCATAGTTAGGGAAAAAGCTATGGAATAACCTTTGTAGATCTTTGTACATACCTCCTTCAAGTTCATTTCTATTCGTAATCGTAAGCCCCATAGAGAATGCAAACCTCTCGCACATCCTTTGAAGCGTAGCAATCCATCGCTTTGCGCCATAAGCTTGGCATCCACAAACCAACTCTCTAAACAACCTATGCGTCAATGCTTTGTCATCCACTTGAACATGCTCGATCCATGTTATCTATCGAGAGGAAATGTGGTAAGTAACTTGACTCGGGGTATATATACATAGATTAATTATTGCAACAAGAACCAAAAAATGGAAATTCATGTAGTTAATGTCGACGCTACCCTTTGATTCATCTATTTGTTAATATACATTGGTTTATACAAGTAACAACTAACCTTCGCATTTTTTTTACTATGGCTACATCAATTTATTGAACAATAATTGTTGAAAAAGAAATTTTGGGTCTAGAATGTAACATGATTATGCAAAAATTTGTTGTAACTAGAGGATTAACAACTCAATTTTCTTGAATGCTTTCTTAATTATGATAGGATTAACAACTAGAGGATTAACAACTCATTCGAAATAGGATTATATCACATAATTTCTAATTTTTTTTACATAATTTCTAATTGATTTCAAACAACATATAATATAAAAATCCCAAAATATGCACATTATATATTGCTTATAAAGATGCACATTTATCACTGTTACTATAATTTATATAGCTATACAGAGCATTTATTTGATGGTTTTTGTTTTTTTTTAAACGGTAGGTTAGGTAAATAAGTTTTGTTTTTAGTTTTGATTTAAATAGTATATTGATATTGTGTAAAAAGAAATATATATATTTTTATTAAAAAATAGTATAGATTAAATAGTAATTTATTGCAACGTTTTTTATAAGTAATCATGAGTATAGCACAATATATATATATATCAAAATAAAATAAAAAATAAAATAAAATCTCAGAGTAAACCAAATGCTAATTAGGTTACCTTCGACTTCCCATTGGCCAAATCCTCAATGAGACACCCTGATGGAAGCTTCCATGATCTTGTCGGAGGAGTGTCCAGAAACTCCTTTATGAATTCATGGGAGACATCAACAACCATCCAGGTGTTTGGATTCAGCTGTCTGCAATACCTAATCACAAATAATTCCCTTGGAGCCACAAGGGGAGACAGAATGTGCAGTTTTTGGTACATCTGCAAATCGAAAAAATGATCAGAAACTACCCACATTTCACCTTAAACTTATCGATGAAAAAATGAGGTACTTCACCAGATGTAATAACCCTCCGAAGCTCCCAGCATCGACTACTTCGATAGTCCTCGCCCTATTCACGATGTTCGGGAACATATCCTTCCATTTGTTCTGCAAGAGATTGAATCCATCAAATTAGGGTTAGGGTTAGGGTTTTTGGAAATAAGATTTTAAAATTAGGGTTTAATTGTACCGCGTCAAGCATCATTTCGACGAGATGGATTGCTGCCATTGCCACCTCACCCGATTCCCTCGATGACTCATACCTCGCGCTCGTGGTTTTGATTTGGCTTGGCTTCGGGAAAAGCTTGTCATAACTGTCTCGGTGAAGCAAAAGGCGGTCCTCGGTTGGGGCCTTGATCCACACGGGCTCATTTACTCGTAGGAGCTCAAGAAATTCTTCCATGGCGGATATTGCTTTCTCGACTATTCTTGGCTTGTCCCTTTCGTGCGTTCCATACGACCAATCCGTTGAGATAGGGTTTTCCGGATTGAAAGGTTGAACTTGCTCGGGTTCGAGAGGGTTAGTCACTTCCACCCGAGGAAGAGCGCCCGACGATGAATTCCCCATGTAGTTTGAGAAGAAGTTCATCGTGCGCTCGTGCTTAAAATAAAAATTAAATTAATTAGCATTTAAGATCGAACTGTTGAAACTTATCAGTAATTAAACTTTAAGTTCAGGATCTGTCGTATTAAAATGTATTGAGATAAGAAAATAAAGCTAATTAATCTAAGTAAGCATATATCTTTGTATTAGAGTTCGATTGTCTTCAATTTTTTTTATGACACGATTGCGAATATTTTGATTGATCATAACTAAACTTATGTTTTTTATTATTTATATAAGTCTTTATTTGATAATTGATAATGCAACTTTCAAGATTTACGCAAAATAATTTTAACAGATTGTAACTATATATATCTAACAAAGTTCATAATTTTACTTATAATGATCTTGTTGCATGTGTAATAATATCGTATGCTTAAGTTACTATTGCTTTTTACGAAAGATATGATAATAAATTACTAGGAAAAGTAAATAATTACTATTACCTCCTCTTTTAATCGCGCGTTTTCCATCCTCAATCTTTGTAAATTTCGATGTGTCTCCTCTTCCCCAAGACCTAAACTATTACAATTTGGGCAAATGATATTCTTCAAAGCTTCTTGCATCGCAAGATTCTCATAATGAATTCTTTCATTCTCTGATCGAAGGGTACTGTTGTTTGCTTTCTCATTTTGAGCCTAAAATCATATCGCAAATAATTATTTGGATACCATATAAAAGGATATATCTATGAACCTACACGTACTAATAAGTCGCCGCATGTAACAAATGCCATAGATGTATACTTCCATAAAGGAATTCTAAAACACTAATGCACGCGAAATAATTTAATTTCATAGAGTTAATAAGTTTCCTTTCTTACATAATTAAGAAATGTTCGATAACTCATTAATCTTATTTGATTATTACCATATTCGCAAACCCTGAACTCAAATTTCATCGAAATACTTCAAATATATATATTTAAACATTGTATGTTCATTGCATCGGAAAAACATTTAATAAGTTTCCTTTATTACACAACTAAGAAATATTCGACAACTCATTAATTTAATTTGATTATTACCATATTTTAAAACCCAAAACTCAAATTCATCGAACTGCTTCAAATATATACTTAAACAGTATATGTTCCTAGTATCGGATAAAACTTTTAATAAGTTTCCTTTATTACACAACTAAAAAATGTTTTACAACTCATTAACCAAATTTGATCATTACCATATTCTCAAACCATGAACTAAATTCATGGAAATGCTACAAATATATATATTTGAATAGTATATGGTCATAACATCATATAAAACCTCTATAAGATGCATAGATCGAATACCTTTACTTGAGTACGCTTATTTTGGAACCAAAACTTTATCTGCTTTTGATCTAGCCCTAATTCTTGACTTAACTGCTCCCTTTGGTTCTTGTCCGGGTGCGGACATTCTTTGTAAGCACTACATCGAAAAAAAAAAAACATTAGAAAGAAAATGCATATATATATATATATATATACACAAAAAGACATAAATAATCAAAGAATTGAGAAATTTGAATATAAAAACATTCGATTTAATTCACATATGTTGTAATAAAGAAGAAGTTGAAACCCTTCAACTTATATGTTGTTAATTCACATATATAGGGATATATATACATATCTATAAATCAAAATTCAAAAAAGAAGTTTGAACAAAAACCTTTACAATTTAACACACACACACACACATATATATATATATATATATATACATAAGTATAATTTTATACGTACGCTTCGAGCTGCTGAATTTGTTGAGTCGAGTGTCGATGATACGTCTTCTTCCCCTTTCGTGAGCTCGACGGCGCCGCCATTCCTTCATCACCTGATTCATTTCCCCCATCATCAGCTAAATCCATCCCTTCATCTAAACAAACAAGAATTTAGCTTTTCTTCTTATCATAATAACATTAATTCAAACATACATACATATATATACATATTTAGAGAGAGAGAGAGAGAGAGAGATGATGTAAGAATGAGAATACAAACCTAAGTTCTGAGGGGCATTAGAAGAACACTCAGACATTGAGAAAATGATATGAAGAATGAATTAGGACAATATCAAAAATGGCCAAAAATCTCAAAACTTAATTGCTTTCTCTTTGTGGATGAAATACAATATGTATACACGTATATATATACATACACATGATGTGGATTATTGGGATAATATATTTAGAAATAATTTTTTCATACAAAAAAATTAATTGCCTTTTCTTTCCCTTTTTTATAAGATTGGTTTGTGAATTAATTGTAAAATGCTTTGTATTTGTACTTCTTGATTATGTTTTGTTCAAATATTTTATGTGGAAAATAAATCTATGATTATTCGAAATTTTCAGATCAATCCATTTAAATATATTAAAAGTTAATAACCTTTTTTTAAATAGTGTGTTTTGAAATAAATATATATATGATGATCTATGCAGATTTTATTCTATAATTTACAGTCTTGTTAACAAATTTGGGTGTAGACTGTTTACTATGTCACAATTTTATTTAAGATTATTATTGGCTAATTCTATTAAATGTTCTTTTTATTTTAATATTTTATGTTTTATAGATGCTAATACTTACCTATTATTGTGTATGTATTTTTTTTATTTGGAAAGAAATAATATAAGATAAATACAGATTACGAAATTATTAGACTTTAACATATGTAAAAAAGAATAATTATAATAAAGCTTATGGTTATTTTAATTTTGAGGCAAATGAAATATTAAATATTTTTTTCCTTCTTTTTTTTTCACCAAATGAGGAAAATAACTTTCTATTTTTATTCTAAATCTCCATTCAATACATTCCTTTTTATTATTATTTTCTTCAACCAAACCCTGATACTGTTTATTTTACTGTTTTAGAATCGTTCATAATCCTTAAATAAAATATACATTATGCATACAAAGTAAAGTATACTATTAACATAATATTTAAATTTGTGTTTAATAATATTTGCAAAAATAAAATAATAATATGTACAAGATGATATATATATATATAAGTACATAGTTGAAAATATATTTCAACTATATAAAAAAAGCCATATTCTGCATGACTCATTATTTAAAATATATATAATTAATGTATTAATTATTTATGTTTGTTTTATAGATAAAAGTATATATTATTACTTATAAATAAACTTATAAAGGAATTTTATTTTTATTTCGGTCGAATTTATTAAAAGCAAGATCGGATTAGGCGACTAGCTAAAGGACCAAATTTTTTGACCTATCTCAGCTCCAAAATCCACGTGACGAAAGAATTCTATTTTAAACTTGTAAGTAGAACAAATTCGAGCAAAATTTATATTTAAAGTGGAATCTAAATATCACTTACATATTAATATCCTTAAAAGACATATAAGATATTAATTCGTTGACCCGATATATCTAAAAAAATTCGACTCAAGTAAGCTTCATTTAAGTCATTAACGACTCTGATTAAATTTGAAGCCCTTTATATACCAAAAGAAAATTTCTCTTAAAAATATTCAAATAATTTCAGGGGTATTTGTTTAGTATTTTAATTTAAAGTATTTTTTTTACGTGAGATATGAAAAATTATATTAATAGTATAAAAATAATATTTTGTATTGAATTGTTGACTTTTCGTGAAAAATAGAGTATATATTATTTATATTAGTATAAATGTATATTTTTATTTATATTCATAAAAAATTATGTCAACAACAAATATTGAATGAACAAAATTTTTTCTCTTAACGTAACAACTTTGATAATTGATACATACCCTTAGTTAAAGAGTAAAAAAAAAAAAGTTTGTTTACATGTGTTTTTTTTTTCTTTTTAATTTTATTCGTATATATATTTATATTTTCATTTAAAAAATAACAATTTAATATAATATTTTGAATGATTTTTTTTTATTATTATTGAAACAAATGAAAATTATAAATGAATAAAAAAAAAATCAAGTAACAATCACTAATGTATTAGGAAGTTTATAAAATAAGAAGATATATTTAATAATTGTATCGAAAAAAAATAATTAACTATACGAAATTCATTGAAAAATATAAAACATCAATATAATATTGAACATTTGAACATGTATATATATATATATATATTGAATTGTAAAATTAATGTAAATATATTGGATGTTTATATTTAATTACAAAATTTTATTGACATAAAATAAAAACCCACAGAAAATTATTGAATATAGAGTGTCCTTATTAACAATAAAATTATGTATTAAATTAAACAAATACATATTGAATTACATATTATAGATTACAAATTGTATTATTGAATATTATTAAGTGAAGTAAAGTAAATAAATTAATATATGAAAAATAATAATAAATTAATAATTATTACAAATAATTATAAAAAAATATATTTTATAATTCAAATAGTATAGTATTTATATTTATGTTTTAATTGATTTGTACTATATTTTATACAATTTTTTTCTTTATTACTTCTTCCATTCAGTATGTTATTTTATCATTTTGCTTGAATATGAAAATTTAAAAGTAATACTTCAATACTTTAATATTAAAATAAAATTAAGTTAGATTATAAAAATAATAATAATTTAATTATTATTTATTAAAATATAGATGATAAAATTATAAATAAATAAAATTATTTATTATAAATATATTAAGAATAAATTTTAGCAAATAACAAAAAATAACATAATTATTTGTTTAATAAAATTATTTATAATTCAAATTTGTTCTAAAAACTTAAAACACTGTTATTCATAATTTATGAACCTACCAATCTGGTCTAAAATTTATGTAGGATTTTGGTACTATTTTGACTTATTATTTTTGAATTTTTAAATAAAAAAAATTAAATTAAAATATAAATTCAACACGTAAAAACTTTTCTCTATGTTTTACTTTTTCTTTTCCTAAAGATTTGTTTTATATATAAAAATTCTCTTTACAAAATTAACAATTTTTTTACAATATAATTTCAATATTTTAAATAGAAATAGTTTATTTTTTAAATAAAATATTACATTCAATTCAAGAATTATTTTATTTTGTTAATAAAATATATTTAATATATATATATATATAACCAAAATGAAATAATGGCAAAATATCTAGAAGAAGGATAAATGGATAATAGTCTTTATCAAAAATTTAAAAATATTTTATCATTTTCGGTATAGATAAACAAAAATATATAAAAGTGATGACAAAATATCTATGACATGGATAATAATCTTTATCAAAAAATTAAAAATATTTTATTCTTTTTATATAAATAAACAAAATATATGAAAATAATGGAAAAAAATCTATGACACGAATAATTTATATCTTTTAAATATATATATATATATATTAAATCAAATATATATTTTTTTATTATAAACTTATCAATTATTTATTATTTTCAAAATTATTATTATATCTATATAGTTTGATATTTGAATATTAATTTTTATATCAAAAAGTAATACAAATTTTAAAAAAAATTACAAAAATATTTTTATTAGTGTCTTATAATGACATTTGTACAAAAGATTATACAAATATAAAGATATTTTTAATGTTAAATACAATAAAAAGTAAATATAACTTTAGACACGAACAAAGTGAATATTTTTTTTACTATTAGCCATTTTATAATATTGTACTCAATTTTTATTACTATTTTATTTTTACTATATCACATAAAAAAATAAATGAATATTTCTTTTTGGGAAGAAGGGAGTATAAGCTTTTATTAATTAATAAATACTAATAATAAGTGATGAGGGAGTATTTATTTTACCATTATATTTAATATCTATTTATTTATTTCAAACGTCAGTGAACCACTCTCATTATTTAATTAAAACTTTTGTACTATTTTTTTTTTTTCATAAAAAGAAAATTTCAAATATAAAGAAAGCCCTCGGGTCAGTCGCCCATTCACCTACCTTTCTGCATTTCTTCTTTCACATTTGCTGCTGCTCTGTAGAAGCTGAATCAGGCGAAATGGCGTTCGAGAAGATCAAGGTCGCCAATCCTATTGTTGAGATGGACGGTTAGTGTTTCCGATCTCTGCTTATTTCTTTCTTTCGGATTTTTCTTTTTCTTTTTTTGAGTGTGTGGTGTTTAGATCTGGTTTATTGATTGTGTGTTAGCAACCAGATTGAGATCGTGTTTGTTTGCGCTGCGAAGTTTTGAGTTGGATCAGAGGAGAAAACGAAAATCGATGAATAAATGAACTGTTCTTTATTTTAAGTTGGATCCGAGAAGAAAGCAAAATCGATGAATGATATTTTTCTTCAACACTGCTGAGAGAAGTTCTGTTGATTTGTTCAGTTGAATTTGAGTCAAAGCTATGCGTTATCGATGGATTTTTTTTTCAGTAATTGTTTATTTATGTATTCATAAAATAATATTTGTGTTTGACTGAGTTGAACTTGTGATTTGAAGAAATTTTCCATGATGTGTTTGCTCTCACTGTCTGTCTCTCCATCTCTATTCCTTAATTGTATTTTATACAGTAGTTAATATAATTGATATATCTTTAACTTTCAGGAGATGAGATGACCAGAGTTATATGGAAGCTCATCAAGGACAAGGTGATGAATAAGAACTTTTGCTTGATGCATTTTATATGTTTTCTATCAGAAGCCTAAGATTTATTAGTGTGAATACATAATAATATCGGTGTGTTGTTCTGTAGTTGATTCTGCCATTCTTGGAGTTGGATATAAAGTACTTTGACCTTGGCCTTGAACACCGAGACGCTACTGATGATAAAGTTACAGTGGAAAGTGCAGAAGCTACTCTCAAGTATGTAATCTGTTGTATTTCTTCTCGATAGCGAATCTGGGCCCTCCTTTGGTGGCATTTCTTGTTTTGGCCATTTTGTGCAACAACTTGAGAAAATATTTCGTGCTTTTCCTTGAAAAAAGTATATGACTTGCAGGTTTTTGCTTGTATTTCTAACTGTCGAAAACAATAAAGCACTTTGGGGTGCTTCCAGTAGCTTTTTGGATTTCTCTTGAAAAAGAAAGATGATTCTTCTTTAGGCAATTTAATAACTGATTATATTTTCATTGATGACGATAGCTGAGTCTCCTCAACATCTTCCATCAGTTATGTTTCTATGATAAGCTTCTGAAATGTTTTTAACAAAATTTAGTTGTGGAATCTCCCTTTCCAATATTAACTCATTTTTGTAAAAATTATTGTAATGTTGTAATTTGAAGATATTTATAAATTATTTAGATTTTTATTTTAGCTAGAAGTGAAATGAAGATGCATCTGCAAGTATCACCTTATTTACAAGTTCTTATGTTTGAAACTGCAGGTATAATGTGGCAATTAAGTGTGCAACTATCACTCCTGGTGAGTCAGCTTTAAATTGTGGAATGTTCTTGTTTTGGTTATGTCTTCATATATTTAGTTACTGAAAAGCTATCAAAATGTGATTATTTCAGACGAAGCCCGTGTGAAGGAGTTCAGTTTGAAGTCCATGTGGAAAAGTCCGAATGGTACAATCAGAAATATTCTGAATGGTGAGTTTTTCGTTTTCTTACCAATGAGCAATGTTTATTGAAACGAATGGTAGCCACTAATAGGCCCTTCTTCATGCAGGCACTGTCTTCAGAGAACCCATTCTCTGCAAAAATGTTCCCCGTCTTGTCCCGGGTAATTTTTGTAACCCCTTTTGTTTTGTTTTACCCTCTTTTTATATTATTCAGTGGTAATAATGTATTGTTTATCTTGTTTTAGGATGGACAAAACCAATCTGTATTGGAAGGCATGCTTTTGGAGATCAATACCGCGCTACTGATACCGTAATCAAAGGCCCCGGAAAGCTTAAACTTGTTTTTGGTACTGTCTCATTTGACTTGTGATGTTATTGTTGAACAAACTGATATTTGTCGTATCTATCTCTCCTTCTCTTTGTATTTCACTACATAGATGTTAACCAATTGATATTTGGTTTGTATAGTGCCAGAAGGGAAGGATGAGAAGACTGAACTTGAAGTCTACAATTTCACGGGTGAGGGTGGGGTTGCTTTATCAATGTACAACACAGACGAGGTTTGTTTTTATTTTTCTGAATTTAAAAATTGCTTGTCCATTAAAGATTTCACCTGTGATTAATATCTAATTTTACGATGCCATGTTGTGGGTACAGTCCATCCGTGCATTTGCTGATGCTTCAATGAATACCGCATACCAGAAAAAGTGGCCATTGTATCTTAGCACAAAGAACACCATTCTTAAGAAGTATGATGGAAGGTATGCTATTAAAGACCCTAATTTTATCTTTGTAAATTTTCATCTGCTTATTCTTCAATTATATAATTTTTCTTTTTAAAATAAAGATTCAAGGACATATTCCAAGAAGTTTATGAAGCCAGCTGGAAATCAAAGTTTGAGGAAGCAGGAATATGGTAAGCATGTAATCAGCTGTGTTCAATTATATATTGAGCACATGTTCAAATTTCGCCTGTAATTGCAACTGTATGGCTTAAACTATTCAGGTACGAACACCGTCTAATTGATGATATGGTTGCATATGCTCTCAAGAGCGAAGGGGGTTACGTGTGGGCTTGCAAGAACTATGATGGAGATGTACAGAGCGATTTCTTGGCACAAGGCATAGATATACATATATATATATATACATCTATATATGTCTGAATTTTTTGTTTCATGTTGAATAAACTTCAATTTTCTTAATGATATTTTTGCAGGATTTGGATCTCTCGGGCTGATGACCTCCGTGTTGGTATGTTTTTATTGTCTACAGAAAACACTTTCGCCACAATGTATTGCTGAAGCTCATTTCCATATCTTCTATTAGAGAACATGTGTCCTCAATCTCAGAAACTTATGGCACTTAACTATGGTGTCTGATTGGAAGTTTTGCTGGTTTCGTTTCAGGTGTGCCCTGATGGTAAGACAATCGAAGCCGAAGCAGCCCATGGAACTGTTACCCGTCACTACAGGGTTCATCAAAAAGGAGGAGAAACCAGCACAAACAGCATTGCCTCAATATTTGCTTGGACTCGTGGGCTTGCACACAGGTAATTTGCTTAATTATTTTATTTTATTCAGTACATAAGAAATTAGTCCTTTGTGAGATACAAATTAATAGAACCCCAATAGAAAAATTAAAAAAATATATATTCTTAAATATTTTTTTTAGTGATTATCGATGTTTTTCACGTTGGAGTTTATTTTTAAAAAAGGTGTTAATTTGTTATCTTTCTTAAACTAATCTTTTAAACATTTTCTATTGAACTGGGTATGTTTGTTTGGGGGATTATTTCCAAAATCTACTATTAATCAAATTCTTCTCTCTTAAACATCAAATCAAATACCTATTTTTTATTTTTTTATATTTACGTCAACACCTATTTATATCACATCATACAACTATTCCAATTCAAAATTTTTACTATTCAAATCTCAACTCAAAATCCAAACCTCCAAACAAACACTTTGCAATTTATGTGTATCTTCAAACTAGCCATACTTAATTAAACTTGTTTGTTACCACACCATTTTTGTACAATTTAGAGTTCCTCGAGATATATATGTAACATCGATGAATACAATTAACAACTTAGGGCCAAGTTGGATAACAATGCGAAGCTCTTGGAGTTCACCGAGAAGCTAGAAGCAGCTTGTATTGGTGTTGTCGAATCTGGAAAGATGACAAAGGATCTTGCACTCATCATCCATGGCTCCAAGTATCATCATCCCCCGATTTCCTTTCTCGAACTTTCATTATCAATAAATTTTCTCTTAGCATCTAACAATCGATCCTCTATTTTGATGTTGTAGGCTCTCCAGAAGCCAGTATCTGAATACCGAAGAATTCATTGTCGCAGTTGCCGATGAGCTCAACGCCAGACTTTCTTCTTGAAAATTGTACGTATGCCCATCCTTACCATATTTTCTAACTGTCTGACACCACAGCCATTCATCTTAATTTATGCTCGGTTTTTTATCTTTGCAGGGCAAAATGTTTTACTGGTGTGGCGGATCTGGATATTCCCTGAAAATGTTACAAAGCCACGGTAAGTTACTTCTTTACCTTTACCGGAACACATTGTTATGAAAAATTACTGGTGAATAAAGATGCATGCTGCAATTCTTGCCTGTGCTTTTTCTTGCTGCATTTGGACTTTAATTGTTGGATTAGACTATAATTTATATGTGAAGACATGAAAATTTTCTGCTTAATGTGAACTAGAACTATTTGCTTTTACCTGAATCTGTTGGATTAGATTCTGATTTTGTTCCATTGCCATTGTAATACTGTTATTTATTTTAGGAGCATTTTATATGTGTATATATATATATATGGGCGCGGATATGGTGTTGTTTGAGTCGAATCAGCATGTATAGTGAAGGCATATAATATTTACAAAGGGAATGAATATAAATTTGGAAGACCCAAGGAACTATAATATATATTGTTGGAAGAGATTTGGTGCCCGTACAGAATGGTTAAAATTTTATATATTGTATACTTTTGTTACATATATGCCGATTGGATTAAATCAGTATCATGCTAATTTGACTCAATCATCTTAGGATCCGCCACACATATATATATATATATGTATAAATATACCTTCCATTTTGTCTAAATCAAATTAAAAAAGAACATACTTTTTTCTATTGTTCATTCACAATAAGCAAAACCATTCCATACTTTGGAATTTTTCTGTTATTTAACATTGATCTGAATTTAATTCAATACAAATAAGCCATCAATAGAAAGAATCCAAAATGGTGTGTTCCGGTGTGTCTTTCCTATATTTTGTGAAACCTAAAGTCATGATTAGATGTATAATATTTTGTATATAAATAATAGTATATACTCTTTTCTTTCAAGACAATTGACTTTCTTTGACAGTATTTAAGATATGAATATTTAATTAATTAATAATAATGAATTGTGATATTATTTTATGTAAATAATTATATTGAGTTTTAATATAAATTTAATATATATATAATTAAAAAAAATTAAAATATACTCCCTCTGCTTAAATAATGGTGACAAATTTATTGTAGATATAAGAATTTAAGAAGAATATAATTAATAAATAATTTAAAATATATTAATAAAATTTAATTTAATATAATATAAATTCTTATAAATTATTAAAATAACTAATTAGTTTAATAAAAAAATTAATAAATTATAAAATTTAAAATATAAAATATTTCTCAAAAGGATTGAGATGAACAAAAATATAACATGATATGTGGGATGAAGTAAATATATTTTAAATATTTTAAAAATTATATTGCAATTGAAAAGATATATGCAATATGATAATACTGTGCAATAATATTATACAGTAAAAAAACTTTCACATGCAAATGTATCAAAAGAAACTCACCTTTTTGTCGAATCGAATCACTGATCATAGCCCATCCCATCGGAAACACGGGCAATTCACTTACCTGGCGAGCACCATACCTCGAATTCGATCTCCGGCAGACAGCATTAACTGTCTTAACCTCGTAGTCAATGCCTGTCTCACGTCATTCAAGTATGCAATAAACTCCATGGCTTCTGCAGTCGACGTAAAATTTCATTTCATTTCATTTTCTTCCTCCGTAACCAAACCAAAAGACGCCACAAAGCATATATATAACGATGCAATCTTACTTAAGAGGAACTTCAGTCGTATATATTTAATGCTCGTCTTGAATCCAGAAACAAGTGCCGCATAATCTAACAAAAAAGAAAAGAGAACTAGTCGTTACTCAATTTAACACATGTATATAAAAATGATATGATGTTTTGTGACATAAATTAATATATTTTTATAAAAAAATGACGAAAATCAATAAAAGGAAAATGTTGAAGAAAAAACACTTCAAAAAGAACATAGTCCAACTAAAAGACTAGAGTGTTCCTTTATGGTTTCTTGTCAATTTTATGCTATTTGTACAAATCCGTGTTCCTTGAAAAATAAATAATTTTCTCTCATAAAGTATCATATCATATATTATTTGAATAAAAATTCAAACTTTCAAACTCAATCAAAACCTCAAAGAAAACCTTTGGTTTTGGTTTGAATGTCACATTTTGCGATGAAAAATAGTGTATTTTTTTAGAAGTAATCAATAGAGTTGAATAGTAATGAAATTAAATATAATAAATAAACAATCACAAGTAAACGGAAAGTGTTTTAAAATTATACTCCCTCTGTCATCCAGACTAATGTATTGTTTTAGAAAACCTTCTTTTTCTTTTTTTTTTTGTCATCTAAATTTAATTCCTAGTAAAAAAAAAATTATCTATTTTTCTTAAAACTCGAGCTCTCGAAATGAGCACACAATTAGATGACAGATGAAGTATTGAAATATACTGAAGCGAGACAATCGTAATGCATAAATGTATTTGGCATAGCTAAGAAGCAATGATTCATATTGAAATAGTATATTGCAGCGACGCTTACCTGATTCAGAGGCCGTTTCTGCATTGAGACCACGCAAAGCATATTTGGCGTAGCTAAGAAGTCGAATACGCTGAGGTGCGCCTAATTTGCTGATCAAAGACCTTAGAAGCCCACTGTAGGGAATCAAAAGTAAGCCATATATGTTACAAAGATCGATCATTCGCCTCTAATTAAAAGCTTAAAGAGCTGACAATTCTTACTCTGTCCGCAACACTATAAGAAAATCCGGGGGAAGCGATTCCATGAAGGAAGATACATCTTCCATTTTTAGAGACTTCAGATCCTCTCTTAGATATCTTTTTTCTTCAGGCGACATTCCTCTCCCAAGCGCCGATTTGCTTTAAAAAAATTTTGCATATAAAGAACGTGCATTAGTTCCACAGACAAAGACTTTATTTACATAGATACTCCCTCCGGATATTAAAATTAGCCTACTTTGGTCCGGCACGGAGATTAAAAAAAATTAAATATTTTGTTAAAAAAGTAATAGATAGTTGAAGTTTTTTGGAAGTTTAGTTAGAAAGTAAAGTAAATTAAAAGAGAATATAATAAAGTTGGTAGTATCTGTTGTAAATAAGTGTTTAACGGAAGGTAATAATTAAATGTTGGTTTATTGACTTTGCCAAAATTAGTAATGGGATAAATTTAATGGACGGACTAAAAAGAAAGTGGAAATAAATTTGACGGATGGACGAAACATTTTAAACTTTTTGACGCTATTAGACAACAGTAACTTTTTCAAAAACAGAGCCAAATATTTTACTGTTGCTGTAATGTGTACCAAGAGATTTAAATCAAGAAATAAACTTAAAGAGTGTCACCTGTTGATGGTTCGTCCGGTAAATATAACAGGAAAGTATCTAGCATATTTCCCGACTCCAAAAGTGTCGCCGAGCTGCTGTATCTTATGTGAATCCAGCATAATTAATGCTTCCCAGAGACGGCAATAGTTCTTTCTGAAATCTTCAGATAACTGTTTATAGATCCCATGATCCAGAACGACTACATTTAATTGTGTTTCGTAAATAAGAATTTCAGTTTAAGAAGTTGATAAAGTTTCTCATACAAGAAAATGAAATATTTGAATATGTAGGCTTCTGTGTACCTAATGTGAAGCCATTCGGCCCTCCTGGTGAAACTAAGATATTTCCGGGATGTGGATCTCCGTGCAAAAAACCATGGACAAAAATCATCTCCGCAAACACATCTACGAGCCTTTTTGCAACCTGCATTTTGGTGGAGTGTTCTAAATTCATGTTTAATCGAATAGTAAGAAACTAGTGGGATATTAGCCTTGAATAACACATTGTTATAACTATACTTCCATGAACAAACCTCAAGTGGACTTATTCCATTGCGGTTCAAGAATTCCAAGTCATCAACCTGAAAGGCAAGGTATGTCCGGTGAACAATAAGTTACCGGAAAGCAACTGATTACTAAGGGTGTGTTTGGTTGTGACTTCAAACTGAAGTCATCACTATTTACTCCTTAAGGTTATTAATAAAAATATACTATTTTTCTCTCAAAATATCACATCAAAATATTATTTAAATAAAAATTCAAATTGAACACCTCATTTCAAATCATTTTTCAAACCAAAACCAAATAAATCCTGATAGAAGCACCCCAAATGTAAAATAGAAATAAGGAAAATTTTTGTAAAACCATCGACAACATGGTATCATTTCTAGAATAATGTGGACAAAAAAGGTTTTCATAATCATATTCTTAGGCACAATCCAAGTACATATAATTTTCGAAGGCTTCGAATTGTATTGAACATTAGGATTTAGTAAATTACCTTGTGCCCTTCACAAAACTGCATAGTCAAAACCTGGCTGCTAGTGAAATCCTGAAAACATGATCACGGTAGGAGCTGTTAAGATAAAAACAAACAAATAACTTCAGCCTCGATATACAGAATTAGAAGGCGTAAGTATTAATCTTTTATAATGCTGACATATTTATCTATAAAGCCAATGATTAAGTATAATACCCAATAAACTTGTGGGATCCTGATGCTCTTGTTCTTTTTAAAATTGTTTGCTGCTCTTTCTGAGTTTTTAGCCTCCTGAATGAAATCTGCGGAGAAATAAAAAAGGATTCGATCTTTTTAGTTTAAGTCATGCTTGAAATCTCAGCATAATTCAGGCAAGATAGAATTTTTCATCTACTTATCCAACAAATGAAATATTTACTTCAATGTATAGTGTGCTGGAAGTATAACCATTTACTCACCAAGTTCAGAAGATATAGACTTCGAAAATTCTGATACTAACCACTGAAACCTGTATTCTGGGAAAAACTGAAGAAAATTTTGAAATAATCAACATTCAACTGCGTTTAACTCAAACAATATAGCCTAGATAATTCCAGAAATTGACTGCTAGAAGTTTCTCCTCTATTCCAAATGTCTCTATCTCTCTTTTTATAAATATATATATACACACACACACACAATTAGAAAGCTCAATAAGTTTAACTAAATGAAGCATCAAGGCTCTGTTTCTTTAAGTTCTAGTTCTAAATCATCAAATCAAATACCTATTTTTTATTTAATATATTACCAAAAAAATCGATATTCCATTCAATACATCACCCCGAACACCTATCTATATCACGTCAAATACGATTTCAATTCAAAATTTTACTATTCTTATACCCCAAACCCAAATCCAAACCTTAAAGAACACACCCAAAATCTCACCCATGAAACTGATCTTGATAGGAAGGCCATAGTTGTGAGATCAAATTTAATTTGGTACTCTAGTCCTGGATATTGGACCTGTAGTTTAAACAGAAAAATAAAAATTTAGCCACACAAATCATTGAGATTAGTCATATGCACTAAAATAAGAAAAAAAATCAGGCCATGTAAAGCTAGCATAGGCTAATTTATAGCAAATACGAAACAGATATATCCAAATGTACATTAATTAGTCTTAGCCAAATCCATTTCAAACTCTAATATTGTAATGTAAGATTAAAGAACACCAGCATTATTAACTTGTAAGTTAGTTTGCATCTTGATGAAATGGCCACAACTAAGTGCATGGATCAAAAAAAAAAAAAAAAGAACTAAGTGCATGGATCAATCTGCAGTGGATAGCATCTAGATGAAACACTTACACCATAACAGGAAAATAGTATTGCTGCCAACATGACTAGTTTAGGGAAATGTAAATCCACCTAAATCATAAAACAACTACCAGCAATGAAGCCAATTGAACCATCATAGATATTTCAAAACTCGTTCAATGATGACTAATTGGTATTCATTCAAGGGTGTGATTTTAAAGGAAAAGGATACATACATCAAAATAGACATTAGCTCAGCTGATTATAATCACCTTGACTGCAACTTCTTGATGATCTTTCAATAATGCATGGTGTACTTGAGCAATGGAAGCTGCAGCTACTGGTTGCTCATCAAATTCAAGGAATCTGAGATTCATTAGTTTTCAAATCAACTAGTGTTTTTTGAACCCAACGAAAATTGCTATCATGCCAAGTTCAAAAAAATCAGTCCAAGTTCGAACCCTACTCCTTTTGCAGTAGTTTTGATTACTGAACCTCAATACACCTACACATCACACTGATGTCTACTATACACCACAATATCACTAGCATTGAACCAAAACAAGAATTTCAAAAAATAAAGTAAAATAGAATAAGCACTGATGCAATCATTCAGGTAGGAAAATGGCATTTCCAGACAGGCGCCAAGTTAAGCTCTTAGAAAATACCATGTGAATCAAATTGTCAAAACTTACATCTCTGGCAAATCCTTCCCCAAATTCTTGATTATAATTTCTTTGATGGCTTCAAAATCACAAGGAACTGCCTAAAGCATAACCAAGAATGAATATCTTCAAAAAGAACAGAATGAATATGTTCAAAAAAAATTGTTGCAGCTTCATAAATATAAAAAGACTAAAACCTGATCTTGTAAAGATGAAAGTATTGATGAGTACTCTCTGGGAACTTGGCGCACGGCAGCAACAAACTGACCAGCTTTGACATAGAAACCTTTGTTTGCATCACATAGCTTTAAAATCTTCTTTGCTGATCTCAGATGAACCTTAAACGATGATAATAAATTTTAGAAATTTAAAAAGGCATAATCTAACAAAAGCATCAAAAGTAAAGGATACTTTTTCCACAGTGAGTGGTGATCACTTCCGGGCTCAGGGGCTTAGTTGTATAAATGTATGTAATTACATTCATACAGAGCATTGTTTTCTCACAGACGGGAAGCAATAACTATAAACCTCTCTTCAAAATTCCAATTCTTCCAAAAACAATCAGATCAGGTAATACACCCACTCACAATCAGATAATATATTACCATATGAACAGGCTCAAAGTTATGCAAGTTTTGACACAAAAGGCATTAATGGTCTACAATTCATAACACACTGTCACCATTCCACCCTTGCAAACAAAACATCTATAGTTAATATTTGTCGTGCAAGTTCAAAGCCTTAGCTATGAAGTAATGTGCTTTTATATATGACGAAGCAAGGAAGATGATTAGCAAAAAAAGGAACTAAACCAAAATTGAAATTTATACATCTAACGTAAATACCAACAACAGCATCCATAGAATCTATCTTAGTCAGCAGCAACGAGTAGAAAATGTGTAATACTCTGAGATTGGAATGAAATTTAAAAGGATTAATTAGACTCTACTCATATCTAACTATATGCAAATTTTTTTTCGACAGAGCCTACTTAAAAGAACTCTAAAATTAATCTACTTGCTCTAGCACAATTTTAAATTGGATGGCCTCTCGAGAAGTTTGAGAAGGTGCTCACATTTTGTTGGTGGACTCCCGCTTGTAAATAAATAAGTAAATGACCGTCTCACCTAAAAGTTTAAGTTGTTAGGGATATGCATCAGTATTTATTTATTTATGTACACACGGGAGTCCACCAACATATTTCATGGATCTAGTCTATGATCATATAAGATAGCCTGCCGATACCCTTAAGCAGTTAAGCTCCTGAGAAACATGTCAACAGCAGCATTCCTAAACTCAGATAATTAAACTTCCCCAAGCTTCAAGATTTGAATAGTTCCATTCTATATACAAAATCATTTTAGCAAAATCAATTTCGGCAGGATAGGTTACTTAAAAAGTGAACAATAAACTGCTCCACCACTTGAGAAATCGAAATTTCGAACGCTTGTACTATCCCCATTTGTAAATTACATTTTTACCATATCGACATGGCCACCTTATGCTTACGATATGAAATGCATATGTTCCCAATTCATTAAAATGGTTTACCATTATATGTAAATAAAGCGTAGATTAACAACAACAACAACACTTTCAATTAATGAAAACATATTGAAACCATATAAGAATACCAAAAACAGCAGAGCATCAAAAGATCAATTGAAACCAGCAAACATAAGGCGTCGATCAAAAAACCTCAGCCAATGCGAGCCCGAACTCATCACTACCGGCAGGCAAACCGTACAACGAACACTTGTAATCAACCACGCACGAAGTAATCTGCAGAAACACAGTAAAACGAAATTGTGATATGGTAGACACGATTTCAGATTTGGATTCTGAAATTACACCGAGTAACAGTTACAGAAGTCTGAAATTACAGAGAATAGAGCGCGGGAAGAGCGCGCGGCGCCATGGAGGACGGCGGAGGAGAAATCGAGCGTTCTAGCAGCGTCGAAGGAATTATAGGCTAGGGCGGCGGAGGCGGCGGCGGACAGCAAATAGGCGGAGGTTTTGGCGGCTGATTTGAAAGCTGTATATAACGTCATCTCATCTCAGATCCTTTCAGCTGTAAACTACGAACTCCTCACCGTTTTGGCTCTGAGGTGTATCGATCCAATGTTGACCAAAAACGCCATTCCTGCCTGAAAAGAATTCAATACAACAGCAACAACGAAATTTTGAAGAATTGAAGATGTGTAGGCTTTACACAGCACGATCGAACGTCAAATTCTTGTCCAACTTGCTTCAACTCTGAGGATGTTTCTACATTCCAACTTAGATTTTTTTTTTCTTTTTTACGAGAAAATGTATGTGATGTGTTTTGTTTATGTTGCTTTGTGAAAGGGTTTTTCTATTTTTTTAAAAAAATAAATAAATTTTTGGGAAAAAAAATTATTTTTGTCTCGATATAACCAAAATTGACTCAATATAAAATTTTATCCATTTTTGTCATAATATAACTAAAATGTATCGTTCTTTGTTTCAATATAACCGAAACTATCATTTTTTTGTCTCAATATAAAATTTTTATCAATTTTAGTCCCAATATAACCAAAACTTATATTTTTTGTCCCAATATAATCGAACCTTTATTTTTTGTCCCAATGTAAACAAAATGACGAAAAATGCTGACTTGAACTTGTAAGATTGTGCAATCTCTTCATAAAGTTTGCAGCAGACAACAATTCAACCTCTTGCAACAAATCTTACTGCATATTCGTATCCGGTTTGTTGACAGTGGATAAAAAAATAAAGTTTGATTATATTTGGACAAAAAATGATGAATTTTGGTTATATTAGAACTAAAATTGATAAAAATTTTATATTTAGACAAAAATGATAAGTTTTGATTATATTGAGAACAAAAATGATAATTTTGGTTATATTGAGACCAAAATGATAAGATTTTTATATCTTTTGAATAATAGAAAATTTAATACTTTTTTGTTCCTAAGTTTCTTGTTCATGTTACCTTATTTCGTTTCATGTTTCAAGTTATTTTTTTAAAAGAAAAATATTATATATTTTAATTTTTTAAATTTTAACTAAATTAATGAGTTATCAAATTTATAATTATTTTATTATATTATAATTATCATTATTATTATATTTTATTATTATATAATTATCATAAAATTATAAATTTAAACTTTAGATGTCCTACTATATATAATTTGCTTAATGTAATTTATTTTATCAAATTGAATTTACTCAAAATATACTTAAAAATAACGACAAAAAATTATCATATTATAAATAAATAAATAATAAAATAATGTTTCAAATTGTTACAGCTAACGTATCATTTGACTATGTAAAGTCAACAAGTTTACTAATTCTTTAAAGTGTAATTATTATTATTATTATTAGAAGTGTGAAAGTAGTAATTTGAAGTTTAAAGGGAAAATATTATTATTTTTATATATAAAATACTATATATTATTATTATTACTTCCTCCTGTCTGGTGCAAACTTGTGGTTTATTTTTTGCACGTAAATATTTTAATATTAGTATTATAATGAGTTATAGTAAAAAAGACGAAAATACTTTGTTAGTATTGTGTAATATAAAATTAATGACATTTGTGTAATATAGTGTAAGTTGGAATGATATTTATTATGTTAAGTAGACAGTACTATTACTAAAGAAATGACAACTTTATTTTGGGACAGACAAAAATAAAAACTAATAATATTTCAATTGGACAGAGTAAGTATTATTATTATTATTTGACTAAGTAGACACGACCAATACTAGTTTTGTTCTTTTCAAAGTCAATTAATATATGGTCGGTGTAATACTAAAACGGGGGGAGGAATATTATTATTTACATATATAAAATACTATATATTATTATTATTATTAAAATATAAGAATGCATTTATTTATAATAATAATAATAATAATAATAATAATAGTTAGTATCAATAAATTATTTTTAAGAAAATGAAACTTTTGTCCATAACTATATTTAATTATCAGTTTTATTATATCTGAATTTTAAAATTGATTAGGCGTTCAATAAAAATAATCAATACTATATGAAAATACATTATACAGTAAATAAAAATACATCTGCCAATATATATGCTTAGGGTGCACTCATAATTATAAAATTAATAAATATTATGTTTATTTTATTTGATTAAATATATAATAATATAAATTTTAGTTTAAATAGTCTTTCCGAACGTTAGAAATGATATACTCCTTCATCCCATAAAGAAATATTCATTTCTATTTTGTACGTAATTTTAGAAATATTAGTATTATATTAGGATATAGTAGGAATAAAATAGAAATGACTAAAATAACCTTATTAGTATTTGTAATATAAATGTAACATTTGTGTAATATATTGTAATTTGTAAGGTTATTTGTAATGTTAGATAGATAGTACAGTTAAAAAAAAGAAATGAATACTTTTGTTATGGGACAGACTAAAATGAAAAAATGGATACTTTGTTATGGGACGAGGGAGCATTTTTCTTTAAAATTCGTCTGAATGATCATTTTCTATTTTAATAAATTTATTAAACATAAACATATTTAACAAGTATAAATTAATTTAATTAAATTTTTAATTTGTTATACGTGAAACCGCTCAAAATTTTATTATTTTTATCTGCCTTTAATTAACAAATATATTTATTTATTTTTAAAACTCTCTATTTTTTAATAATAAATATATATTTTTTTAAAAATTTATTTGTAAATTATATACTAACATTTATTCAATATGTAAATTATAATTACAGTTACTTTATATGGACATAAAAGTATATAAATTTTGGAATAAAAACTAATGTTAAATTAATTTATATTCACTAAATAATACTCATTTTGTCTTGGATATAAAGTCAGTAATTTTGTAGACGCAAAAAAATAAGGAATAATATGATATGTAAAATTATTTATAATATACTATAAATTATTATAAATTAAAATGAAGATAATTAGTTAATTTAATTTAAAATTTAAAATATATATAAATTATAAAATATGATTAAAGTATGAAAAAATTGTGACATAGTATATGTGACAGAAAATAGTAAACTTCAAATATATTTTATATAAAAATTTGATGCATTTTTATTAAAAATGATAAAATTATACTATAATTAAAAGTAAACCATAGTTAATGTATTTTATTTATTTATTTATTTATTTAATGGTGTAGTCCAGGACCAGGAGGAACTCAATTTGAACGCAGTCGTTGTTAGAAAAGTGAGTTGCAATTTTGACTCGGTCAAATTCAACCTTTAATTTGCTATTTGTTTCCAGCGAAGAAATTCAACTCAAATTACATTATTAATAATACTCCATGAAAGTTTCTATTTATTTTTTATTTTTTTAAAGAGATTTTGACATATTACTCATTCGTAATAATTTTAATTTTTTAAATAAATCATATTAAATATCAATTATTTCATGAAATGTCAGATTGAATACTCAATTTTACTATTTTTTATCTTTTCTTAAACTTCACAATTCTCTATTTAAATAAAGCCTAAGTTTTTGAAATATAATTTTATTAATAAACTAATTTTTTTATTATTATTATTATTAAGTTAGAAGTTTTAATTTAAATGATATTTAATTTTATATTTTTGTAAGAAAATATAATACTCCATCCGTCCTAATTATAGTGTGATGTTTACGGTAGACACAAAAATTTATTAGAGATATAATTAATAAATAATTAAAAATATATTAGTAAAATTCATTATCATATAATACAAATAATTATAATAATTAAAAATATATTAGTAAAATTCATTACCATATAATACAAATAATTATAAATTAAGATTAACATAACTTTAATAAAAATTTTAAAAAAATTAGAAATTATAAAATTTAAATATACTTAAAATGTAAAATACTTTTCTAAAAATAGAAAGTGACATGATATGTGGGACAGACGAAAATAAAAAGTGTGACATAATATGTTGAACGGAGAAAATATATATTTTTATTAAAAAATATATGAACTAATACTAAAAAAAATTATGCCGCATTTTAATGAATTATACAATAACATTAATTTTATTTCAATATTTGATAATATTGACATTGATAATTGTTATCACAAGAGGAATTGTGGAGGACTTCGAAGGACTCCAAAAAAAAAAAAAATCAATTTTGTAGAAGATCAGAGTTTAAAAAATAAAAAAATATATATATAAAAAAAATCATTTGTAGAGGATTTTAAAAAATCAATTATTAGAGTTAATTTTATTTTAACATTTGATGTATTGACATTGATAATTGTTTACGAAAGAACTAGAATACTAAAAATAAAGTATAAATATATTAGATAATTGTTTTATATGTTTATTTAATTGAAGATATTTATATATAGATATTTTTTTATTTATTTTAAATATTTATAAAATCAGATAAAAATATATAATAATTAAATTTAAATATGAACTTCATATATATATAGCAGAGGTTTAAATACTAGTTCGATGAATAATATGATGATAAAGTTAAAAAGATAATTGTAGAATTACATAATAAAAAGGAAGAATAAAGTTTAAAGATAACATAAATTTTATTATTTTTTTCTTTTCTTCAAATTTATATTTACTTTATTATTAATTTTTTGATGTCATAAAAAATTGTTCATAACCATTTTTTTAGTGAAAAAGAAAAATATTACTTTTGTCATCTGATTATTTATTTTCTATTTATATTCAAATTTGTGTTTAGCAAATTACAGACATTTTTTATACTATAGAGATAGTATTAAATATAAAATTTAAAAAAATTATAAAATAGTTACGGTTCTCAATAATTATAAATATTAAAATGTATTATTGTTAACAAGTTGAAACTTTTATATACTTTTTCTAAAAAATTAAAATTTGGTCATGTTGATGAGCTTTATTCCTACAAAGAATATGTGTCAATATTCTTGATTGTGTCATTCTTTGAAATTAAACCGTAAATAATTTTAAGAGATATTTTTGTTCCTTTCTTCGTAACGAGGTTCGCGTACTCGAAAAGAATTCTATTCTTGGTTATACATACGTTGATAGATGGATATATACAGTATCTGATTACATGTAAATTTAAAAAAATTAGAGAAGATAAAAAAATACTTTTTCTATATATAAAAAAAAAGTAAATAATATATTTATATTATACATTTCTTTTTTGTACTAAACAAATATATGCAGAAAATTTTTATTAGTTATTCCTACTGTTAAATTATGCAATATTTTTTTTTGGAACAAAATATATGTAGATATAATTTATTCCATATATATATATATATATAGACAAAAAGTAATAAATAAAGAAAATTAGAAGAAGCTAGAATTTTCAAAAACCATTCATATATATATCTCTGTGTGTGTAGTTTGGAAAATTAGTTATAAATATATCATGTCAAAAATATATTAAAAAAAATTAATTAATTAAATTAAATAATATTATATATATATATATTTTAAATGTCAAAGCCTGATTGCTAGCATTAAGAAATAATTAAACCAATCAATACGATAAAAAATTATTAATAATAAACCACTACTGCACGTAGACATTCAGGGTGTGTTTGTTTGGGGATTGGATTGGATTTAGACTATTCATTCAATTTTTTTTCTCCAAAAATATCAAATCAAACACCTATTTTTCATTTTTTTATATTATACTAAAAATCAATTTTACATTCAAAATATCATATCAACACCTATTTATATCACATCATACAACTGTTCAAATTCAAAATTTTTACTATTCAAATCCCAACTCAAAATTCAAACCTCCAAACAAACACATTCACAAGACTCAAATTAATAAAGAAAAAAAGGTCATATTAACTTCCTTCTTTTTATTTTGATTGTAAAATTTTGCTTTTATTTATCAAAAAAATGATATATAAATATATATATATATAAATGTTGGTGTATTATTATTTATTTTTTATGTTTAATCTTCAATAAAAATTTATACTTTTTTATAAAATATTACATAAAGATATTTTTAAAATATTTTCTTTAAAAAAAATGAATGTAAAACACGAACATAAATATTGTATACAATCACAAAGATCTCATGCTTATTCTTTGATGCCATACTATTCATTTTTTATCAAGCTCGTTCACATAGATGTTTTAGAAATTTAGAGGTATTTTTAAATCAGATTAAAGAAAATATATAATTCATGTAATTTTTAATTTAATATTATTATACAATAATACTATTTTAATAAGAATAAATAAATTCAAACTCAAAATAAATTAAAGTTTTGAAAATTTGTTTAACTTTGAATTCGTTGAATTAAAAATATATTGAGAGTTTTGAAACTTCTTCACGTATAAATTATGCATATATATAGGTCTATAATTTTGTTTTTTTTTTTTTTTTCTAGACAATTTCTAATATATATATTTTATTTTTTACAAAAGTGAATATTCAATATAAAATATTATTTTTTATATTATTGATACGATTTCTTCTCAGTCATGTTAAAAAAAAGTTCAAATGAATGGTATGTGAATTACATTGGTTCACTATGCAGTAGTTTTCTTATATGTTAATTTAATATATTTTTCTAAAAAAAAAAAAAAAGAAAGAAGATATATTTCTAGTTTTTAGATTATAATGGTTATTGGTTTTTATTTATTTATTTATTATTTTTTTTAGTATAAATTATTGAAAATTGTAAAAATATTTACAAAAAATTGTAATGTGTGTATTTCTTTTGGGGCCAATTTTTTTTTTTAAAAAATAAAAATTAAATGGGTGTGTTTGTTTGGGGGATTTGATTTTCAATCCACTGTTCATCTCATTTTTTTTTCCCAAAAATATTAATTCAAACACCTATTTTTTAATATTATATAAATCAATTTTACATTCAAAATATCACATCAACATCTATTTATATCACATCAACACCTATTTATATCACATCATACAACAATTCAAATTCAAAATTTTTACTATTCAAATCTCAACTCAAAATCCAAACATTTGAAGAATAATATATATATATATATATATATATATTAAAGAAGGGCGTCCAAATGGTAAAATTTTTACAGAAAAACACATCATAATTTTGAGATAAATATTCTTAACCAGCCCAGGCGTGATAAACAACACAAACGCGTTTTGTGGCGCCGAGTCGAGTAAGCCCACAGACACGCATTATACAATATACATACACACAAACTTGTATCTATATATGTATGTATTTATACATACTTTTCTCATTCTCTCTGACTTTTGACTTTTAAGACAATTGCCTAACCCTACGCCAACATTAAATCAAATTGTTCCATTTCCTACACTATATATACATATGTATATATATATCATCTCCCCTACATTCAAAAACCATTCAATTCCATCTTTTACATAAATACTTATTACAAAAAATAATAATAAATATTTATAATATTACAGCAATATAATGGTCCTGTCGAAGACAGCCTCTCAAACGGACGTCTCCGTCCACTCCACCTTCGCCTCCCGATATGTCCGAGACTCTCTTCCCAGGTATATAATTCTGTTTTTTTTGTTAGCACCGTACTGATTTATTATATTTTATTTTAATTAATAATTGAATATTAATTAATTAGGTTTAAGATGCCGGAGAATTCGATTCCGAAGGAAGCGGCCTATCAGATAATAAACGACGAGCTGATGCTGGATGGAAACCCCCGGCTGAACCTCGCCTCCTTCGTCACCACTTGGATGGAGCCCGAGTGCGACAAGCTCATCATGGATGCCATCAATAAGAACTACGTCGACATGGATGAGTATCCTGTCACTACTGAATTACAGGTCAGCTTCTCCTTCTCGCTCTGCTCCTAATCAATACAACGGCTATTATTATGTTGACTTTATAAACAGTGTAATCTATTAAGAGTGTGTTTTGTTTGGGGATTGAATCTTAAATACACTATTTATTCCATTTTTTTTTAAAATATCAAATCAAACGTCTATTTTTTATTTTTATATTATATTAAAAATCAATTTTATATTCAAAACATCACATCAACGCCTATTTATATTGCATCATACAACTATTCAAATTCAAAATTTTTACTATTTAAATCTCAACTCAAAATCAAACTCACGCTAAAATTCATTCATGTCAAAAAACAGATAAATTTATTTTTTATAAGAGAAATATATTTTTTAATGTGCTAATTAGTCTCAATAAGCACTCTTTTATTATTAATTATTTCCTCATTTCTCCTTATTATTTACTAATCAATTTGATCAATATATAATATATATATACATATATATATATATATCAGAACCGGTGCGTGAACATGATCGCCCACCTCTTCAACGCGCCGCTGGGCGACGGCGAGGCGGCGGTCGGCGTCGGCACCGTCGGTTCATCGGAGGCAATAATGCTCGCCGGCCTAGCCTTCAAGCGCAAATGGCAGAACAAAATGAAATCCTTAGGAAAACCCTACGACAAGCCCAACATCGTCACCGGCGCCAACGTCCAAGTCTGCTGGGAAAAATTCGCCCGCTACTTCGAAGTCGAGCTCAAGGAAGTCCATCTCCGGGAAGGCTACTACGTCATGGACCCCCAAAAAGCCGTCGACATGGTCGACCAAAACACCATCTGCGTCGCCGCCATCCTCGGCTCCACCCTCAACGGCGAGTTCGAAGACGTCAAAACCCTAAACGACCTTCTTCTCCAGAAAAACGCCCAAACTGGGTGAGTCATGACCTAATTCGTCGAATTGAACTCGAATTCTTAACGATTATCGATCGAATTGATTGATTGATTGGTTGATTGCAGGTGGGAGACTCCGATCCATGTGGATGCTGCAAGTGGGGGATTTATAGCTCCGTTTCTGTACCCTGAACTGGAGTGGGACTTCCGGCTGCCATTGGTGAAGAGCATAAATGTCAGTGGGCATAAGTACGGATTAGTCTACGCCGGAATCGGTTGGGTCATTTGGAAGAGCAAACGCGACTTGCCGGAAGAACTCATCTTCCATATCAATTATCTCGGCGCCGATCAGCCCACTTTCACTCTCAATTTCTCCAAAGGTAGTCGATGATTTCATCAGTTGTAACGAATTTGGGATGAATTTGATTAGGATTTAGCAAAATATCCGAAATAAATTCAATTAGGATCGGATCGAAATTTAAAATTTGGTTCCGATTTTTGGATTAAAATTTTATAAATTTTGGATTTTCGTATAGGTATACTAAAAATCCGAACTAATTCAAAATTTAAAATTTATTTCAGATTTTTTGGATTTTCGTATAGGTATACTAAAAATCCGAACCAATTCAAAATTTAAAATTTATTTCAGATTTTTTGGATTTTTGGATTAAAATTTTATAAATTTTGGATTTTTGGATCGGTATACTAAAAATCCTAACGAATCCGAAATTTAAAATTTGGTTCAGATTTTTGGATTGAAAATTTTATGAATTTCGAATTTTTTGATCGGTTTGGATTGGTATACTAAAAATCCGAACCAATTTAAAATTCAGTTCAGATTTTCGGATTTTCGAATTGAAAATTTTATAAATATTGGATTTTCGGATTATATTAAAAATTCGAACCAATATAAAATCTGAAATATTAGTATTTTAATATATTTTTATTATATATTTAATATTTTGATAGAAATAAAAACTTAAAAGTTATTATTTATATTATAATATACTTATTTTTATTTATTATATATTTAATATTATAATATAATTATAAAATTATAAAATAAAATATACAATTTTAAAAATAACGAAAAATTAAAATTTCTGATTTTTGATTTGGTTCGGATGGATTATTTTAGAAAATTCGAATTTTCGGATCGATTCTTAACGGAAATCCGAATGGTGACCCTAAATTTGATTATTATTATTTTTTTAAAAAAATAGGTTCGAGCCAGGTGATTGCGCAGTACTATCAGCTGATCCGATTAGGGCAGGAAGGGTACAGGAACGTGATGGAGAACTGCCAGGAGAACGCCACGGTTCTGAGGTCCGGTTTAGAGCGAACCGGGCGGTTCAACATCGTCTCGAAGGACAACGGCGTCCCGCTGGTGGCGTTCAGCCTCAAGGACCGTTCCCGCCACGACGAGTTCGAGGTGTCGGAGATGCTCCGCCGGTTCGGCTGGATCGTTCCGGCCTACACCATGCCGGCCGACGCCGAGCACGTGACCGTCCTGCGCGTCGTCGTCAGGGAGGATTTCTCACGGACGCTCGCCGAGCGCCTCGTCATCGACGTCCAGAAGGTTCTACACGAGCTCGACTGCCTCCCTGCCAGGGTTACCCAGAAGCTCGCCGAGAACGGCGCCGGCGCCGGAAAACAGTGCCACGCGCCGGCCGTCGTGAAGAAGACGGCGATTGAAGTGCAGCGGGAGATAACGGCGGTTTGGAAGAAATTCGTTGCTGATAGGAAGAAGACTAACGGCGTTTGTTAGGGATTGGGAATATGTTATTAATTAATATTAATTTTAATTATATATTAATTAAGAATTGTGACTGATTGTGTGAGTCGATGATATATGGGCGTAGTTGTTGAAATTAATAATTTCTGAAGGAGTAATTATACGTGTATTTGTATTGTTTTTTTAGTTCTATCGGAATTTATATTTGACACAAATATATATATATATATATATTAGGTCATAATATATATTTTTATTTTTTTTGTTTTTAAGCTCACAATATGTTTTATATAGAAATTGAATTTTTTTTTTTTAGTTTTTATTTAAAATGATTAAACTACATAGTAAAAATATTGAAGAAAGAATATATATATATAAATAAAAAACAAACTCGAATGGTTTGTTTCGTTGTCATTTAAAATTGAGTCTTAATTTTAATTTTTTTTAAAAAAATAATATTTTTAAATAAAATTTCAAATAATATATTTTTTATTGAAAACAATATATAATGAATAATGTAAATTTCTATTGAAAATTACAATCAAACGCGTCCAAACTATACCGGTAAATAAAGTACTTACGAAAGTATTCCCCATTAAATTCATATTAAAAGAACAAAACAAAAATATACTCAAAATGTATAAAATATGGAACCTTAAGCATTTCCCATTCCTATTTTATTAAAAGAACATAACCAAAGAATACTTTAAAATGAATAAAATACTTACAGAATCTTAAAAAATAGCTTCAGAATTTTCGAGACCACTCAAATGGCAACGAGTTTTATTCTTCGGGTACCTATCCGAGACAAATTCTGAGACTTTTTGAAAATAGCTTCGAAACTATGTTATATTTCGAGGCTAATTTTTCGAAACTTATGCTATTTTTTTTTTTTTGTAGTGGTAGTGATTCTCCATCTATTTGGTATTAAAATAACAAAAGTAAAATATACCCAAAACGAATAATAAAGTAATTATAAAAACTTTAAACATTCTCCATTCATTTCATATTAAATAACACACGACTCTCAACACATACAAACATTCAATAAAATCTTATTACAAGCCACAATTAAACACAAATGCATTGTAAAGGATCAAGACTTGATGGGCTTCGGAGGTCCCTTCACCACGGTCACCGGGCAACTTGCATTTTGCACAACATAGCTACTCACACTTCCGAGCAACACCCTACACACACGCACGTATATATGTCTTTAGATTTGTTTCATCGATGATCGAACATATACATATGATGTAATAAAATCGAATGGAAGTACCTCTTAATGGGGCCTAAGCCTCTACTACCCACAACGAGCGTATCAAGCTTGAGTTGCTCGGCAGCATCCAACAACTTCTCCCTCGGATCGCCCCAATATACCTTCGCCACCACCCGTACCTTCACACATATCATATATATATATATATATATATATATATACATTGTGACAAATTACATTTCATATTTTTACTTCAATTTACTTGTTATATCTTATCATAGGTGCCTTAAATAGTACTCCTTCAAAAATATATATTTTTTATCTGTTGCAAATAATTTTTATACGGGCATAAATCAGCTATTGATCCGGTCAAGTCAACATAGTACTGCTGATTTGACCAGATCAGAATATGCGAATGACCACCATGCATCTATACATATCTAATATATTTATAATACAACATATGTTATTTTTTTATTTTTTTTTTATAACGTGGGAATCCGCAGCTGCTACGTGAAAGTGTGCACTAGGTCCGGTCGAACCTAATACCCTGCAAACTATGCCACCTATATAGCATATACTGATATGATTTGGCCAAACCAACACAGAATCTGCATTTTTATACACTCTTTAATTTATGGAGTATAATTTAATATTATACTATTAATTTAGAAAAAAATGTTACAACTACTCACATACTTAATCTATAAAATGTTTATCATTTTATTAACTTACTTATATATTATACTATTAATTAAAATTTGTATTCAACTCAAATAAACATATATTTGGTGAACGGAATTCATGTGTTCTTTAAGTTTGAGTTCACGTATGCATATCAAATAATTATTTTTAAATAATATTCACTCCGTTCATAAATTAATGTCCTATTTTCCTATCTGGACGTCCAACAATTATTGTCCTATTTTATTATTTAAACACAAATTTTATATTTTTACTCTTCATTCGTTTATTACTTTTAATCTCTAGTATACAATTAAGGACAAATTTGTCAAATTATAACAGAAAGACAATCACCTAAAAATTTAGGACAATAGAAATTGGAAATTGGAAATTGGGAGTATATATGTATATGTAAGTATACATACTTGTTTAGTCCTTGAGATTGTGTCAAGAAGATCAAGAACTTCAGGATCAGGAGTGAGTCCGTACTGTCTCGACACGTTGATTTCTCTAAACTCCACCAGAGGTATCAGTGCTGAATTTCAATCAAAATTTAAATTATAGTAATTTACAACAATGTCAATTAAATAATTAGTTATTATAAATATTGTCAAAAATAACAAACCTAATAAATACTAAAATAAACCACCTAAAGAATACCATAAATAGAACAAACATCCTGTCTATTAAATCCCAAAATCTAACAATCTTCTTGAATTTTTTCGAGGTAGATCCATTCTAAATATATAAAATTCAGCATGCTCGAAATTAATTTCATTTTTAAAATTTAAAATAATATTTAAATTGATTTAATTACCTTTAATTCATTTATCCAAATACTATTTTTTTTTTTTTTTGAGAATTATGTTGAAAAAGAACTAAACTTTTTTTTCTTACAAAACCAACACATCCAACACCTAAAATTTCTTAAATTTTTAAAATTTTAAAACTTCTATAGATGTATTTCTTCATAATCTTAGATTCCAAATTTTTATTTTTCCTAAGCTAAAAAAAAAAAAAAAAAAAAAAAAAAAAAAAAAAAAAAAACATGAGAGAAAAATACATACGCGATCCAGTATCTTGAAAGAGCTGTTTGGTTGGAGGATCAGAGCTGGGAGAAAGAACATGGATGATGACGATTTGATCTCCACCGTCGATCAGATTATCGACGGCCCACGTTAGAGCTGATTTGCTCGTTGCCGAGTAATCCATTCCAATTCCGACCACACGCGCCGCCATTTCCGCCGTCAATATAATCTCCGATCTGCAACTTAATTCCCACGGCTGCTTAAAATTGATATATAGAGATGAATAGAATTGGTAATGGGATTTAAATATAATATCTTGTCTGATCTGGTTTTGTCACTTTATTCTTTCGTTATTATTATTGATAAAAGTAGAAAGAGAGATAGAGTGTTCTGGTAGTTGTTTTGTCTGAAAATGGGTTTTCGATTTTGGCACACAGATTTCTTTCTTTTCTTTGACAGTAGTTTTAGAGGGTAAAATTCTCTCTCACACACAAGTTTTGTTCTTTAGTGGCGGCTGCGACTCTGTGCTCCTGATCTATCTGCGTCGTTGGCTAAGTTTATTAACGGTGTATATTTGTCTGGAGTTGGAGGTCCGGGTCCTGGCATGAATGTGGGGTCTACAATCAAATACTTCATGTTCTAGAATATTTGAGTGTTTTTTAATTTTAGCTTTATTTTAAATAGAAAATTAGTGATGGTATAGTATTTTTTTATAAAGTATAAATAGAAATGATATTCTGGAATTTTTATTTCTTATTTTTATTGTATGTTCCAAAAACATGTTTATTTTAAGAATTTGTGAATCAGCAAATTATTATTATTATTATTATTATTATTAGTATTAACTTAATTTAGTGGGCTAACCATCAACTATTGGGCTTTACTTTAAAGCCCACTTTTCGAATCTTAATTCTCCAACACAACACAAAAATGGAAGGTATGTAATATGTTACGTTGCTGTTCCATTTGGATTGGATTTCGAAATTAGAATTTTATTTTAATTTGATAGTAGTCTTTTGTAAAATATATTTTAAAATATAAATTTAAATAGTAAAAATTCAAAAAAAAAGAAAAAGAAACAAACCCTAATAAAATAGCAATTATATATTTTATTAATTTTATATTATTTGTATTTCCACCTAAATAAAATTGTGTTTCACAAAAACGACGACGTCCCACTCACAACTAGATACACGCGCAATAACGTGACAAACACCACAACTTCCGAAGGGACAACGTACAACCCTACGAAGCACGCATTAATTATAGTACTATTTAAGTTCACAATGCTGACGTAATAAAAACCGCCTTCTCCCCTTGTTCCGCCACGTCATCACCCTCCATTTTCAGCAGAGCTTCGAGCTCCTTCTCGAACACTTCCATGGCGGTCGCCGCCAGGCAGACCGGAACCACAATTCCATCCTCGCCTTTACTGTTCCTGAACGGAATGTAAAAGCTCGCCACGCCGGGAATCGCGCCGACGCCGCCCTTCGCCGGCCCGCCGTACGCCGCCTTCCCCCACCCGAAATCGACATCTCCGAAGCCGGCGTGCGTCACGTCGGAAACCAGATAGGTTCGCACCACCGTGAAATGCGGCCGGCCGGCGGTGGCCATCAGATCCGCCGCCGATTTCATATACTCCTCCGTCACATCGGCCTTCGCCTTCCTCACGAGATCCACCGCGTAGTGCAGCGGACGATCGATCAGCTCGCCGGCGGCGGAAACCGCCACCGGAAAGGCGAAGGCGTTGCCGTAGTAGCCGGCGGGGAGCGGCGGATTGAACCGCCGGCGGGCGTTCACGATGCAGAGGATTCTGACCTCCTCGTCGGACTCCGGCGAGATTGCGATTGTACGGCACCGCCATAGGCAGGCGGTGAGGACTTCGAAGGTGGAGCAGGTGCGGAGGCGCGGCGGAAGGCGGCGGCGGAGGGCGGAGATCTCGGCGGCGCCGAAGAAGAAGCTCCGGTGGACCATATCGTCGAGAGGGATTAGGGTTCCTTTGGTGTCCGGAACGACGTCGTATTCGCGGTGCGTGCAAGTCACGCGAGGGGGGTCGCGTGCGTTCAGAAGTCCCCTTTCCCACGCCGGCGGGACCGACGGCGCGTCTGCGCCGCCGGCCAGCTCGCCGACGGCGGCCATGAATTGGACTAGTCCGGCGGCGTCGGCCATCGTGTGGTTCAGGCGGAGGGCCAATATGAATCCACCGCATTTTAGGCGCGTCACCTGCACGCGTAACAAATAATAAATAAATATTTTAAAATCTATTGTAAATAATTATATTATTGAAAATTCTAATTTAGGAATTAAATTTCATGGTACGCTATAAAATGCGAAACCAACTAACGTAGTGGAGCCCACCACCAATTCTCAGCTTATATAACTGTATAATATCTGAAACAATAAATATTTGATGTAAAAAATATATATATTAAAATTTTAAAAAATATAGGATTTGTTTAGATAAGAGGTTTAGAAGATTTTTGAAAATTTTAAAGTTTTGAAAAAAAAGTAAAAATTTAATATTTGATTTAATTTTATGAAAAAATATATATTTAATGTGATATTTTTAAAAAATAAAATAGTGACAAACGAATGAAAATATGTTGAAAGTTTGTTATATAAACAGAACCATAATATATTTAAATACAATTGAATTTTTTATTTTTTTTATTTATAATTCAAATCCTATTCACTTTCTTCACCTCTATTGTATGTATCACACTATCACTTTCTTACACAACCCAATTTGCATTTACCGTCATATTTCACCCAATTATCATTTTTTTTTATGTTTTTAAAAATACATTTTTTATTTTAATTAGATATTTTATAAAACAAAAAAATAATACCATTTTCGTTCGGTATAAAGAACAGTCTTTTTATAGGAGGTAGTATATTTTTACAAAATTGAAAATTGAATATTATTATTATTAATATACCTGAATTAGCATAAGAGGGCAGTTAAGGACTTCGCCGGAGCCGGGGACATCGTAGAGAAGCTCCTCCAGGCAAGGGAACGGCGGCTGGAGGGCGTCGCCGAAATCCCGGAGCTCCACGTCAGCGTCGGCCTCAATGAACATAACGCCCTCGCCGGTGCACTCCACCACCAATTTCCTGCCATCGACTTCCCTCAACCGGCCGGCGAACGGATAGTAGAACACCAGCGCCTTCGCCAGGGCCTCACGGATCACGCCGGCGGGGTCCTTCCCCGCCATGGCTGGGCTCCTCCGGTAGAATTGGATCACCGGAATCTGGAACCGGAGACCTTCCTGATCGTCGATGTCGGAGAGAGGCTTGAATTCGTGAGGCGTCGGCTTTGCCGGAGCGATTAGCTCCGGCCTCCGCCGCGTCACTTTGAATTTTAGGGTTCCGGCGGATGCCATTCGATTTTTTCCGGCGGAATTATGAATTCAGTTTTAGAGAGAGGAGAGAGTGTGTGAGAATTGTGAAGAGGTGAGAGAGATAACGGAAGTATTTATAGACAATGGCTAAAGCATAATTTGTATTATTTCATTAATTAATTAAACTTATGTACAAAAAATATATATATCTTTACATGTGTAACGAAATTTTGGCTCGGCTGGAGTTATTTTATTTTATTTTATTTAAATATTAATAATTATTTAAGAAAATTAAAATAGGAAAAAATAATATCCGGTGTGATTTTTAAAAAAATAAATTAATTAATTAATATAGATACATATGTCAAAAAAATTCCAAACTTATTTGTGTAAACAAAGTCATATGATATTTTTTTGGAATTTTTGCTATTATTTGCTGATAGTAATTTTTATAAAATATATATATTATATTAAATATTTTTTTTTATCACAAAGATTATGTTTAATATTAATTTCTTATTATTTTTAAATTTTTTTCAAAATTACAAAACTTTTAAAGCCTTAAATAAATGTGGCAGGTGCTAAACTAAAAAGTTGCTGAAAATATTTAAGGGTTCGTTTGTTTGGTTATTTCATGGCATTGGAAGTTTTGTTTAATGCTTTGGAATATTATTAATTATTCAGTTAATATCTGAGTAACATTTATTTAATATTTATAGTTGTAGGTACTTTTATTTTTAGATAAAAGAGAATTGTAAATATAAAGTAGAGAATAATGTTTTTATTTTTATTTTTAACTTTTATTGTTATATTTTAAAGAATCGTGCTTGTTTGGGATTTGATTTTTGAACAGTAATAATTATTTGATTTGATATAAATAGATATTAATTTAATTTTTAGTATTATATAAAAAATTTTAAAAAATATATTTAATTTAATATTATATTTTTAAATGAAAAAATTGAGGAATAATAATTTTTTCTAAAAAAATATCTCCAAACAAACACAACTTAAATGCACAAACTTATAGACATAATTTATCTAAATGACTTTTATAAAACTATATATAATGTAAATAAATAACTTATATACATAATTTATGTAAATGACTTTTATGAAGACAAAAAATGAGAATTTATATATATATATATTATTTATTTAAAAAAGATATATAGATAGGGGATTATAAGTTAATTTTAAAATATAAAAGTTACTTATATTAAAAATATATATTTCTAAAAATATTTCATTAAAACATTTTTTTTTCTAACATATTAAATCAAAAATATATTTTATATACAAAACATATTTATTTCATTTAAGTATAGCATTAACTTAAGTGAAAAGTAATTAATACACACAAACTTAGGTGGATTTAATTATAGTAATTATGTATTTTCAATAATTTTTTTTAAAAATAACATTTATCATATAAATTTATTTTTTAATTATATTTTAAAATATTATCATTTAATCAATGGAAAAAAATAAATAAATTAACAAATCAGATATAAAATAGATAAATAAATGAAAAAATTAATTACAATCTAAATTGAATGAGATATGTCTTTCAATTTAATTTTGTACTATTCAATTTACTTATTTAACTTGAAGCATAAGTATGTTTGTTTTTTTTTTTTTTTAACATTATTTCAACTATCATTTTTATCTAAAATATAATCAAAACACACGTAAAAAAAAATAATATATCTATATATATATATATTAAATTATCTTCTAAATTTAAAATAACCGTCAAAAAAGGATGATATACATTATATTAAAAAGAAGAAGAACAACAACAAAATAAGTACACAAAAATTGAAAATTTAGAATTTTTTTTTTTTTTAAAAAAAAGATTTTATATTTAATATGATTCTTTAGATTTGATCAGTTGTGATTTGTAATTAATTTGAAATAAAATATTGATTTAATTTTTTTCAAAATAATATTTTGATATAATATTTTATAAAATAAATAATATATTTTTATTATAAATAATATTAATTTCAATTTAAAATTACAAAAGAATAAACCCACATAAAAAAATATATATCTTGATATAATATTTTTAAGATAAATCATTAATAATTAATAATATAAAAATTAAAATATATGTAAGTCAAGCCTAAGTCAAATATAATTAAACTACTAAGAAGATAAGTACATGAAATTTCGTAACAACTTGGTACACATTGCACCAACTTATATATTTTGACTAAAGTCAACTAAAAAATACATTGAGATAATTGTAGGGCCAGCAAATTAAATTATTAAAAGTGGGAGGGCCAAAGGTAAAAAGAAATATTAGTGACATGTGGGGCTAAATTAAGTGTGAACCATGATATTTCATTCTTTTTATTTTATTTCAAATATTAATTATTTTTATTTTTATTTTTATTTTTTATTATAATTATTATTTTTAACATGTAGTGTAACTTTCTTGGCTGCTTCCACCAAAAGTGAATTTGACCAAATAAAAAATTTATTTATGTTTTTCATTTTTTCAACTTTTTTTTTTTTTTTCAAGATTTTCAAGACTTTGAACAAGTGGAGCTGAATGAAATTGCAATTGGATTTCAGGTGAAATTACTGACACTGGAAATTTCATCCATTTTAAATATAAATATAATTTTATTTTAATTTTTATAGAAATGCGTTCTTTTTGCCAAAAATTATAAATATATATTTTTTTCATAAAAATTAATATATTATGTATATTAATATTTTTATATTACCTACATAATTTTTTATATTTCTTATTAAAAAAAAATATTTCTTCGTATTATTTCACACAACATTAGTTATACACTACTTAGATATTTCGCAATATTATAAATATACTTATAATTTAAATAATAAAGAGGGATTTAAATAAAAATTTTGGTCTCTAGCTAGGTTATATTTAACAAAATAGTTTATTTGGTTGTACTTAATTTTACGAATTGCAATCATATTTGATTTGATATTTATAAAATAAAATAAACTTTTTTAATAGTTCGGACTGTATTATAAAAAGATGTGTTTGGATTAAAATTTTTTATTTGAATTTTAGTTTAAATTGCGGCTTATATGATGTTTAGAATATTTAGTATTACGATTTTGTTGAAAATTAAGAAAACTATATAATTTTTTTTTTTAAAAAAAAATGCAATTAAGTATAAAAATAACACATATATAATTATAATCAAAAAAAATATTTGAAACAATCAATAAGTTTTTCTTTTTTTTTCGGAAAATAATAATAATAGCAAAATTAATCGATAAAAGTCATTAAGACAAATGAATGAAGTGAATTAATTTCAATTAAACAGCACCAAATTAAAGTCAAACTAAAATAATTAGCATAATTGCAAGCTATATATTATCAAACGTTACATGCAAAAAATAAGTAATTTGATGAACGCGATTAAATCAATTAATTAGTTAAAAGTTTTAGAAGTTTTGGAAACGGTTGTTTGGTTTTAATTTAAAATTGATTTAGAATTAATTGTTAATTTATTTTTGTTTAAATGATATTTTATAAAATAAAAATATATATATTTTTTAATTGAAAATCGTTCGATTAAACAATGATATTTTTTTAAAAAAAATAAATAACAAACATACTATTTTATAAAATAAAAAATAATATAATGTGATTTTTTTTTTCATAAAGCTTTTGAAAAAAAATTCAGTAGACAATTTTTTTTTTAAAGAAAAAAAATATATATATTTAAAGTTTTGATAAAAAAAAAAAAGAAGAAGGTATGTAGAACAAATAGTGATAATTTAATTATTATAAAAAAAAAAAAAGAAGAAGGTATGTAGAACAAATAGTGATAATTTAATTATTATAAGTTGAACGGACAAAAAATCTATATAATAATGACATAATTTTAGTGGACGAAATTATGTAGAAATGTATTCTTTTTGTCGACTTGATGAATATATATATATTATTTTTGTTATTCAAATATAAATTATTTATTTATTATACTATGTACGAATTTGATTACAAATTACAAATATCTTCACCTTTATACTTATGTACATCAATATTTTAACGTTAATTTTACATATTATAAGGGTAAAATATGAAATAATACAAGTATTTAATTTATATACTAAACTATTATTAACTATCATTAAAATATAATATTTAATAAATTTTGCAGTAGAAATAGATATTTACTTTTTAACGTGAACGAAATAAGTATTTAATTTATTAAAAAATGCATTGGGTTGTACACTAATTTTATATGAGACAAAAAAAAGTATTATTTATTTTAATTTTTAATCACAACCAAACATATTAGAAAAAAAGTTGAGGAATAAAATAAATAAATAAATAAAAGGCAAAAGTCAATAAATCAATTGTATAGTCTACATCGTACATGTGTTTTCACTTGCTAGATTAGGGTATGTCTGAACATATCTAAACTCTATTATGTTTGCTTATATCAATAATACTTTTTAAATATAGGACATATTATTCATTTAAAATATTAAAAAAAAAAAGATAGAGATGTTCATTCAGGGTGTGTTTGATTTTTATTTTATATATAATTTAATATTATTTAATTTATACGATTTTTTTATAATATATAGTAGTAATATTTTTCTTACAAAATATTAAAGTATATATATTTAACTAAAATTCAAATTAAAATCTTAATTTTAAACCAATATTTTGTACTAAATATGAAAAAATGTATCGTTAATATAAAAAAATAAATTTCTCTTTCTTCCAACTAAAAATATACAATTACTTTTGGTGCAAAATTTAAAAAATAATAGTATTTTAATTATATTGAATAGTTAATAATAGTGTAAAGACAATTTTGTCTTACTATTTTAAATATGTAATTAGAAAACCTAAAATAGAAATATATATACTTAATATTTTATATCGATCAATTATTAATTTTTTATGAATATATAGAATATATATGTATATGTATGTATATATATTATTTTTTCTATAGTACTGTTGATTGGTAAAAAGTGTATATATATATATTTTTTAATTGGATATACAAATTTTAGTTTTATATAAAAATTATTTCATTTCATGTCGATTTCCATTACCTTTAATATTTAATTTCTATTAATTCTTTTTTACTATATTAAGAACTTGATGCATATATTTAAACACAACATTGCTTTAGTTTGCATTTTATTAGATTCGATCAAAAATTTAGCTAAAACATATTTAAAGAATAACAGCATAAAAATATATAATAATAATAATAAAAAATATAAAAATACATCATAAATATTTCGCTAATTATAATATATATAAATATATATAATATTTATAAATTCCTATTATACACTATAATTGCGGATTTATTTGGTTTTGGTATTATTTTGATTTTTTTATATATAAATTTTTATTTAAATACTGTTTTTATATGACACTTTATTATAAAATAATAATCCCTCCGCCCATTTACAAGGGCTACATTTACTTTTGGCGCGGTGTTTAAAAAATAATAGTATTTTAATTATAGTGAGTAGTTAAAAGTAGTGTAATGAAATTTTTGCCCTTACTTTTTTGTATAAAAGTAATGATATGATGTAAAGTAAGGGTATTTGTGGAAAAAAAATAGGGTATTTAATGAAATGTAAACTTTGTAATTGGACATCTCAAAATAGAAATATGTAAACTTTGTAAGCGGACGGAGGAAGTATATTTTATTAAAAATTGCATGGACCGAATAATAATAAGTTTTAGGTATCGGTACAGTTCGATACAAATTAAACAAATACTTGAAATCGTAAACTATATTCAAGCTGAAATTTTTTATTTATAAAAAATATTTGCAATATATACAAATAATTTGAACAAAAAACGAATTTAATATAATTACTAATATAAATTATAAAATATAATGATATAAATATATTTAATTCCATTCCATATAATTAATTTAAAATATTAAAAATAAAAATTGAAGTGAATTGAATAAATATCTAATATACAATATTTATATCCGAACTGAAGTTACTCAATTAGCCTTAAATTCCTAATAATTTTGATATGAAAATGAAACCCCTTAATTCTTAATAAAAATACATTTATTTTTCCACAATCGAAGCTTCCTTCAATTTTCTAACTGCCAACCACTTATGTATATGTATATAATAATGAGTAAGTGTATTTCCACCATTAGGTCTTTCCATCGAATTTCTAACAACATTTGTCCATATACATATGTACTGTTTGTTTTGTAATTTTTTTCTGAAAAATCGGATTTTATTTAGTTGTGTTTTCAATTATTTACTTTTATTGTAAATGTATTATAAAATATTATATTATTTATTTATTTATTTTTATTATATATATATATTCTTTTAAAATAGTTGATTAAATATTTATTTTAATTCAATATTTTTATTATTTTTAAAATATCAACTAAACAAACCCTCCAATTAGTAGTGGTGAACTTTTGAAGTTCACATCTTTGTAAATCTTGTATGCAATTTCAGTATAAACAAATTTATTACAAGAAAATGAACATGAATTTATCCGGTAGAGAGTACTATTTAAGAATTTAATAAATTTACAATACTCTCAATCTCCGTCCCATTAAAAGATTGTCATTTTCCATTTTCGTCCCTCCCAAAACAAGGTTATCCTTTCCTAATTTAGTAATTGTATTACCTACCTAACATAATAAATACCCTTCAAACTTACACTATATTACACAAATGTCATTACTTTTATATTATACAATACTAATAAGAATATTTTCTTCTTTTTCACTGTAACCCATTATAATATTAATATTAAAAAATCCATTAGTAAAAAGTAAACGGCAACCTTGCACCGAGACGGAGAAAGTATAATTTTTAGATATATATATATATATATATATATATTTGTACACACTCTCGTTGCTTCCATTAGAGTGTTGATTAGAGGCTAATAACACAAGAAATTAAAACAAACAAAACATGTTGACAAGAGTATTAGTATATGTTATCAGTTCTATTTTATACTTGTATTGTATTAATAGACTTGTGTACTAAAATCAATTACAATATATGTTATATGGACTAATTTAATGTACTATTATTTTATGTATTTTATTTATATTATATAAAGATATATAACTTATGTTGTCGATTTATACATAATATTACGTCAATATATTATTGTGTTGTCGACATAGTAACAACAACCATATGAATATACATACATTGAATTGAATATATTTCTAACATGAAAATGTAATTATTCTCTTGTAGGGAAGATTTATGAAGTCCTTAAAATGAAGATTTATGGATGTACTTTAATGAAGAGCTAATGAAAGAAGATATTTAGTGAAGATTCAAGAAATGGTGAATAAGGCTACGATGAATTTTCCAAGTATTGCACCGTGTTGATAGTACAAGTTTCACGAAAATGAAATATATAGTTCAAGATTCTCCGACATATGAAAAATCAAAGTAACCTATATTACCGAAAAAAGAAAAAAAAAATGAAAAAGATAGAATTTCTTACATTTTTCAAGTTAAAAGACTTTGAGAACTTTGGCGGGAGAAATTTCCTTCGGAATGATGCTCTGCTTGGATGGTGGTAGTCGAAAATGCCCATGGCGTGAGGAATGGATTTTGGGCAACAAAAATGATTTGAGAGAGTATGGGCGTATCTACAGGTGTGAAAAAGAAAAAAAGCCCTAAAAAAATATTCTTTTGGATAAATAAAATTAGTAAAATATCTTTTTCGAAAAAACAAATGGGCTACTGTACTGAATATCTCCTCCCATCCATCGAGAAATAAAATATATTTGGACGCATGGTCTTTCGAGAGATATTTTTACATTAGCCACTAGCTATGCTCTGACTTCGAAGTTTATTTCACTGTGCAGTTTAATTCTCGCTTGTTAGGAGCGAGACCTTCTAAAGAGGAGAAATCGGTCTCCTATGAATTAGTAAATAATCAAGAAATGTAGTAGTAAAAATAATTATAGATTATCATTAAGATAACTAATTAATTTAATTAATATTATAAAATTTAAAATATGATTAAAGTGTATAATTATATTTTCAAAAAAAAAAAGATAAATCACGTAGAATAAATAAAAATAGAAAATATTGACAAATTATGTGTGACGGAGGATTTTGATTGGACACCAAACTATTCTTAGGTTTGATTGTTTCACAACGTTGATACTATATTTTATAACTTTTTTCATATTTATTATTTTTCCAAATCATTTTAAGGAAAGATTTAATTATAATTTTTGGTTTATTTAGTTTGCATTCCATTTTTTTTTTTTTTTTTTTCTATTTTAGCTCGTAAAAATTTTAATAAAAAATGCAGGTTGTGTTTTTTTTAATATTCATTTTTTATTTCAAAAATATTAAATAAAATATGTAATTACTTTTTTTTATATTATAATACAAATCTATTTGATATTCAAAACATCACATATATCTTTTTTTATATCAAATCAAACAATTATTTAAATTTAAATTTTTATTATTAAAAAATTCAAACTTAAAAATCCAAATCCACGAACAAACACACCCACAATTTTTTTCCTTATACATTTTCATATCAAAATGAATTTTATTACAGGCCGGCCTAATTTAAAAGCCCATTACCACCTTCACACAAGTTTTCAAACGTACAAATCATGAAGGAGAATGTACAACCTTCTGATGCGTTTCCAAAAGCACACCATATAAAGACAAACGTACAAGCCTATGATGCAATTTCACTTCACAGAGATGAACTGACAGTATTTCTCAGCAGCTTCTGAAGCTCCTCCGCGAACACTTCCATGGCGTTCACACCTAAGCAGACCGGAACCAAAATCCCGTTCTCGCCTCCTTCGTTCGTAAATGGCAGAAAATAGGTGCTCGTGGCGGTGCAGCCCCTCGCCGGACCGCCGTACTCCGGTTTGCCCCACCCAAAATCCACTTCCCGGAATCCTGCGGCCCTCAAATCGGAAATCAAATAACTCCGGTCCATCATGAAACCCGGCCGCCGGTTCATCACCATAAAATCGGGTAACGATTTCATGTACTCCTCCGTCACGGCGGCGGTGGTCCTCCGGACGAGATCCACCGCGTACTGAAAAGGATTTTCCGACAACTTTCCGGCGGCGGCGGTCGCCACCGGATAGGCGATGGCGTTGCCGTAGTAACCGGCTGGCAGTGGCGGATTGAACCGCCGCCGGGCGTTAACGATGCAGAGGAGTCTGACCTCGTCGCCGGCGGCCGGCGAGATGGCGGTGGTGCGACACCGCCATAAGCAGGCGGCGAGGATGGCGAAGGTGGAGGAATTGTGGAGGCGCGGAGGGAGGCGGCGGCGGAGGGCGGAGATTTCGGCAGCGCCGAAGAAGAAGGAGCGGTGGACCATGTTTTCGGCGGGAATTGTTGTAGTTCGCGGCGGCGCGTGGTCGTAAGCGCGGTGAGCGTGTGACACGCAAGGGGGGTTGCGTGCATTCAGGAGGTGTCTTTGCCACACCGGCAGAATGGACGGCGCGTCGGCGCCGCGGCTGATGTCGGCGACGGCGGCCATGAATTGGGCGAGTCCGGCGGCGTCGCTCATGGTGTGGTTAAGCCGGAGAGCGAAGATGAAGCCGCCGCACTTGAGGCGCGTCACCTATTGTAAGTACGGACAGTGTTATTACTCACTTTAGTTGGTTATTACTCACCTATTTTCTAATTATATTAGAAATACTCCGTAATCAAATTTTATAATTTTTTAAATTTTAATTATATTAAGTTAGTTATTTTAAAATTTTTGTTATTATAATTATTTTTATTAATATTTTTTTAATTAATAATTATAATAAAAATAATTATTAATTGAAATTAATATGATAAAATAATTTAATTAAAATAAAAATAATTATAAATTATAAATATTAAAATATTATTAAAATGTATAATTAAATTAAAAAAAAATTGACAAATTATATAGAACAAGTATAATAATATTTTCACCGTCTTAAAATAATAATTTTATTTTTTCTACTTTCTTTTTTTTTAAAATAATAGTTAAAAGTAGAGTAAAATTAACTTTATTTTTATTTTTATTATGTTACAGTAAATTAAAAATATTTATATAAAAAAATATAATATTTTAAAATAATTACATTTTAATTGAACAATTTAAAAAATAAATAAATATATATATACTTTATGAGTAAATGAATATAGCATTAGTTTTATTATTATTATTCCTTTAAACTATAAAACAAAAAAGGTAGGGTTGATCATACATTTCAATGGATGGAGTGTGTTTATTTGACACCGACACCCCAAAATTTTATTCATTGAACTTTCTATTTTTTTCAAAATAATATGATAATTATAAATTATTTTAATATTAAATTCAAATCAAAATTATCAAATCAAATAATAATAAAAAAAAACACTCTTAACTTTATAGAGCTTTGGTAGAAATTCAGTTCAGCACCTACACAATTAATTACAGCATTTGATTAATTAAGAATAATTAAATAAATTATAATATTTTTTTAATCAAAGATTGAGAGCGTGCTCATGAACTTTATCATCGATGCCTAACTATTATAGATTTTATAAAAATTAATTTAAATAAATAAGTATATAGATAATAATAAAAATACAAAAATAATAATACCTGAATAAGCAATAAAGGGCAGCCAATGATTCCGTCGGAGCCGGCGACGTCGTGCAGCAGCTCCTCCAGGCAAGGGAACGGCGGCTGTACGGAGGCGCCGAATTGCCGGAGCTCCACGTCAGCATCGGCCTCGATGAACAAAACCCCCTCGCCGGTGCACTCCACCACCAGCTTCCTGGCGGCGCCCTCCCTCAGCCGGCCGGCGAATGGGTAGTAGAACACCAGCGCCGTCGCCAGGGCTCGCCGGATTACGGCGACGGGGTCTCGGCCGGCCATGGCGGCGCTACGGCGGTAGAATTGGATCGTCCGAATCTGGAAACGGAGCCCCTGCTGGTCGTCGATGTCCGAAAGGGGCTTCAGCTCGTGCGGCGTCGGCTTCGCCGGCGGGATCAGCTCCGGCGAGCGGCGATTCACTTTGAAGGTTAGGGTTCCGGCGGACACCATTTTCTGTGAATTATTGCCGAATGCTTCGACAAAAATGAAATTTAATAATTTAATTACGGTAATACATATATATATATCTATGGTCTTTCTTTTAATTATTTCATTGCTTAGAAAAAAATAAATTCTTTTAATTGTTTGATAGAATGTTTCTTTAAGAAAAAAAAATATATGTATTTTTTTCAATAGTCCAAATAATAAAAAATAAAAAATTAAAACAAAAGGAAACCGACCTAAAATAGTTAGATAAGAGTTTGTATCGCACAAGACAATCCCATCCACCTTATATAAATTCAACTAAACGACAAAATTGGATTGCGGGCCGGGCTTGAGCTATGTTAAATATTACATAGATGGGCCTTTGGGACTCGTAAGATTTATGACAAATAATTTTATTATTTTATTTTAATAAATAATAAATATTTTTTTATTTTTTATATTAAAATAATACTTTCGCCGTTGGATGTTAAGGTATGTTTCTCCTGAATAGTTTGCAAAATTTTGATTTGAATTTTATATTAAAATAATATATGATATGATATTTTGTAAAAAAATAATATATATTTTTTTAAAAAATACAAAATTTAAATAGTAAAAATTAAAATTTTAGGTTAAAGAAAAAACCCCTAAGTCATATGTATTAATTAATTTATTTTTTGAATGTGATTATTAATATATTAGTATTTAAATGTAATAGAACTATTAGAAGCATAAGAAGATAATTGTATTTAGATTTATTTAATTTTTAATAATATGATTTGTAATATTGTGTAAAGTGTATATATATTTTTTTATTAAAATAAAAAATACTTTACTAGAAAGAATAGATACATTTGAATTGAAATGACCAAAATAATGAAATCGTTATTTAATAAAATACTATTATTATTTTTTAATCTCTAAAATTGTAAAAAGAAATATTCAAATGGACGGTAGAGAATATAATAAGTGAGTACATCCAATAACTAATGTCGAATGTTGAATACATTTGTGTGTTTGTTTGGTGCATTGGATTTTAAATCCATTATTTATCTCATTTTTTTCACTCAAAATATTAAATTAAACACTTATTTTTTATTTTTTATATTAAATTAAAATTAATTTTACATTCAAAACATCACATCAACACCTATTTATATTACATCGTACAATTATTCAAATTCAAAATTTTTACTATTCAAATCTCAACTCAAAATCCAAAGCCCCAAACAAACACACCGCCGCTGAAAAGGCAATTAGTTAGTCTGGCTTCGTTGTTAATTTTGAAATTTTATTTATAGGTAAAAATAATAATAATAATTTTATTAGTATGGTAAGATATAAATATCATTTATGTAATATATTATAAATTAGAAATATATTTGTAATGTTAAATACATTAGTTAAGTTAGTAAATATATATGTATATCATATATATTCAAAAAATATATATTCTCTGTCTTACTTAATCCAAAAGAAGTATAATTTGTATAAAATATAATACTCCCCCGTCGAGGAAATTTAATCTCACTTTTTTGTAAAAATATAAAGTGTTCAAATATTTTAGATATTCAGTTTTAGATTTAGTAGATTTATATTTAGATATGGTTTCATCTATATATTAGATTACTTAGATTTGAGTTTATCGAGTGTGTTTTGTATTGCCTATATATATAGGTCTCTTATTCTAATGATCAATAAGACAATTTCATTATTTTCCCCAAAATTTTCGACACAAAGGAAACGGGCTAAATTTCTTGACGGATGGAGTAGTATTTTAGTATTTGTATATAAAATATTGGTATTATATTATGAAATAGATATTTAATACTTTGAGTTGACAGAGGAAAATGTAAAAATAATATTTTGAGTTGAGAAAAACAAATATTACTCTTTTCCCTCAGCTAATTTGTCTACTTTAATTGGGACATTTATGTATTATATAATTAGTAAATAATTAAAAATATATTACTAAAAATATTTTATGATATAATAAAAATGACTCTAGATTAAGATTAGTAAATAGTATAATTAATTTTTTTTATATATATTGAACAATAGAAATAGAAATAATTGACAAATAATGTGGAATATGAAGAGTATTAAACTTATAAAAATATTCAATTCTACTTTTATAAAAGGTATAAAAATAATATATCTCCGTCCACTTTCAATATACTTTTTCCTAGTGAAAGGTTACCATTTTTTATTTTTATTCGTCTCAAAATAAGGTTATCATTTTTTAATTTAGTAATTGTACCACCTACCTAAACATAATAAATATTCTTTCAACTTACAATATATTACACAAATATTATTACTTTTATATTAGACCATACTAAAAGGGGTATTTTTGTTTTTTTTTTATTACATTCCAATATAATACTAATATTTAAAATTTTATGTGCAAAAACAAATGTCACATCTCGACGGAGGGTGTATTTCTTTTTCAATGTAATTCTACTTTTAGTATATCAACTCTGTATTTAACTTCTTTTTTTTTTTGCAATTGCAACTTTCATTTAAAAAAAATATTTACATTATACATTATATTACAAAAATATCATTAAAAAATAAATTAATTTAAAGATAAAAATATATTTTTATCTATTTTTAACAATAAAATAATACTCCCTCCGTCCCACATACTATGTCCACGTTGCCGTTTCTGTCCGTCTCACATATCATGTCACTTTCTTTTTTTTAAAAATGATTACACACTTTAATCTCATTTTAAACTTTTTAATTTTATTTTTTTAAATTTTAATTAAACTAATTAGTTATTTTAATTTTATTTTTTTAAATTTTAATTAAACTAATTAGTTATTTTAATTTTATTTTATTATTATTTATATTATAGAATAATTATTTTCACTAGTACATTCTTAATTATCTACTAATTACACAAATTCTAAAATACCGTAAATACTGTGCAGGGTGTAGCAGACATGGTATGTGGGACTGAGGGAGTAATATTTTAGAATCTTATAAAAAAGCAAATGGTTAAGTCCGAAGTGGACAAATGAAATACGTTCTTCGATCTGTTCTAACTAGTATCCGTAACCAAAAATTTTAAATACATTTTTTTAAAATGAAGTACATAATTTTTTTAAAAAAATAAATTATCAATTCAAAGGACTCAAACGCCACTATTCTTCGACAACTTAGAGCCGGATCAAAACATATTTATATTTAATGCTGTAAGGAATATCCTGATGGTATAGGAATTGAACTTGTGACCTTGAAATCATAGGTTCAACGGGCGGCTGAGAATTCCCACGTCATTAAAAAAATATATATATATTTATATTTGTTCAAACATCAAAATTCAACGCCCAAGACATTTGTACTAGATATTTTACGATATTTTTCATGCTTCAAAAGTTTTCCACTAAAAATATTAAATTAAAACATTTACTTTTCTAAGATATTGTATATTCAAAATCAAATTTTTATTTAAAACATCTTATTACAATCAATCATATTATCCATATTACTATTAGTTATGTAAGTGAAAATAACATAAACCTGCAAGCCTTTGTAAACTATGTATACACTGAAGCTAAAGGTCATTAAGGTACACACCATGTCGCGAGGATAGAGCCCAAATTTCCGACAAGTCGCCGGCGATATCGCCGCCGCCACAGCTGCCGTCAATCGATACGTAGATTTTCACTGATCATAAAAGAGCGCAAAGTAACGAAAGAAATACCCGATGCTTACCTCCACGAAGAGCCGCCGAGCCAGATCACTTCTTCGGTGCCGCTCCGCCGGCTAAAATCTTCGCCGTTTCCGGAATCCTCCCTCCGATCATCGCTCAAGTCTCCGTAAAGATCCTTGAGCTTCGCAAGATTGCTCGGCGTAGACGTCTTTTCACGAGTAGGGCTCGAACAAATTCTATCGTGCCCAGTTCGATCGTGAAAGCTTCGACTCTGGCTCCGACTCCTGCTCCGGTAGCTGTCTCTATCTCGGGATTTTCTGTCGTAGTCGAATCGATGGTCTCGATCCCGATTCCGATCCGGGTCTTTGTCTCGATGATACCTGTCCTCGCGATCCCAGTCTCTCTCCCTGCCTCGGTCCCGGTCCGAATATTCTCGATCGGATAAATCACGGCTCTGGCTGCGGCGGCGACCGGGGGACCTTCTCGAAGTATCATCTCTATCGTAAATCGGCGTGGAGGTGCGACGGACTGGGGACGAATCTCGAGTTGATGCACGATGAGGAGCGCGTTGTCCGAACGAGACGGAAAGGGAAGCTTTGACGGAAGGCGGCCTCCTTGCGGTGTCGTCAGATGCACGGCTGTTCTCTCCGATAACTCCACAGGGTTTCGTCGGCAATTTCATGTTTTCGAGGTTGGATACGATGTGTCGCAGGACGGGGACGGGGATTCGGGGCAGAAGTGTGTCGAAGTAATACTGCAGGCAGAAACATAGTTGTGAAAATTGATTGAAGGACTCGTGCAGACGAAATGGATGGAATTTTATGAACGTCGACCCAAAAAAAATCATTGTACGGTACCTTACCTGTCCGAGAAGCAAGTCGCGTATGTACACACCCATTGTAGTCATCCGGCCGCTGGAACCGGGAGAGAACTCCTGGAATGGAATAAAAAACGCTGATAAACATTAGATTCGTCGACAATAACATCAGACAAAGAAAATTTAATGTTAGTCACCAATATGTAACCAATAATCCTACAATTAAGATCGGAAAGGATATGGCTAGGAGAGAATAAAAAGTTCCGAAAGATTAAAAAATAGCAAGGTATGGCAATCAAATTAGAGAAAAAAACCAACTTCTCATGCCATTGCTAATTTCCTGTAACAATTGTTATTGGACATCTTCAGCTATAGATAACGAAACTGAATAAATCTTTGGGAAAATAAGGAACAGGGAAACGTCAATCGTTCCTTACCTCATCATCTTTCAAGTATGGTTCATACCAACTCCATAGTGTCTTTGGATCCACAACATACCTTAAATAAAGAAACCCAATCTGAAAAATAGCAAATTAGAGTGTTAGTTAAACCCAATCGTTCCCACTTGAGAGCTATAAACCGAGTTCGATTCTGGGTGGTGCGTGTTCATGTGAGTGTGTGTCGGGTTAAAAAAAATGAAAGGAAAAAAAAAAAAACGAATAAAACTGAAGTATGGTGGCATAATAAGTTAACTAAGTTCATTCAAACAAAATGCTAGTAAATAGCCCCACCAAACCCGAAACAAAAACAAAACAAAACTGCTGAGGAAAAACATTTTAATATAACTAGTAAAAGAAAGACGGTGGCACGACTTTTCGATATGAGCATTCTCAGCAACCAAATTAAATCTATCAAGAAAGCTTCCAAAAAAGTAACAAAAGCTTTGCGCCAAAGTACAATTATACGCTTTCTATTCATTAGTCGTAGATTCTTTCAAATGATAGTGAGGTAGCTTGTAATACTTCTCAATTTGTAATTACGCGTCTTTTAGATGCTTGCGAAATATCACTAGTCTGTCCAACTTAATTACTCCATATTTGAAATATCACTGGTTGCAGCTGCAGGCACACTGGGAACGTAGATAATTGTAAAATGACAGCAATGGAATGCAAATCCTCGGACCTTATTTGTAAGATAATCAAAGCCCATAGATCTACAACAACCTCACGCAAAACAGATTTCATGTAATATTAAAAAGATGAGCTGCCATTTCTCTAGCTTCTTTTTGGCCCTAATTTCTACACATCGTAAATATTGTAGTTTCGAGTGGCTACTCCCAATATAAAGCACAGAACTGCATGGTGTGTGCTAATATCAAAGTTTAACTCAAAATGTCTTTGCACAGCATACGTTCAGTCTCAGATTCTAAATGAACGTCAAAATTTTATGATATACTCCCTCCATCAAAGATGATTATGTCAATTTTTCTCTTTCGATTATCAGCTAAACTTATGCATAATCCATTTATAATTAAAGAATTTATCCACCCACAATTTTATTATCCCTACTTTAATAAATAATAATCAATTTTCTTTCTAATTACCCCTCTACCTTTTTATTAGCTATTTAAAATTTTTTTCATGATACTCTCACTTTACTTTTTATGCATACATTTTTATATTAAAACGCTATTATTTCTTAGGCTCTGTTTACTTGTAAGATTTTCCGTCTGATTTTACTATTTCAACTTTCTTTTTCTTCCAAAAACATAAAATCAAACATCCAATTTTTATTTATTTTATTATACTAAAATCTAATTTTACATTCGAAACATCACATCAATACATATTTATATCACATCAAACCACTATATCAATTCAAAATTTTACTATTCAAAATCAAAACTCAAAACCAAAACCTCACAAGTAAACACACTCTTAAGTTTTCTTGTCCAATGAATATGACAATAACATCTTGGTTATAAGTATCGCTTAGGTTCGCCAACCTCGCAGTTAATATTGCATTTTATTTTTTTGTACGTTGTACGCCTAGTATAAGTTTATGAACCTACTGGTTAAGCAAAGTCGGATCTTGTGGTGACATATGAACCTACTGGTTAAGCTAAGTCGGATCTTGTGGTGACATACATTTACCAAAATAAACCAAAAATGTAAAGGAAAACGAATCACGCCAAAACTGTACTTACAGCTCTTATGTAAGGAGAATCGGGGTGCTTCAACAGGCCATGCATCTGCTTGACAGTGAGTTTCATAATGAAGAACTTGTAGAGGAGGCAGAATGCAGTCGATGGGCCGCGGCAGTTTCCGGTCATCCATGGCTCAACATGAGTGACAGTAACATAAATCTCATCAATCACTTCATGGTAAGTTTTCAATCTCAAAAGATCTCGAAAGTAATCAGAAGAAAGTATATTCATGCAAAGGACCTTCTCTAATAACTGATCAATCGGTCTCCCAGATGCCTTTATCTCTGCCATTGTCGATCATCCACAGCCTGAAACCTATCATATCATATACAATCTTTACAAAAAGCACCAACTGATCCACCATTAACACAATTCCACTCAAGGCACCGAAGAAGCAATGAAGTCGAAATCCAAACATTCAAGATATGAAACAAAAATAATCTACACAGCTTTTTACTTCAATTTCACATACTCAAATTTAGAGCATTACACATCCACAACATAAATTGTAAAACAGATATAAATTTGCCGCTGCTTTAAACCTTTGATAAACTGTATTTCAATCAATCCAATACTCTGCCATTTAAGTACTGAAACTTCACATAATCGCATTCACGTTCTCAGAAATATCCACCGAAATGAAAATTTCTCGTAATTGATTCTAGAATCGAATAAAATACAGTAACAAAACAACAACTGAACCCTAGTAACGCAAGATTAAACCCAATCCCCCCAGAAATGTCTTCATTTCAAGTGCAGGCTACCTTAATTTGACATAGCTCGGACGCAATTACGACAGCTTCAACAACGGGAAAAAGAGGTGAAATCGTACAGCAGTTCCACCAACAATCGGGGGCTAAAAGTGTGAAGTTTGAACCTTGTACTTACCACGAATTGATGGAATTGTGGAGCGAATCCGTGGAGTCTCGACAGCGAGCTTTATTGCGAACCCTAGGAAGGAAGAAATGCAGAAACTCTGTGAGGTTGGTCAATAAAATAAGAACCCATAGCCCTCCGCGTTCACCCATTTACGGGGGATCGTTTGGAGGTCCTGGACCTGCTTATTGAATGCATCTCCACCATTGATTTATAGACTCTTCGCTATCAACGGTGAGGATTTATCTGGATTCAATTCCAATATCTCGCCGACTTTAGGTAGCGGTGCTAGAATTGGATTATAATTTTAAATGTGGTTTCAATTTCATTACAATTATTTTATTATTTTTTAAAGTAATTTTTTATAATTTTTATTTATTTTAATATATTAATCATGTGTAAATATATATATTTATTTATTGGTATTATGTAGTAAAATTTTATTTTTATAAAATCATTATATTTAATAAGTATATTTTAATATATATAATTTATAAAACATTTATAATATAAATATATTAAGTTATAAAGGATGTGCTTTTAAAAAAAAAAATGAACATACATCATTTCATATTAACAATTTTCTTATATTTTATATAATTAAATTATTTTGCATAACAAATATAGTATTCATTTCATTTTTTCTTTTTTTTTTTTTTTAATTTTATTGTCTACCTAACATTATAAATATCATTTTAATTTATAATATATTACGCAAATGTCATTACCTTTATATCATACAATACTAATTGAGTTAATTTAATTTTTTTTATCTTTATTTCTATTTTATCTCAATATAATACTAATATTTTTAAAATTTCGTGTAAAAAGCAAATGAATATATAGATATGGTATGAAGGAAGTACTACTTTATAACCAGTATCTCATTAATCAACCCCCAATAACTACTTTCGGCTTATAATCAACCAAATACCAAACTTGTAAGGTTTGTTAGGGCTGATATTTGGTTTTGATTTTTTTTTCTTTGGATTTTAATTTAAATAATATTCTCCCTGTGCTAATATAATAGGCTTATATTTTAATTTTGTCTGTTTCAAAACGATAATCTTATTTTTCATAAGTGTTCATATCACCATAAAATTATTCTTATTTTTTTATTATTATTATACAAATATTACTATTTTTTACACTAATAACTCATAAAAACAAAAACAAAAAAAAATCTTTTATTTATATTTTTTAATCAAACTATCAATATAATATTATTATTCATAAATTATGAATATAATATTATTATTCTTCAAATATGTGAGGAATACAAATTGGTAACTATAAAATTACACTCTATATTTAAATTTGAAAAGAACAAAGCTTAAAATTAATATGGAGAAAAAATAATACACTCTTAATAAAATTATTATTATTATTATTATTTGACTAGAGGTCACTATAACTTGCAAAAGACTCCAATCCTCTTTGAATGTAGTCTGCTATTTAAATTTTGGTTTTCTAAAAGTTAATTGCACTGACATAGTCATACAACAGTTAATAATAATAATAATAATAATAATAATAATAATAATAATAAAAGATATATATTTAAAATAAATGAATTTTTATTTTTTCTTAAAGAAATTAAACTTATAATTTCATTACTATAAAATCCATACATATTGGGTGTGTTTGTTTGGGAGTTTGAATTTGAATAATACTTCGTTCGTCTCATATAATATGTTTCTATTTTTTATTGTCGTCCGTCCCATATAATTTGTTCTTTCTATTTTTGAAAATATAATTATGCATCTTAATCGCATTTTAAATTTTAAATTTTATAATTTTTTTAATTTTAATTAAACTATTTACTTATTTTAATCTTAATCTATAATTATTTTTACTAAATAATAATTATTTTTAGTAATACACTTCTTAATTACTCACTAATTATACTTTATCTAAATTCTGTGTCTACAGTAATACACCCATATTACATTGGACGGAGGGAGCAAAAAATTTGAATTAGAATTAATTGTATGATGTGATATAAATATGTATTGACGTGATGTTTTGAATTTAAAATTAATTTTTAGTATAATATAAAAATTAAAAATATATTTTTTATTAAAAAGATATAAAATCAAATGAATAGTGAATTTGAAGTAAAATTGTCAGTGCAAACCCACCCATTATTTATTTTTATGTAGCACTATGTCTAAACTACTATTTAAATATATATATATATACACATATAGATATATATATATATATATATTAAAAGAATGGTGCTCAAATGAATGATTTGTTTTTTACTGTATAGTTTGCAGGTATTATATTAATAAAAAAAAAAAAAAAGGAAAAATTGTAACAAATAATAGTAGTGGAACAAATATAGTGTCGTATTTTTTATTTTTTATTATTGAAATCAAACTTAGAGTGAACAAATCTTAGTCATGGATTTGTTTAATTTGTAATTAATGTGTTTTTATTATATATGTTTATGTTTTGTAAGTAAATTTTTTACTATTAATATTTTATATCTATTTGTGTATGTGATAAAAAAAATATATATATATATATGACTAATCAAGTTTATCCAAAAAAAAAAAAAAAAAGAAAAGAAAAAAAAAAGACAATCTTATTAATCAAATAATAATGGTGATACTTTGGTAAAAAAACTCACCCTCACCCTACAATCATGGGTTTCGATTCACTTGGAATTCTTTCCATATATTAATTAACCCTATTTCCAATTTTATTGCTCCAATAAAATTTCTTTCTTTATTTTCCAATATGCCAATCAATAAACCTCCAATCCAACACTTTCCATTAATTTAATTTTCTTCCATATATATAAAATTAAATTAAATAATTAAAATCAAAAGGATGTGAGTGTGAAATTTAAAGATACAACCTATCCAACCCTTTAATTAATTAAGTCAGTCAATTCGACACATACTTTTCAATAAGACACAACCCTCACTCCCAACGGTCAAAAAAGCCATTTTTGTAGGAACCTCCCGTGAAACATCATACTAAATTTCCCATGCAATAAAAACACGCACTCATACATACATACCTATATATATATATATATAGATACATATATTCATACCAAGAATTCAAAAAAAAAAAAACCCTCTAAAAAAATGGATTCTTGGATGACTACGATGACGATGATGACGACGAGGACGATCAAGAACAAGAAAAAACCGTCGAAGAAGATAGGAGGATCTTGCAAACGACATTCTTACCACAATCAAACCTCGGGAGTTTGCGCCGTGTGCCTCGCCGAGAGGCTTGAGAAATTAGCCAACGGAAAGTCCTCGAAGCCCGGCCCGAGGGGCTATTACTCGTCGTCATCTTCATCCTTATCGTCGTCCTCGTATATTTCCTATTCGTCGTCCTCGTGCTCGTCCCCCGGGGAATGGGGCATGTCTTTTTCGTCGTCTTCTTCGAGGGTTTTTAAGGGCATTGCGCCGCGGGAATTGCTCGTCAAGTGCCGATCGACGGTGGCGTCCATGCGGAGAAGAAAAATCAAGAACGACGACGACGACGAGAAAAAAAATAGTCAAGAATCCAAACTAGGGTTTTGGTCAAAACTTGTGAAGAAGAAGAAAAATAAGGGTTTGATCCATTCAAGAAGTGTTAGAAATTAATTTAATTGTTATTCTCACTTTCTTAAATTTTTGGGAAGGTTTGGAGACATTACTTTAATTTAATTCTATTGATTTTGTTGATTCTAAAGTGAAGATTATATATATACATATATATATATATGTATATATGTGTGTGAATTAGCAATTGAAGTTAATTGAAAATGGATCATTTCTGCTTGTGATTTAGTTTATATTTTTCTTCTTTGGTCTTTTAAGTAATTAGGGTTTCATTATTATTGGGTTTTATTTTGTTTTACTAAGTCGTTATTTTATTTTATTTTATTTTATGGGTGCATGACGATGATGTTGGAATTCTTTTCCTTTTGCTGTATTATTATGACATTTGGAAGAAAGGAAGAATTCAACTTTCCAAAGGTGTGTGTAAAGAGATCTTGTGTTCAAATTGACGAAGTATATTGAAATACTTTGACACAAAATTAAAATAATGTTATTTATATATATATATATATATTTATTTTATCTTCTTCAAAAATAAATTACACATATATAAAAACATAATCCCCAAATTAATTGCATCTAAAAATTGGAATATGATCTTTTAACTTCATGTGATACATATATATATATATATATAATTAACTTATTTATTTTATCTTAGTAGTAGTTCAAATAGATTAAATTTAATTTTATTATTGATAGGAACAATCTACAAAGGGTGGATTAGTTAAATTAGTCAAAAGGTTGATCTTTGGGGGATATTATGTATATATATATATATATATATACTTTGATAGAATCAACAAAAACACTAAAAATGTTGTTCATAAATATAATTGTAGAGACTCCTTCCTTGAATTTTACATAAAGTGTGTATTTAGAACAATCAAATTCAAAGAATAATTTGAATTTAAAAAAAAAAAAAAACATCCTACAAGAAACAAGTCATTATTAACTGCCACATTAATTCCTTGCAATTTCTGGGAACAATAAAAATTAAATCTTGGGGTTTTGTCATGGTGAAACTCTTGTTTAGACAGACATTCCTTGCAATTTCTGGAAGCAATAGACATCAAATTTGAATGTAATGTTTTAAGTAAAATATATTTTATACTATATATTAAATATTTAATAATTTTGGGGAAAAAAGTTATTATTGTACAGAATGGAATTCAATTATTCAAATCTATCACAAACGACGTAATATATATAAATCACATTATTACAAGAATCATTTAAAAGAAAATACATGTATTTTCCTTTTATATAACAAAAAAAAATAAATAAATAAATACACTAAAAAAACAAATACAAAAAAAAAAAACAAATATATAAATATTAAATATATATATTGTATTATGATATAAAATATATTGAATTATAATATAACATATATTATATTATAAATACACGCTAATACTCACATTATATATAATATATATTGATCAGTCAAATCTAACACCCAATTGAAAATTATTACTATACGAGGTTTTTTTCATTCATACTTTATGTATAAATAATTATAATAGACAAAACACAATATTATTGCAAATAACATATAATTATATATAATAGTACTCCTCCGTCCCAGCTAAACAAAAATGGAACGGAACGAGTATATTTTTTCTTCTACAAAATATCACATCACATATTAATTATTTACTATTTTTAATTAATTAAAAATATATCCTACCCATCTATTTAAACCTAAACTACCATTTAAACTAAAACTCAAACTCAAATTCCCATTTTGCACTGCTGAGCATTATTACCATAATACTTGAGCAGATTTTCTACCACTCCGCAAACTCAAAATAAATTCAGTACACGATTCAAACTCAAACTCAGGCTTAGTCAACATTGAACCCCTAAACTCCCGACCACATTGTACAGCTCCGGCCGGTCGGCGCGGCGACACACAACGATATGGATCATCGATATATATATATATATACACACACAACGCTCAGTCGATACTTACAGTAGCAGATTTCATTATTAGTACAATCCCGAGCTAGCAAGCGAGCGCCCGCCACATTGCCCCTAGCCTAATAAGTCAGTCGGATTTTTTAGCCGGGCTTTGGTGCCGAGCTTGCCAAGCAGTGGAGTAAGCAGACACGGCAGAACCCGTTACAGAGAACGTGCGTTTGGCCAGGCCTATGCTTTTCGCCACTGCTAGCCACATCGTGAAAAAGAATCCAATCCAACCTGTTTCGAGCAAATAAGATGAATTTTAATGCACTATGATGTCTTTAACTAGGAATTCAGAAATTCGGGGACTATGAAAGAGGTTTCGATCCATATGTACTATGATGTCTTTTGATCGACATAAACATGACCTCGACTCCTGGATTCTCACTGTTGAAATAAACAATAAGGTTGTGTTCTTTTGTGGGTTTTACAACACATTTTTACTATTGGATTCTTTTTTCCCTCACTGTTGAAATAAACATGACCTCGACTGCTGGATTCTTTTTTCCCTCAATCAAACAATATATTGTACTAAAAAATTATTTTACATTCAAAATATCACATCAACGTCTATTTATATCACATTAAATAACTATTCAAATTCAACTTTTTACTATTCAAAAATCTAAACTCACAAACAAACACTCCCTAAGATTCTGGTTATTTCGTAAATTTTTTTACTAGGCAACATTGAGAATTTCCTATAAAGATACACTATTTCGAAGAATAATGAAAGTTCTTTTATTACTAAGGAGAAGTAAATTGCGGCTACATTAGAAAAATAGAGTAAATCTATGTAAGTGCATAATGTAAAACCATAATGAGTTCTCGTATCCAAATCATTATTCAAACTAAAATCAAAATTAATTAATAAATAAACAAATAAAATCGACAAGTAAAAACACCCTTAGTTGCATTTCTACCGATTATCACATTAGTTTGTCTTTATGGTCATGGGGTTTCGCTAATTGTGACTCGAAGAATATAGACAAGAAATTAGGCATATATAACAAAATGAAATTCAAAAGCACATTAGTTTGTTCTTATGGTCATAAAGCCAAGAAATGTACGAGGCATATATAAGCAATGAAATGAAATTCAAAAGCATATGCTAAATCTCATTGTTGCACATCTTGACATAAGTTGAATAAGTTATGCAATAGCCAAACACGTTGCCAAAATGTTTCCTAAATCTCATTCGAATTAGTTCATTCTTGCACAAAAAGCTCAGGGTAGGATTCTTAATTCGATAAAATTCAGACTATTTTGTTTCCGAAATTATAGTGCTTGGTTATGTTTAATAAAATGAATCCCTAAAGTAAAAAAGAAGAGTTGCATTAGATCAAATGACTATAATATATCCAATAAAACGAAATTATAATTACCAGTGGCTATAAAGACAGCAAAGGCTGCAGAGATTGTCGCGGTTGAAATCGCAACAACGGCAATGGACAATGCTCCAATATATATGGCTGCAGCAAAGGTGAAAAATAGGGCAAGGAATCCGCCTGCTGCTGCTAGAGACACGAGAAGTGAAATGACAATAGCGTTGAAAGTTGCGACAATAAAGAAAAGCATGAAGACCGACAACCCGGTCAAGACAAGAAGGCCAATCAACCCAACCTGCACAAGCAACATGCACTGAGAGAACTTCCCAACTCCTCTTACAAAATAATACATATTTTTAAGATTCACATATCCGTAAATACCTCTTAACTAGGAATAAATGAAACAGAATTTTGTTGAGCATAATGCAGCATAGAAGTAAACAAGTACAGAACAACAAATATATATATATATATATATAAGATACTCAATTCACCCTTTAAAATGTGCTTTTACGACAATCAAATCAAGGATTGAAGTTAGAACAATAACCAAACAGACACTTGTCACCATTCCCACGTATCTACTGAGGCAAATAAAAAACCATTAAAAACAATTGAATATGGTACAGGTTTCGATTTCCACCCATTCATCAGTTAAATTTGCAGCAGGGGACTTCCAAACGATTTCTTATGAGGCTGTCACTGATAATATCATCTAATCTCATACAAGATACAAATTTAGCCAAGAACAAGATATCTGAAATAAGAGATTCAAGCCAACCAATAACTATAAAATCAATAATAATATACTGCCATTAGCATAATTTAAGCAGATTCATACTCATATATCACCGGGATTATTTTGCACCGAAACAACGATCTTTGTGATAGTAATATGCTTGCATAAATCCATAATACAGAGGCACTGAGAATCAGCTTGTCTATTAGTAATTTACCCTCTCAACCATGGGCTTCATTGCAAATCCGACGAATTATATCATTAATCACTGGCCATCATCCATGCTTGAACATCGACTTTTCATTCAAGAACCAAACATTTGAATTTTCCAGTCAAAACATCTTCTATCCTAAGTTGCATAGTCCTCATCATTTCCAGGAACTCAGTAGGGCTGTTTATCTTATTGTTAATCAAGGATTTCCTATGATATCAATAAGATCCATCTGTATAGAACTATAGATCTTATCATCTACATCCAGACTGCAACGAATAAAAGAAACTTCATAATTTTAAGTACTTTTCTACAAGTAAAAGGATGCCAATTTCTATGCCCTAACCATCAAACAAAAACTTTGAGATTCCAACAATCAATCGACTCCATAGGTTTATTGAACATTAATCAATTCATGAATCAAGGTACTCTTCAAGCTAAATTACAGGCAAAACCTAATGAATTCATTGTGATTGAACACTAAAATCAAAATCATGTTCAAATTTTAATATGTTCCAACAATATAAATATATAATCTTAATCATCTATGTTCAATGTGTATGATCTCACTCAAGATACTTCCAATCAGTTCCCTTACCTACATATATGCAAAAATCCCTACTGTTCTGCACAAAAACTCAAATCTATCGAACATACCAACAGTAAATCACAAAGCAGTCGACCAAAAACGCAATACGCAATCGAAAACCCTAAACCATGAATTCAGTGAGATTTAAACTTACGCAGACAACGAAAAGAGCGCGGAAAGGACTGCCGCGGCGAGTCCAGTCGATAACACGCCGGACGGTGTTCTTCGACGCCTCACGAAGCAGAGGAACATTCACAGATATCGTCGATCTGATCCTCGTCAAGAGAGGATCGTTCCAATCCGGACCGGGGAACAACACAGCAGCTACAAAACGGTTGAAGATAGTCCAGAGCGTCAAGTCCTCGCTGTCCCCGCCGCCGTCCACGACCACCTCTCCGTTCGGATTCTTACCATCCTCCTCCGCCATTTATTTTGCACTTCTCCGGCGCGGCGAAGACACTAACTGTGCTTGATTCTGGTCTGTGCTGCGAAGATGAATTTTCAAATCATTGATAGGCTACGCTGATTGAATTCCGTATGCTGATTGAAGTTTGAGGAGAACGATGGCCGAGCTCAGAGCAAGATGGACAGCTGTAATGCCGCCACGTTCCTTTGGGACACGTGGACGGTGGATATTATGTCGGCAGAGTTTGTCGCGTAGTTTTGCACTTCAACCCATGGGTTTAATAAATATGAATTTTGGTACTTATACTTTTCTTGTGAATAATTTTGGTGACTTTGTAAATCGGGTTTGGTTGGTTGTTATTTTAAATTGATTTGAAATCGTGATTTAACTTCTTTTTTTATTTATTTAAATAATATTTTGTAAAACATATATGATATAAAAATTTAATTATTTATAATATCATATTAATATATATTAAATCAAATAATTATTTATATTCAAAATCAAAGCTCTAAACCAAAATTGAAAACACCATAAATAAATTTTAAAATTATGATTTACTTTAGAATACGTTTGTATAAGCTTTAATTTTGAAATTGAATTTTGAATAATAAATTTTGAAATAAAATATTTATTTAATGTGACATAAATAAATATTAATATTATATATTTTTTTATGTAATTTTAAATCCTTCGTACTTCTAAAACTGCTCAAATTCCCTCGTGGTTTTATAAATTTTGCGTTTAACTTCTTCAGTGATCCTTATTTAACAGTATTTGACCTTCAAATTGCGAATAAATTTTAGAATCTCAATTTCTAAACCCCTAAAATTACAAATATATTTATTTTTTTATATATTTAACCCAAAAAAAATAGTAAAAATAAAATCTTAGAACTTGAGAAAAATAACTATTTTTAATATATTTATTATTTTTTTAGATTAAATATATAAAAAAATAAATATATTTGTAAGTTTAGAAGTTTAGAAATTGAGATTCTAAAATTTATTCGCAATTTAAGCGCATTTAGGTCAAATACTGTTAAATAAGGACCGCTGAGGAAGTTAGACTGAAAGTTTATAAAACCACGAGCGAGTTTGAAGCAGTTTTAGAAGTACGGAGAATTTGAATTGCATAAAAAAATATATAATATTAATATTTATTTATGTCACATTAAATAAATATTTTATTTCAAAATTTATTATTCAAAATTCAAATTCAAAATTAAAACTTATACAAACGTCCTCTAAAGTAAATCGTAATTTAAAATTATCAAATCAAACATATTTTTTAATTAAATATTTAATCAATCTTTGAATTTTGTTTAAATAGAAATTTTTGGGTCAACCAAATAAATTCTTTGTAGTTTAAAAATTTATAAAAATTATAGAACATTATATATTAAATTTGATATTTATAGAAACTAAAAAAAAAATTAATAAAATTGATATAATTAGTGTATTTCTTTTGATTTGATTTGAGAAATTTAATAAAAAAATCTTACAAAATTTACAAATAAATTATTTTTCAAATTTGATAAAATTTTATCAAAAGTGAGCATAGATTTGGTTCAAATCTATGCTCACTTTTTTTTTTCTGGGTTCTCATAAAAAAAAATATTCTCATTTCTTTTTTAAGAAAAAAATTATTCCATTTTTGTATTTTTTTACTATAAAAGAAAAAAATAACAATTATTATTCACTTTTATTAAAACTTGTATCCGATCAGAGCACACATTTACATGACAGGGGGAGGGAGTACTATTTATTGAATTTTTTCTCTAAAAGAATATTAGTCACTTTTAGAAGGGCATTTAGAATTTTTTAGTAGATTAAAAAATAATAATATTTTATTAGTCATGTGCTACCATATTTTAATATTTTTGTCATTTTATTTTTTTATAAAGTAATTGCATATGTAATGAAATTTTTATAATCTAAATATAAATTAAAGATATTTCAGTATTAATCTACAATTACTTTGACTAAATACGGAAAATGATACTTTTGAGTGGAACGGACGAAAATAAAAAAATACTTTAAATAAGAATGATGGAATATCAAAATTAAACATCTATTTTTATTTTCTAAATATAGCAAAATTCAAGATTATATTTAAAACATCACACCAATATATATACCTATTTATATCACATCATACAATTATTTAAATTAAAAAAAATTATTATTCAAATATTAAATTAAAAATCAAACCCTCAAACAAACACACTCTTAAACATTTGGGTTTAGTTATTTTAAATACTCATTTTTATTATTTAAATATTTTAAATAGTTGAATTTAGATACTTATTTGATGTGATATAAATAAATATCGATATAATATTTTAAATATAAAATAAGTTTATAATATAGTATTAAAAGTAATAATTCGATTTAATACTTTTGAAAGAAAAAAATAATAATCTGAATACTTTAAGGATGTGTTTGTTTGGGAGATTGAATTTTAAATATACTATTCATTTCTTTTTTTTTTCCCAAAAAATATAGGATCAAACACTTATTTTTTATTTTTTATATTATACTAAAAATCAATTTTACATTCAAAATATCACATCAACACCTATTTATATCACTATCATACAACTATTCAAATTCAAAACTTTTACTATTCAAATCTCAAACTCAAAATCTAAATCGCAACTAGGTGTGTTTGTTTGGGGGTTTGAATTTTGAGTTGGGATTTGAATAGTAAAATTTTTGAATTTGAATAGTTGTATGATGTGATATAAATAGGTGTTGATGTGATGTTTTGAATGTAAAATTAATTTTTAGTATAATATAAAAAATAAAAAATAGGTGTTTGATTTGATGTTTTTGGGGGAAAAATTTTAGATGAATAGTAGAATTTTGGTAGAATCCTTCAAACGAACAAAATATACAACTTTAGGGTGTGTTTGTTTGAGGGATTTTGTGGAATTTCTACTATTTTCACAAAAATTTTTTTCCAAAAACATCAAATCAAATATTTATTTTTTATTTTTTTATATTATACTAAAAATCAATTTTACATTCAAATCATCACATCAATTCTTATTTATATTACATAATACAACTATTCAAATTCAAAATTTTTACTATTAAATTCAAACCCAAAATCCAAACACTCAAACAAACACATACTTATCCTTAGTACACTTTTTTGAGTAAAATGGGTGAGTTTGTTTGGGTTTAGATTTTGAGTTGAGATTTGAATAGTAAAAATTTTGAATTTGAATAGTTGTATGATGCGATATAAATAGGTGTTGATGTGATGTTTTGAATGTAAAATTGATTTTTAATATAATATAAAAAATAAAAAATATGTATTTAATTTGATATTTTTGAAAAAAGAAATTGGATGAATAGTCCCCAAACAAACACACCCTTATATACTCCATTTAATATAGTGTTTTTTATTTATATATATAATAAATATTACATAGATAATTACATATTTTTTGTATCTGGGTTCTATCAATTTCAAATTTTGAAAAATTCATTAATCCTACCGTTGTTTCAGATATGTCGGATTTCTATTTTTATTATTTATATTATTATAAAATATTAGATATACAAAAATATGGAAAATAGGGTAACGGTAAGAAATTATTTTTTTCAGTGCTGAAAACAGTGGTAGGTTATTATTCTTCTGACGCATCAATTTTGAATTTGTTTTTTTTTTTCGCTTAAAAAATAAAAGAAAAGTAAAAAAAGTGCCTTTACATCTCTATCTTTAATCAACGGTCGGAATTAAATTGAATTGCCCCGCCCCTGTCTAGAATTTGAATTTATTCTCCTCCCTTTATCCCAACACAGACTATAAGAGCAGCGACTTACAGGAGTTTCTAAACCTAATTAATCTACACCGTCGATTAGAACTATTAACGGTCTGGATCAATTGAGGTATCAAGATCCGGGACCTTGTGAAGATATTGTCCATGGATAATTAATTTTTCCTTGAACACTGTACCCCTTGTCGGGCTCCCATTTGCACCCCAATAATCTGTCCGATTCTTGTTTTTCTCTTTTAATCCGACATCGGATTTTGATTTGGTTTTGAATTTTTGAACGTTATGGGGACCTGTTTGAGCAAAAAAAGTGTCTGCGCGACTGCTCCGGTGACCGCTCCGGTGGCGGATCCGGCGCCGGCGGAGAGTCAGACGGCGGAAGAGCAAGGGCTTATCAAGAAGGAGATTTTTGTAATTAAACACCGGACGAGCCACGAGATTGAGCGGCGGAAGGCGGAGGAGGAAAAGGGGGAAGGCGGCGGCGCGGAGGAAGTCGCCGGGAAATGCGAATCTGGAAGCTCCGGCAACGCAGCACCGCCCGTCGGCGGAGGGGCGGCGGTGGTGAGGAGCTCCAGCTGCACGAAAGAAGAAGTCGACGCTATTTTGATTCAATGCGGGCGGCTCAGCCGCTCGGCCTCCGCCGGAAAACCCGGCCAGTCGTCGGAAATCGGCGGCCGGAAGTACTCCGGTTCAAAGCGTAGCTTCGACTTCGACAACGACACCGGAAAATCCGACGGCAACACCGGCGACGACGAGAGGGAGCTCCGCCGCCGCGAGCGCCACCGCCACTCCCCCTCTCGGCGGCGGACGCCGAGCCGGGAGAGAGATCGCGACCCGACCCGGTCCACCAGCCGGGAACGAACCGGAAACGGCGGCCGGAGGGTGAGCAGATCCCCCGGCCGGAGATCTGAATCCCCAAACTCATCCAAACCTAATTCCGAACCTAACCCCAACGCTAACTCCAAACCTAGCAAAATGGTCTCCGTCCCCGCCACCGTCCCGCCGCCCGCCGCCGCCGCAGATCCCAATTCCTCCACCGCCATTAAAAGGATCCAAGTCAAGAGAAACGCCGCCACGTCGCCGCGAGCCCGATCGCCGGCGAGAACCCTCAGCCGAAGCAATTCTCGTAAAACCGATAACTCTCCTTACCGGCGGAACCCTCTCGCTGAAATCGACAACAACGTTAGCTCACAGGTAACCAATATATATATATTGATATTTGTTCGATTCCATTTTGGATTTTAGTATTTTTTTCTGTTCAAATTTCACAGAACTGCAGAAAAACCTCAAAGCTCGAAGAACCTGTCCATGGCCAAACCTTCGTCCTGTCCGAAAACCTAGCAATGAACGTGATTCCATCCTCAGGAATCAGATCCTCCAGGCAATCTCGCGATTTCGACAACAACAACGATGCAATACCAAATCCAAATCCAAATCCAAATGTTACATCGTCCTACACAGCGTTATTACTAGAAGACATCCAGAACTTCCACCAGAAGAAGAATTCCAACAATTCGCCGGCGCCGGAGCTGCCGGCTTGCGTGGTGAAAGCTCAGTCGATCCTCGAAGCCGTAGCCGATCTCAATATGATCGGCGGCGAAAACAGGGGAAGTAGCAGAATCAGGCAGCATCCTGTAATGGAGTCCGAGGTTGTCGGAGACGAGGATGATCTAACACAACCGAGCTTCCATAAGTACGTGACGGTGAGGCGGGGCACCGCCGCCGACACTGCCGCCACGGAGGAGCAGCAGGAATCTTCCGGCAGCAATAGCCTGCAGCAGCAGCAATGGTTGTCGTCATCGTCGTTGTCCGGCTGGGAGCCGAATTCAGCCGAGTCGACCGACCGGTGGACGTGCTCGTCTTCGTCGAGAGCTGTCGGAAAACAGAGCTCCGTTGCTGCTGCTCCGGTGACGTCAGAATCCGGCAATGGCGCGAAACGAGGGACGAAGAAAAGGGAATATTCCGATCATCAGAATGGAATCGGGCGCGGCAGAGTAGCGTCGCGGGGATCGCACGCCGCCGCCGCATCGACTTGAAAAAGTGTTGCTATTTGTTGTGTTGTAGTTAATGTTGTTCTGTTGATTGTGTTTCCCTTAATTTCGTGAAATCAGTTCATTCCTTGTTAACGGGGAAACATTTTTATTACTTAGAATCCACAACGGTTTGCAGAAATTTATGCTTTGATTGTTTTGGAGTTTGGCATCAGAACACAATGCCTCAACGCTCCTTGTAATGAACGTTACCAAAAGTGTGCGCCTAGTAATTTTTCGATTTGAACTCTAATATGCTGAAAAATAAGTTTAACAAGTCACAAGACGAACCATATGTAATATGTAGACTTGAAATCGTTGAAAGTTTAAACCTATAATTTTACCGACCGTCAGACCATTTTTATGGACCCTCCTCTTTTTACGTGGCAAAGGCAATTGAGGGTCTCAAAATAACCCAATAATAGTTTGGTTAAATTCTTTCAATTTGATTGAACAAATACTCGTATTTTGTTTTATTGAATTATTATCATTATTATTATTATTATTATTATTATTATTATTATTTTGATCGGAGAATTATTATTATTGTTTTTTTTTAAAAAAAAATTTTGGTGGAAGGTGCAGATGGCGTCTTGATAGAGACTATATTATGTCTTTGTTCGGTGAGAAAAGTCCAACAAACACCGTCTCATTGTTCTTCGTTTCACTTCTGAATTTTGATTTCGATTACACTGTTTGCCCCAAAAGCTGCTTCTGAAATCATCATGGCTACTGTGGCTCACAACAATCTTAACGCGAAGCTCGTCAGTGAAGCCTCTTTTGGATGTAGATTCCGCATTTTCTGATGCTAATCTTGCTTTGGTTTTCTTAATTTTGTGGGTTTTTTTTGTTTTGATCTTCAGGTGTTGCTAGGGGACATGGGCGCCGGGAAATCGAGCCTGGTGATACGATTTGTCAAGGGTCAATTCCTCGAATTCCAAGTAATTTCCCTAAATATTTCGATCAATTGGTTTAGTTTATGTAGTGATCATCAGTTGGGGGTTTGTGTGGTTTTGATGATCATGGAGATGGTAACGGATCTTTTCGTGAGTGATTCATTTCGCAGGAATCAACGATCGGTGCTGCCTTCTTCTCGCAAACGGTGTCTGTGAATAATTCCACCGTCAAATTCGAGATCTGGGATACTGCTGGACAGGAGAGGTATCATAGCTTGGCTCCCATGTACTACAGAGGCGCAGCTGCTGCAATCATCGTTTACGACATCACCAGCGCGGTAATTAGATATGGGAGTGCATATTTATGCGATAATTAGGGTTTTAGGGTTTCAAATGATGAATCAAATCTTCCACACTGCTTGCAATAACTTCTTAATTTAGTTCTTAAGCAACTGTAAAATCTGATAGTAACAATTCAAACCTATAGATCTATATATATATATATATAAATATAATTGCTGTTGTTTGGAGAAGATCAATTCTGTAGCTAATTAATCTGTTCAAAGATAACCTTGATTATTATTGGAAGATGTTTTAATTGTTTCATTTGTTCTTAATTTACTTCTTAACCAACTTTAAAATCTGATGATAACTATTCAAACACACACACACACATATGTATATATAAAATATATATAATTGTTGGTGTTTGGAGAAGATCGATTCTGTAGCTAATTAATATGTGCAAAGGTAACCTTGATTATTATTGGAGGAAGATGTTGAATTGTTTCATTAGTGATAAAGCTTTCTAAATGCAAGTTTATTTTATTTATATATGATCAAGAATGTGATGAACATATGAGGCAATTTGTGAATACTCTCCAATTGCATTAGTTTTTTAAGTTTAATTTTTAAAATGGGGAAGTTGTGATAGCTTTGTGCTAGTGAAGTGATCGGCGTGAGTCGGGACTTAGCACAACATTTTGGATAATTCTGCAGTTTTACATGGTGTTTGTGAAGTTAAATGTTGCGTATACGTGATGATGTAGGATTCCTTTTCAAGGGCTAAGAAGTGGGTGCAGGAACTCCAGAAGCAAGGTGCTTATTAGTTACTGATTCTCTTTTCAAGAAAGCTACATATGCTTTAAGAAGGCATAAATCTGATGTCGATATCTTTGAGTGGAAATTAGGCAAACACGGCATAGCAAGATTGAGTTCATGTGACATAATCTTGTAGTTCTCACATGTCACTTTTCTAAGTCCCAGTATATGTGGTGAAACATGATGACTGAATGTTGTGACATTGTTGTAGGTAATCCTAACATGATTATGGCTCTTGCTGGAAACAAATGTGATCTTGAAGAGAAACGAAATGTGACTACAGAAGTAAGTGATCCTTCTTTCTTTTCTTTTTGGGCATCGCCGAGGCATTTTTTACAGAAATTGATATAAAATCTGCAGTAACCTCATAAGATTATTTTCAGCTCATTTGATGTTTAAATGTGCCTATTTTAGCCAAGTTCTGTTAGATTTACTTACCAAAAAATTAAGTGAAAGGTTGCTATGTAACTCTTTAGAATATTAGTCCTTGCAATTCTTCCAAGAACTTAGTGATCTCTTCTAGGATACGACAAGTGGGACAAGTGGAACTAACGAATAGAGACTAATACCTTGCTGGAACTCAGTTTGTTTACATCTACTCAATGGAAATTGTCAAGTTTCTTTATAAAGTTTTTAACTCTAAGTGTTACATGGAAATTTAATAAAGAACCAGAAAATGTGAGGTGAATATAAAAGTTTTTTCGGGAATTTTCCAATTTGTCTGGAACTAGAGGATTAGATATTGTTTGTATGCTTAAATTTAAAACAAATCAAGTTTTCTTGGTTGCATGTTTGCTGCAAAAATTGGATTTCATAGTCTTATCTGAATTTGCAACTAGATTTCTAGTTGCTTAGGTTATACTCCCTCGTTCCAATATAGTATATGCTATTATTTCTAATTTGGGATGTCCCAAAATGTTTATAACGTTTCTTATTACCATTTTTTTCCTCTTTTACCTTTCTAAATGAAATTTATAGAATCATTTCTAACAAAGAGTAAGGGCAAAATAGTAAAACAACTATAAAAAAATATGCAACCTAAAAAAACGCGTCAAAACTAAATAACAAGCATATTGGGACGGATTTAGTATAACATATGAGGCTCTTTCAGTGATATCATCTTCATTAGGCTCCACCATTTTTTTTTTTGGCAAATGCAGTGCTTACTTTCAGAAGTTTGATGCTAATTTTAATTCATTTATCTAATTTTACACTCCAGTTTCGAACGCGACATAATAGCATGATTGTTTGTTTTTGTTTCTGACCAATGTGCTTAGGAGGCACGTGCTTATGCTGAAGAAAATGGGCTTTTCTTCTTGGAAACCTCTGCCAAAACTGCTTCTAATGTGAATGATATATTCTACGAAATAGGTAAACTTACCTTTTGTTTTTCTTCTTTATAAATTCCGTACTCGGATGATGACATAATTTTATTTTTGTGTCATGATGAACCTTGTTTTATTAACAATGATGATGTAGATATGACTAAAGATATATCACCTGATGATTCAAATTAATAGTGAAAACTACATGTTTTCATTTCAACCCGGGTTTTACAAAAAATTACATGCAAGTTACTTATTTCTCCACTTGTAGAGGTTGATGGCTAATGAAATAACACACTAATGCTATATTAGAAGCTCTTTATTTAACTGAACTTGACTTTTGATGAATAGATAGATAAATTGCTTTACCAATAATTATTCTGAACATATCACAAGTTCACTACATGGAAAGTAGACTTGTCCAAACAGTGGTTTGAGATTTTTATTTCAGTTTTTTGGTTCAAACCGAAATCGTAACCAAACCATACCTGAAACTGAATCTTTTAAGATTAGGTTTCAGTTCTACATTTTTACAACATCCGGAATCGTAACCAAACCATCCGGCTGTTTCTCTATTTCTCTATTTTATTTTATTTTTAAGTTTTAAAAGCATAAACTATATGGATTCGGCAGTTCAAACTGCTGGTTTATGCTGTTTCTCAAAAATTTTAAAACATTTTAGCGTTCAAACCGGCAATTTCGCTTCGAACTTCCAGTTAGAAGAGTTCTTGTTGTCTTTTTCAATGAAATTAATGGATACAATTAAATGGTACATCCAACGGACAAGATTAATTGTCCAAACTGGCGCTTTTTGTTCGAAAATTGGGAAAAAAGATTAAGATTTCAATAAATAAATAAAAACTGACCGATTTGAAGTAGAACCATCGGAACCGGTCAAACATAATCCGAAACTGTGACTTATTGAATTGTTTGGACAAGTCTAATGGAAAGTTGTTAATTAGTTGGAGATAGAGGTGTGCAACTAGGCTTCTGAATTAGCATGCCAGCTGTTTCTTGTGAAGGCATGCTAAGAAAATGAAACAGGCAGTAAAATCCGCAGAATCGGAGAGGGTAATCTTACTCTCATGGTAAGATCATAAGAAATAAATGATTAAAGTGCTTATGATATGTACATCATTTGAACTTCGGAATTGTAGTCGCATACTATATATAATTGAAATATAATCAATAGTTCAACTTTCTGCTAGAATGTTTGATTATTTTGAAATATATATGCTTAGAATCTTAGTATGCTCTAAATATAGTTCTAATTTGTAAATTTGATGATACTTAAGCCATTAAATATGAAGATTTCTTTCTTCTCTCATTTTTAGCTGAGGATATTCAGATGTCTTTTACTCATCGTTGGCGGTCAGCAGCTTAGTTACAGCTCTTGCTCCTGTAGTTTTTGATATAACCTTAATTTTGCAGGCAATATACATGTGTTTACTTGGTGATTTTATTTATTTTTAGTTTAATTTTTGTTTTTGGTGTAACTGTAAATAGTGGGTTGAATATAGTGTTTTGTGGTGTCAAATATTTTATTTTTATCGAGGATTGCATTGTACAGAAACTGAACAAAATCCTGAAGCATTGATGGTTTAATTTCTAATTTTGCCTCTAACTTATCGGAAACATAATCATCAATCCTTGCACCAATATCAGCTCACAATCTGTACTAAGCTTTACTTAATTATTTCATATCGCAGCGAAAAGATTACCTAGAGCTCAACCGGCACCAAACCCATCTGGGATGATTCTTGCTGATAGACCTGCTGAAGGATCCCGGACTGCTTGCTGTTCTTAACCACTACCCGCCATAAAGTGTATGCTGCTTTACTTATTTTTCTTATCTTCTTATTTTTTAACTTAATACTCGCTTGACCGTATATTATTTTGTCTGTCTTGTTCAGTTATACTCTCAACATTCTATGCACAAAGCCTTACGTTCTTTATTATGCATTTTTTTTTTTTCAGCAGGTGCTTTCCATGTTTGTCCTGATTGATATAAGCAGTAGATTCTGCCGATAACTATGCAAGTGAAGGTACGAAACTTCTTATGGTGATTAGGTGATTGGTGCGCCGGCTTGTCGATTGTAGCTGTAAATAATAAGTTCTTTTTTTCCGTGCGAATTAATTTGGCTTTGGCTACTATAACTATCTAGACTCTTATTGTTCGGTATCTGCTGTGCTGTAACTATGGAACTTTGCCTTAAACTTGTTGGAGAATCTTGACAATTTATTCATTAACACCGGATAACATTGTGTCGTATATCATAGTAGCCTTAGTTTCGCCATTGCGTATTTACCTAGTGCATCAATGTTGCCTTGCTTGTTGTTTTGTTATTGGTTTTATTATAACCATTTTAGCTCAACTCTGTGTAGTTTTTTTGGTTCTGAAGTTGTGATTGTAAGTAAGAAGGGATCCAGAGTTCCAACTTAAAATCATGTTAATTAGAGTAGCTTTTTACAATATCTTGACACTCTCTCAAGATTATATTATCTCGAAATCCTAAGCATGATCAATATGGGAGTCAACCAACAAAATCAATATGGGTACCATGATTCTGATGTCATGTTAAAAGATGTAAATTACTGTTCTCTCCTATTCAAGGAGATATACGTCACCATACGCATCTTATACGTAGACGATGACGAATGAGAGCGGTGGGAAACAAACCAACACTAATACCATGTGAAGAAGGAATTTTGGATTTAAATTTAAATTTGGATTTAAATTTAAATTCAATTGATGTTAAGTGGAGTAACGTTTCACTATTCTCTGCAAGAGGGAGTTTCACAATTTTCTAACTTAGTCACAGAGATATTTGAGAGATAATATCTCATTTTTTTTATTTAAAAAAAAAAAAAAAGCTGATGTGGTGCAAGTATTATTCAATATGGTACTAACAGCATATTGCATATGCTAACTAACATATAAAATGGTAGCATATGACAATAGTTGATACAAAATATACTACTCATTTAAATTCATGCAAACTTATGTGCTGACAGTCTATATTTTACGTACTATTATAATGTTAGATTTATTCAATTTAGCACTCTATCCAAGTTGGTAATAGAGTATTTTTGGATGTTTCCATAGAAAATAGATTTGCGACTCGATTTTTCGTTAACAAATTATTTTTGCGGCCAAAGCAACAATGGCCCAACTTGGCCTAGCTTGATCTAACCTGCGAATTCTGCCAACACCTTCTTCCACGACGGCCGGCCGGAGATATCCTCCCACCAAGCACACACATTCTTCCTACGCCGGATCGAATCAGCCATTCCCCCTTGGCCCATCAAGAACTTCGTGTTCGGCAAGTGGCTGAGATCCGCCAGGCTGAACTTGTCCCCGGCCAAATACTTACTCTCGGACAACCTTTCCTCGTACACATCGAGCACTTTCTCCAACTTGTCCTTACAATCTTGGACTAGCTCAAAGTCGGTCTTGTGGCCCGAGCTCGGCAAAACCATAAGCTGTAGAACCATTGTGTAAATCGGCGGGTTGTAGTTGTGGGATTCGACTTCTAGCCATTGATCGACTAAGGCTCTTTCTTCTATTGTCTCTCCGTACAGATTGATTCCTCCGTTGGTTGCACACTTGGATGCGTAGTATCTTATGATCGCCCTTGATTCTGTATGTACATATATTTTTTAAAAAAAACTACTATTATATTAAATACTTATTTTTTATTTAAAATATTAAATAAATATTTTATTATCCATTGAAAATCTCAAAATACCAAAAAGCTTGAAATCTCCATCCTCTATGGCAGGAACTTGTCCGAATGGCTGCACATTATTAGCATAAGCATATTTTATTAGAGTAGTATTTAATAAACAACATTTAACATTATTGCAAACGTGTGATTATTATTATTATTATTATTATTCTATCATTTTTTTTCTCTAAAAAAATATATAAAATCAAACACATAGGGTTATTTTTTTTATTTTTTGAAATATTTTAAAAAAAATATTTTTATGTGAGATATAAGAAATTGAGTAAATAATATAAAAATAATGAATGTGTAATATATTAATTTTATTGAGAAAATATATGAGAAAAAAATATAAAAAGACTACACCCATAATTTTTATTTTTTATATTAGATTAAAAATAAATTAATCGGTATTATTTCAATATTTTCAAAAATATCAAACAAAATATAAATCTCTCTTACAAAATATAACTTCGAATACTAACTTTAAATTTTTTTATTTTTTTCATTTTTTAAAAAAAAGAATGTGTAAATAATACCTGTCTTTGTCTGAAATGTGGGGTTTTTTGTTGTCCAGATTGAATATCAATTGGGATGAGCTGAAATTGAAGATCTAACTCCACAAGACACACCATTACTCTTTGTGGGCATGCTGCATTCCCTGCTCCGTACACTAAAACCACCATTCTCTCTCTACTCTCTCTCTCTCTATATATATATGTATCTATAATTTTGTATTTTAATAAATAATAGTAATATAGATGGAGTGGAGGGGAAGGGGGAGGGAAGTATTTATATTTATTCATATATATATGTATCTATTTGTTATGCAATTTGCCTGGTGGTTGTCACGTGACACTTGTCGCTTTGTTGAGTATTTGTCCGGCGGTTGTCACGTGCCACCCCACCCCCATTCAATTTTTGACATATCTCGTAAAAGTACATTGCAAAACTTTTTTTGATAGCGATATGGAGACAAATACAGAAAATAGTAATGTACTATAATCATAATAATGATTGGTAATCGAAATTTCAACGGCCGAAATAAATTTAAGTATTTTCGATTAATTTTTTACCCATTAGTCTTTATTTATTTAAATGTTTTGTTTTATTATTTTGTTGAATTTACGCCATTTTTTTTTTTCAAATTTTAATACTATATAATGTTTTTTCATAAAAATATTATATTGTTAAATATCAAATAAAATACTAATTTTTAATACACGGACATGGATTTTTTTGTAAATATAATTCTCTTAGTCTCAACTCAAAGTATTTATCTAAATATATATCATCTTTACAATATAAAATAAAAATGAATAGTTTTATAAAGTTACGGGTATTTTTAATATTTATATAGATATTATTTTTACTCTAAGAAAAGATAAATACTTATAAGTAAAACGATCACATAAAACAAGATGTATCACTTTGGTAAGTAAGTTAAACGGTTCAAGATAAAACCTTTGATCCGACGGCAAAGATGAATCTTGCGATAGATCAGGTCAAGTAGCGGATTACTGGATTTGGGCTCCAAATAGACCGCAGTGCGTGTTGGCCTCCCTTTATCATTGACCTAAACTATATCACAATTATTATTATTATTAGAATGAATAGGGTGTTGATTATACTACAAGAAAATAATTTATAACTTAGTAGTAATACCATATGTGCTATGTAAATTGTAAATTGTAAATTGTTATTAATATTTTGTATTTATAGTATATTAATATGTACATTATAGTGTCAATTTATAGCCCATTTATTAGTTGATTTACATTTTCAGTACATTCAATACAATACTAACAATAATTACATTGAGAACAACACTAATTATAAATAAAAGTATACAACCATAATAATTTTGACTGAAAATTACAATTACAATTATTATTATACAACTTCTACTGTTATTTTCATTTTAAATTGATTTCTCTGTTGATTTTTTAAATTATTTTTTAAATCAGTACAAGTAAGATATAAGTAATAGTATATATCTTTTTTACTTGTTAATTCATAAGTTAGTATTTTATATTATATGAATATAAATAATGTATCGTAAATAATAATTGTTTGTTAGTTGTTAGAGCAATACTCCCACAATTGTAGTAGTGGATTCCCCAAATAGTTGTTGTTGCTGCTGCCTCTTGTACACAGAATATTCAATTTCACTACCATAGAATAGAGCAGAAATTTTCAGTTGTACTACTAAACAAAGAATCTGCTAATTACACATATCATCTGTATGTATACTATAGGTAAGAGTAATGACAGCCAGCCAGCCAGCCAGCCTCAATGCATCGTCACCACCGCCGCCGCCGCTGTTCTCCGATCACGGCGACGAAGACGAGACGAGAGCACGGCCGGGAGAAACGAGGGACTTGGCATACGCAATGGGCAAAGCAAGAATCTTCTTCGGCTTGCTCACGTACGCCCTCTTCGTGAAGTTGTTGTAGTCGTTCGCTTCTATCTCGTCCAGTATTTGCCGATACAGCAGCAGCGACGCCCACACCTGCATTCGCCGGACAACATTTAAAAAAAAAAAATTGAATCGAAATCAACTCGAATCAAATGTCCATGCACTTCGACTGGCTATTATTGTGTCGACTGTAATTAATTAGCACAACAAATGTTATATATATATATTGGCATTACATGAGGTATAAAGCGACAAAACAATATATGTTAATACAATACAAATACAACACATACACTAAAATATTTACTCTAATTGATCATCAACACAATTGTGCCAACTATAATTAGTTAGCACAATATTGGCAAAAACTGGCAGCACATGAGGTATAAAGCCACAACACAAAATAAAAAATAATAACATTTTTAGATGTCAAACAATTAAAAATGAGCGCAAATTTGGGTGATATAGGAAGCATATTAATATAATACAAATACTAACACATAAATAACAGTCAAATCGCACAACACATACTATAATTGATCATCGGCACACAAGGTATATTAACAAAGCATAAATTTGAACTTACCGGCCAACGGCTAGCGGAGCTGAGCTCGGTGACGCCAGCCTCCGCGTCATCGAAGAATTTCCTCGCGCGCTTTATTTGCTTCTTCATAAAGTTCCTCCATTTATCGGTTACTTTCCCGGCGAAAATGTCGTCTTCCGATATCCCGGCCTGTGCAAGCTCGTCTTGGGGGAGATATATTCTTCCACGACGAGCGCTGCATCGACACAATTATTACAAGTCAACCTCGAGTTTTCACATTGTCTACATCCAATATTGTAATCGGACGGCGACTTACTCTTCGCCGACGTCTCTGAGTATGTTTGTCAGCTGGTTTGCAATGCCTAACGCCAGAGCGGCGTTGTAGACGCTCTCGGTCGTCGCATTGGATTCGGGTGCGATGCCCATAACGGGAACGCTCATCAGCCCGACGGTGCCGGCGACGTAATAGCAGTAGAGATACAGCTCGTCGAAGTCTTTGTATCTAGACTTCCAGAGATCCATCCTCATCCCTTCGATCATGTCGCGGAACGGCTGCGGAACGGGACGGAATTGAAGTCGAGAATATCGAAACGGAAAAACGACTACTGAACCTTCAAGCTAACCTGGATGTCCACGGGAAACTTCGAAACAGTATCGGATAAAGCAGCATCGAGCATGTCGAAAGGACGCCCTCCGAAAATATCCTCGAGCCGCGCCTCCCACCTGTCCAACGCCGTTGGAGTTATATGCGACGCGTTTGGTCCGTCGACGAGTTCATCCGTTCTCCTGCACCACACTGTATCGAATAAAACCGTTAAAAGCCATACATTTTAGACGCAATCCGTCAAATGCGATAACAATAACGAATCGTGTAAAATAAAGCCGCGACAAAAAGAATCATCGATCATAACGTTAAAAAGCCCCTTGCTATTACCGTATATTGCCCAAATTGCTCGTCGCCTCTCGGGAGTCATCAGCATTGTTCCTACGAAAGAACACCGCAAGAATCAAACGATGCTCGACGCATATTCGTGTAATCAGAGAATGAATAAAGAGGGCTAACCGAGGTAAAACGTCTTTGCATACTCCTCACATACTTGGCCACATCGATCGTAAGCTTCACTCAAAACAGACGGCGATCCGGGAACAACTATATCTGGCTTAACCTCGACGTCCTCCTCGGATTTCAGCTGCCGTTTAACCAATGCCGCCTGCTTCAAAACCACTTCATAGACCTTTTGCTCGGAGGATATGGCGATCTCCCCGGCTGTACTAGCGACCATGCTCGATGTTGGATAGAAAACTCGACCTCCATGCTCTAATCCTGAATCCCCCAAACAAGGATACCTCAAATCGGCATTTACAGAGCCGTAACTTCGCCTATACTTCTTAACTCTCCTCGGCCTGTTGCCGGTGCAGCTTATGATCTTACGGCTAGCAATCGAGCCAAACGAATCGAGAACTCTGTTGCCCTCACGAACAAACGATTCATTCGAAACTTCACAGGTTGGAGAAACCACCCACAGCAAAGCAACAGACATGATGAACTCACTAACTTACAAACCTTAATGCTCTAAACAAGCCCTAAGATTTCACCCAAATTTTGATACAGAACTTTTTCTTCTTAGCCTTAAATCTCTGTTCACAACCAAAAGATCTGCTCCAAATTCAAACAATTCCTAAATTGCTGCAAATCAATGGAAGATTATATCTGCAGAACGCACAGCGACGACGAATTAGGGAGAGCAGATGAACAATAAAGGTACGCAGCACTAGTCAAATTTCCATTACATAAAGATGCAATCACATCGAACAAGTTCAACCATTAAAGAAATGCTCCACGAGAACCTAAACATTATAAAATAAGCTCTAATTCACACCGTCATCATCATCATTATCATTATCATCATCCTGCACATTTATATATGGACTATGGGCTCTACCACTCTCTGCATCTAGTCAAACCACATCACAAAAATGTACCTAACTTTTTATTTGGTCCAAACACGTTACAAACCATCGAACTCCCCTTATCCCCTCCACAACACCGCAGACTTTCAATCTTCATTCACGAAATCCAAAACAGTAGCAAAAAGCACCAGATTTCGTAATCTAATAGAACAAATCAACAGGCCACGACTCCCACACCTAATTAAAATTAAGAAATTGCTAAACTAACCTCGCAAGCTGCCGAAAGCCAATAGCAGCAAGCAATCAGCTAAAATGGCGAAATACACAAAATTGAAACGCTTCGAAATCAGAGACCACACACATAACAAACGCAAGAGGTAAGCCGTAATCTCCAGAGAATCCAGGAGAAGTGATTGTCGGACGGTCTTTTCAGTGCCACGATTGAATTGGAGCGCAGTAGTTTTGAGGCCCTGGGTGTTTTTTTCACAGAGATGAGAAATGACGTTGATAAGAAATGTGGGTGTTAAATCCACAGCCCGAATAATTTTGAGGCCAAAGTGGGGCCCGCACCCGACAATGACCCGTTTAGTTCGCTCCACGATTCGGTATCTATTTGCTCTTTAAAGGCTGTGTTTGGTGTTCGCTTATTAGTTGGGAATGGGATTATTCATATCAAGTTGACATCTCATAAAATATAAATAAATAAATATAAATAAATACCCCTTTTGATCCACCTTTTGTTAATTTAAGTAATTTATAATTAATAAATAGTTAAATATATATATTAATAAAAATAATTATTATCTGATAAAAATTTAATTATAAATTAAGATAATAAAATAGTATAATTAAAACTAAAATAAGTTATAAATTATGAAATTTAAATTTGACTGAAGTGTATGATCATATTTTAAGGACAAATAAGGTGAGATGAACGAAAATAAATATAGTAAATTAAAAATGTGAAAAATAAAATATTTTCTCCGTAAATGCTCCCTATAAAGGTTATCATTTACTTTTTGCATGTAATTTTTTTAATATTAGTATTATATTAGATGGTAGTGAAAAATGCAAAAGTACATATATTAGTAACGTGTAATATAAAAGTAATAACATTTGTGTAATATAGTATAAGTTGAAAAGATATTTATTATGTTAGGTAGTTAATACAAGTACTAAATTAGAAAAATAGTAATTTTATTTTGGTACGGAATAAAATAAAAAATGATAACTTTTTTATGGGATAAAAAGAGTAAATATTTTGTTAGTTTTTTTTTTTACTTTTTATTAAATTGTTTTAGTAAATATAGACTTCACTATATATAAATATATTGTAAATACCCTTGTATTTACACTTATTTACATCAATACCTTCGTAATAACTTTTTATATCATAAGGTAAAATTGTATTTGCATATAAAACTATTTTTAAAATACAATATTTATAAATTCGGTGTCAAAATAAATAAATATATTAATAAAGTGAACATATGGAATAAATGAAATAATACTATTATATAATTTTTATTTTTTTTTTAAAAAAACAACTATTTAACATAATATTGTTTTTGTATATTATCGACACAATTTTATATACTCCATATAAAAAAATACTTCAAACTTACCGACTGAACAGATAAATCCATTATTATTAATTAAAAAGTATGATGTGCTATATTAATTGAAACATGTGCTAATACTTTGGCTTTGTTTATGCAACATATTTTATAATTTCGACACTATTCAATTTTTTAAAAGATCACATCAATATATTTATTTTTTCACAAAAATCATATTCTATGCTCCCTTACGGATGTATCTTTTGAATTTTTGTAATAAATTAAAAAATAATAGTATTTTTAACCTTGTATACATGTGTAATGATATTTTTGTTTATAAAATTAAAAATATTTTAGTATTAGTATATAATTAATTTTAATTATAATAAAAAATAAATACTTTTTAGTAAGATAAACAAAAATGATTAATATTATACTTTCATTAGGTACAGAAATAATATAAATTTTTTAAAATATATATATCTATTAAAAAAAAAACAATTGAAGTAAACAAAGATTAGTAACAAAGATTAGTGTTAAGGAAATGGTATGATTAAATTAAATAAGAAAAATACCTCTTAATAGGGTAGACATGCTCATTAATAAACTACTATAAATAATCGGTAAGTTGTAGTCCCTCCGTCATTCAAATTTATGTTCTTTTTCTTTTTTGGGTTGTCATTGAAAAATATTTTTATTTTTTTTAAGTAAAAAATTATTACATTTTTATTTTTTTTTTTACTATAAAAAAGTAACTATTATTACTCATTTTTATTAAAATTCGTGTCCGATCAAATGAGCATATATTTGTATGACGGATGAAGTATATTCCAATTTTTCAACTAAAATAACATCATTAGTTAATTAAGTAACTTAAATAATTATCAATGTTGTTAAATTCAAGGTCAATTTAAATAATCACTTGCGTAATCCATTGCCTTCACTTTTATTGGTTTTGACATTATATATTAATTTTTTTTGACAATTACAATTATTACCATAAAATTACATATAGCATAGGTAGGGCGTGACAAAATATGACAAAATTTTAGATAAGAAATACACATCCAATTATAGATTATGCTCAAAATATGTAATGTTTTTCAAAGGGTGTTTCAAAGTAAAAAAAAAAACAAAATAAAACAAAAAACAAAAATAAAAAAATAAAAAAAATTGTCTTACAAGAGATGATCATCGGATGGTTTGGAAGTAACTTGTGATTATGACTTTATATGCTCAAAAAATCACACGTCATAAAAATATATATATATATATATAAATTAAAAATAAAAGAAAATTGTTCTGTAACATTGAGTTGTACATCATCTAATTAATTGTTTAACTTTTTAAAAATTGTTCAATAAATTGTATCTCAAATAACCTATGTATTAAAAAAATTATTCAAATAAAAAATCTCTATAAGAGCACACCCCATTACTTCCATCATAAATTAACGAATATTAATATATTTTAGTATCTCATATAATTTATTTTTATTTTTATTCGTGTCATATAATTTATTTTTTAAAAAATATAATTATACATTTTAATTATATTTTAAATTTGATAATTTTATAATTTTTTTAATATTAATCAAACTATTTATTCATCTTATGATGTATTCTTTTTGTAAAAACACCCAACATATTTTTCCAAAAAATTAATATATTATTCCTACTTATTATTTTTATATTATCTACAAAATTCATTATACTTTATATAAAAAAAAAATATACATTCGAACCAAAGCACAAAACAAACAAACCTTTAATCTATAATTATTTTATTATACAATCATTTTTTTTATTATTGATCTAAATTTTAATTTATTTACTAATTATACTTTACCTAAATTCACTTATCTACGTTGAAGGGGACAAAATATCTGAAATGGAAGAAGTATATTTTTATGACGTTGAAATTTGCAATTACTATTTTTTGAGTGTGTTATAGGTAAAATATCACTAGATTTATATAAATATATACAAAATAAGATGGTGGTATATTAGGGTGTGTTCTTTTTACCAAAATAAATATACATATTTTTCTTCAAAAATTAATATAGAGCACATATTTATTAATTTTATATTATCTATACAATTTTCTATATTTCATATATAAAAAAATATATATATTCATTTAAATCACTTCACAAAACAAAAACAACATTATTGTTTTAAGTAGAATACAAATGAAAAACTTTTTTCTTTTTCTTTTTTGTTCATATATAATGCTCCATCCGTCCCATAATTAAATATCTATTTGTTTTTTAAACGTATTTTTAGAAATATTAGTATTATATTGGAATATAATATGAATAAAATAAAAATGACTAAAATAACTTTATTAGTATGTGTGATATAAAAGTAATGGCATTTGTGAAATATATTGTAAATTGTAAGAGTATTTGTAATGTTAGGTAGATAATACAGTTACTAAAAAATGAAATGAATACTCTATATGGGACAGACTAAAATGGAAAAATGGATACTTTGTTATGAGACAGAAGAAACATTTCTTATCATTTTAATACCATAACTAGATCATGTAAATATTTGATTAGACTTACAATTTAAAAATTTTGATAAAAATGGTTTTCATGAGCCAAAAATGTTGTCGTGACATGCAAGAGATTATGTAAGTGACATGTAGATAACATTTGATGATCATTTATGCGAAATTTTTTTAGTTACAAGACTAATCCAATACATAGTCTAATTATACGACTAAAATAATTTTCAAATATTTTTCACTGCCATCCACACAATATCTAGTGGTGTCATAACGATGTCATATCAGCAAGCAACTCCGAAAACCGAAGACTAATTAATTTAATATTTTTAAAACAAATTACTGTATGCTAATAATATCAAAAGATTAATTAATTTAATAATCACTTTTCAATAAATTTTCTTTCTAACTATGCTTTTTATATTCATAGCTGATTTAATGCAATAACTTTCTTAAAACACATTTGTATGCTAAAAATATCAAAAGATTATTTATTTTATATTCTACATTTCAATAAATTTTCTTTCTAACTTTGCTTCACATTTATATCTTATTAAGCAGTCTATTACATTAATAGCCTATTAATTAAAAGTAGTTAATTTATAAATCCTAAACATTATCACTCTTCAATACATTCAAAATATAAAATCCTAAACCTCTTTTAAAGTTACTTTAGAGTTTGTTCCTTTTAATTTCGAACTAAAATAAATACTATTTACTCCATCCGTCTCATATCTATATATCCATTTGCTTTTTGCATGGAGTTTTAAAAATATTAGTATTATATTATGATAAAGTAGAAATAAAGATAAAAATACTAAATTAACCTTATTAGTATTGTATGATACAAAGGTAACGATATTTGTGTAATATATTGTAAATTGGAAGGGTATTTGTAATGTTAGGTAGATAGTATAATTACTAAAATAGTAATTGATAGTTTGTTACGAAATGGATCGAAATAAAAAAATGAATAGATTGTTAAAAGGGAGGAAGAGAATATATTTTATTTAAAATTAAAAACAAACAAATCCAAACATAACAAACCCATAATTGCACAATAATGCTTAGTACACCGTTATAAAAAAATAAAATAAAATAATAATGCTTAGTACACAGGATACGTGTAAAGGAACTTCCAATGACTTCGAGATAGCGTTATCTGGTGCAATTTGCCACGTGTCTTCTCTTAATTGGCTTCCTGTATTACATCAGTTACGAGAGTAAGGAAAGCCGGACCAAGTTTATTTACTTCTTCCTAAAAAAAAATTACTACTATAATTTGATTGGACAATAAATTAAAAACTAATAATATTAAAATATAATAGACAAAAACTAATATGAAAATATTATAAAAAATTTATTAGTAAATTAACAAAAAATTTATATTATAATAATAATTATTATTATTTTGAAGGATAAAAAAATTTATT